AAGTCCCCACTCCCCCAAGGAGTTTTGCACATTAGGGGTCACATTTGGGTTGCCAAAAAGATGTCATTGTCAGCTGGGTACCAGTGTCTCACGCCTGTAATCCTAGCTACTTGGGAGGCTGAGATTGGGAGGATTGAGGTTTGAGGCTAGTGCTGACAAATAGTTTGAGAGACCCCCCCATCTCCAAAATAACTACAGCAAAATGGACTGGAGGTATGGCTCAAGCCATTGAGTGCCTGCTTTGCAAGTGTGAAGCCCTAAGTTAAAAACCCCAGTCCTCCAAAACAAAAAAAATCTCAACATAAAGCATAAAATGAATTGCTCCCAAGTGCTCATGGAGAAGCTGTTGAAAATCTCAAGTGTCTACAAGGGAGGGGTGAGGATAGGTAAGACACCTAAAAAATTAGTTAGCATTTGGTGCCCTTAACGCAGAGAAACTAAAGCAGATACCTTAAAAGCAACTGAGGCCAATAGGAAAAGGGGACCAGGAACTACAGAAAAGGTGAGATCAAAAAGAATTAACCTAGAAGGTAACACACATGCACAGGAAATTAATGTTAGTCAACTCCCTGTATAGCTATCCTTATCTCAACCAGCAAAACCCCTTGTTCCTTCCTATTATGGCTTATACTCTCTCTACAACAAAATTAGAGATAAGGGCAAAATAGTTTCTGCTGGGTATTGAGGGGGTAGTGGGGAGAGGGAGGGGGCGGAGTGGGTGGTAAGGGAGGGGGTGGGGGCAGGGGGGAGAAATGACCCAAGCCTTGTATGCACATATGAATAATAAAATTTTTTAAAAAGTAAAAAAAAAAAAAAAAAAAAAGAAAATCTCAAGTGTCTATAAGAAAGTCACACCGCCAGTCTCAAGAACGCACCAGGAATCTGCTATGACTCACATATGACTACAACTGCCTGCAGAGGATAATGGCTCCTTTTCCTCCTTCCACATCTTTTAAGTTTCTTGTATCAGTAAGTTTTAACCTGCATTCATGTAGGGTAGGGGATTCTGGGAAATGTAGTTCAGGTTTTTCTTTTGCAATACTGGCCCTGGAAGGGAATGGTGGTGATTTCAGAATTGCTAACCTAATGTCCATGCCATAACCTCTTCACCCATGAATAAAGGCGATAATATACAACAGTGGTAGACACTGTGCTTGTTCCTAATTACACACTCCCTCCTGTTCTCTGTGTAAACAGGCTGCCTTCCCATGGCTCAAGTAGCCTTCTCTGCGCCAGTATCATGCCTGTCCATTTGAGTTGCTCTGGCCAGCTTCTGGTGAGCTGTGGTGGATTGCATCACATCTGAGTAGCAGCTGTCACTTCATTTTAGTCTCTCCTCCTGTTTTCACTGTGAGAACACTATGTAGCCTAGCTAGCTTCCAATTCTCTTTTTTTTTTTTTTTCGTGTTAACTGGGTTTGAATTCAGGGCCTTGCACTTGCCAGCCAGGTGCTCTACCACTTAAGCCATGGCCCTAACCCCTTTTTGCATTAGTTTGTTTTTCATGTAGGCCAGAATTTTTTGGCCAGAGCTGGCCGCCTTGGACCACGATCCTCCTACCTACAACCTCTCATGTAGCTGGGATGACAGGTGTGTACTACCATACATGACTCATTTTGTTGATATGGGGGGTCTTGCTTTTTGCCAGAACTGGCCTTGAACCACAGTCCTCCTGAGCTCCACCTCCCAGGTGCTGCGATTACAGGCGTGAAACAACACACCCAGCTCCAATACTGTCTTCAGATGTGGCCAAGGACATGAGAGAAATGGAGAAAGAAGCCTCTTTTTTTTTTTTCTTGTTTTTTTGAGATAAGGTTTCACTATGTACCCCAGGCTCGACTCAAACTTGCAACTCTCTTGAGTGCAAGGAAGCCTTTTCTAACTTCAGAGAATACTAAAGGGAGCAGCAAGCTACTTCCATGGAGCAGAGTCAAGACCTAGCCAGAGAGGAAGAGGACCTCACAATTGCTCAGGGGGTTACAAAATCTGGACCAGCAAGCAATCGCTGTGTGCCTTTCATTTTTCCCCTTTCAGAAGAGTAATGTTCATTGAGACTATCTTCTCCTCTGTTCTATCATTGCATCTTAGATGTGGGGGGGGGAGGGGGAAGGCAGAAAGCTTTTTTAAAAACAGCTTTACTGTGATACCATTGACATATGTTTAAGATATACAAGGATGTTTTGGTATATGTACACATTTGAAATCACTATAATTCAGCTAATTAACATGTTTTTAGGTTTATAAATCTCAGGATCAAGAGACACTGCATCTAAGCATGCCTGTAAATCTCAGCACTTAGGAGGCTGAGGCAGGAGGATTTTGAGTGAGGCCAGCCTAGCTGGGCGAGAGAGGGAGAGAGAGAGAGAGAGAGAGAGAAGGGAGAAAAGAGAGAGGAGAGAGATCTGTAGACCTGGGCAGCATTAGGTATCACATAATGACTGTATCAGACTTTTGGAATCTTAAGGAGGGGCTGTGTATATTTTGTGCAGAACGACCATGACTGTTAGAGTGTTATACTACCCCACACTTGTCACTCTTCAGCCTAGTGTTAGGCTTGTCCCTGGTGAGCTGCTTTTTGCCAGTGGAATATGAACGGTTCACCTTATGCCATATCCCAGCAGGGGCTGTCAGTGTGTTTGGAGAGCTTGTTTCTTGTTCCTGTCCTTCACTATGAAAACACTGGGTTGCAAATAGGGGCTATTCCGTCAGCCTTAAGAAGACAGGAGAAGAGCCATCCACAGAGCCAAGCTGAGTCAGAGCTGCAGCTGACTCCTGGACCCATGCTGATGAAAGAAACATTTGTCATAAGTCACAGATTTGGAGTCATAGTCACCCTGTGTTCTATCCTTCCATCCCATGTCTGACTTTAAGATTCTCTTGTGTGGAAGAACTTAAATACCAAATTTCCAATTCCAGCTTAGTTTTCTTTTTATTAAAGTGCTTCATGAGATGAACAGTGTTATCAATAATCAACACAAACTTTACTTGAAATTTCATGAATACAAATCTTCTTGTAGAAACAGCAGTCACCCCTGGAGGTTGGTTAATCTGAAGTTATTCCTAACCACACACATGGGCGCTCATGGGAGGCCATGAGCTCATGGGGCGCCAGTTACCTTAGCCTATGGGGGTGCTTGTCGATGCTCGAAAGCTTGTCCCAGCAAGTCAGTGGACAGAATGATGTGATCTGAAGCTAATCATTTACCCTTGGCACTTCAGTTCTCCGTCTGCATGGAGAATTAATCTTCCCTTAGAGAACAGCTACAAATAATAAACTATGAGATGTTAAAGCTTAGCATACCTTCTGCGCCTCAGAAAACATTCCTGTGCATATTTTAAAAAAGGCAACTTATGTTCTTGACACGAATATTATATGGCTTTAAAAGAAATAGATTGATGATTGCTCTTTCTTTGAAAATTGTATTTTTGCTCACATCATATTAAAATCAGACTAGCCTGATTAATAAAACTCACAGAAGATATACTCAGTAAATTATTTGATTGTAGTGAGAATAGCTGTCCTGCTTAGATAACATTTACAATTATTTTCAAGACGCTTCATCTGTGGTATATTTACATTCGTGACTTTTCCATAAAGTCAGAAATCCTGCTGCCCTAAAGCACAGAGAGGTACTTATTAGATTTGGTACATTACCTTTGGATATTGTCAGGCTTCCTGTCATGACCTCCAAATGAGACTGTGGCTGACAAAGAGCACAATAAACAAACCAATGTGGCCAAGCCCTCTCAGCATGAAGTGTCCTGGCGCCATCATAAAGAGATTCAGTGATGTTTATTTGGGGGGCAGGGTGGCATCTAAGGCGAAAAAACTTGAAGATATAAATGACACAATTGGAAAACAAGAAATAAAATGATCCTGACTAAATAAAAAACTTTCCTAAAAACCTTTTTTTGGGGGGGCAGGGAATATGTGATTCTGTTATTAAAAAAAGAGGTTGATATACCAACCATTATACTTTCAATGAAATATGTAATACTTTCAGGTAGAAACAATCTTGCTAAATCTCATGACACCTTTGGAACTGCTAGCATTAAAACGGAAAAACTGTTAACGCTGGAGAAGAATAAATGGAAAGCCGTTTTTGTTCTTGTGGTTGGGATTTTTTTTTCTTTTTGGCAGTACAGGGGTTTGAACTCAGGGTTGTTACACATTCACACTTGCTAAGCAGGCACTCTTACCACTTGACCCACTCCATTAGCCCTTTTTTGTGATGGGTTTTTTTCAACATAAGTTCTTGTGAACTATTTGCCCAGGGCTGGCTTCTAATGGTGATCACCCTGATCTCTGCCTCTCAAGTAGCTAGGATTACAGGCACCACCCACCCATCTCTTGCTGTTCTTTCAATTAAAAAACAAATTAACTGGCATAAATAGACTCACGATCTGAGTAAATAAAATATCCTGTAGTGAACCTGACATTTAAAAATGAATTTTTGGGTGGAGTTGGAGGAGTGGCTCAAGAGGTAGAGTGCCTGCTTTGCAAGTGTGAAGCCCTGAGTTCAAACCCCAGTCCTACCCTCAAAGCAAAAAAATAAATTGGATAAAAAAGATAACTTTTTGCATGTACTCAACTATTCAGGAAAACACGAAATATTGTTAGAGAAAGCCTGATGAGTTCATAGTGGTTGTGGCTCTTTATAAATGGAACAGCACTCATGCCCTATATAGAGTACACAAGGAAATAATTTTCACATTGAACACAGATCTCTTAGGAAATAAAGAAAAAAAACCCACTCTACACAATGCACTTTTCTATCACATGCAGTGCTAGGAAACAGTAAACCATCAGCCTTCACAAAAAGGTGCAGGTGCTCTAAAACCAGCTTAGACCTAATGAGTTTAGAAAGAGGTGTCAAAATTTTAAATGTAAAATACAGTCTTAATTTAAAAGTTGGTTTTGCCAAACTTCTTATTAGTCCTAGTAATTTAGGAGCAAGAAGAAGACTTTCTCCCTATTTTATGACCTGCACCTGTCCCACTGCTTATGATGAATGCCATGGACCAAATGCCATGGCAAATTTTCTCTCATTTTTGGGACCAGCAAAGGCTAGCCTGGTTCTAGGCAAGACTAAAGCAGGTCTCATCAAAAAGCCTGTTCAGGCTGATCCACCCAGAGACTTCCAAGGCCACTGGGCACCCAGCTGACCCTAGCGCAGTTTGGTGTGACTCAGCCTTGCACCATCTTCAGGCCCAACAGTCCCCAGAATAGCCCTGGACTATGCTGCTAGACCAGATATCCCCTTGACAAGCACTCCAGAGCTGGATAAAAAGGCCCAATGGGCAGGGAAGGCAGAGCACCATTTATTGGAGCCAACCTCCTTCCCTCAGATGCTCTGTTGACAAGAGCTCAGTCAGTGATTTTGGAGCAGCTCCTCCCAACAGATGGGCTGTGAAAACACCTCTCTCTCCAGCCAGAGCTCATAGGAGTAATGAAAATCTTCAGGCAGATCCAGCCTTTGCCCCAACACACTCTGCAAGCAGTTGTCCACAGGTGAAAATTCAGAGTCCTGGGGTTTGTCATAGCGGCGGCTGTTAAAAGCCTCAATGTTGGCTCTTCAAGGTGCATTCTTCTGCTTGGAAGTCCCATGGCCTGGCATCAATGTCTATGTTGGGAAGAGAGGAAGAAAAAGAAGATGCATATAACTCAGGACACCAGTCTCCTTCCGCAGAGCATGGTCTATGGGATTCTGACAGTAAAACTGCTCACAATTCTCTTTTCTTACAGAGTAATGTACAAAATAAACATACAGCATGCTGATACTTAGGTTTAAAAGATATGCATAAGCCCCTTACATAAGCTTATTTTTACAGTAACTATCTTTGGAAAGTTAGCCTGGAAACTGGTAACAGGCTAACTTTATTAGTCTTCCTTTATTGTATTTCCTTTTCATTAATTCTTTTTCTTATTCATTATCAACTGTGTCTTCCAAAAGGGTTAAGTTCCTTTTTACAAAGCTTTCCCTAGCGAATGGGAGTTTCCCATTTGAATGGAATCACCACCTCAAAAGGATTGAGAGAGGGCAAGAGGGATCCAAGGTGGATGGGGGTACAGCTCAGAGGTACAGCTTGTACTTAGCATACAGGAGGCCCTGGGTTCAATTCTCAGGACCAAAAAAAAAAAAAAAAGGCCAATTATGAAGACCTTCTTGATTCCCTGGAATCTCCCCCCAGCAGATGGCAAATCTGTGTATTAGATTATTTTAAGATTATGAGGTGAAGGCACCCCCATGGAGGTAAAAGCAGAAAATACAATCTGCTTTGCTTTATTCACTTAGCTGTTTAGTTCAGGGCTAGAGATACACCATTTTTCAGACACTTTATATCCTGCACTCTGTGGCTTCTCATAATGGCAACAACAGGTGTACAAGTAGGATGAAACATTTTTATGATTTAAACATTTACAGGAATTTAAATGAAATAGCTAACTGACCTTTATGTCTTACAGTAGGAGTTGTGGCCTAGCTTGTTTTACACCCATCATGGTTCCCATCCCTACACTCCACTGCAGCATCTTCTAAAATTCCAGTAGGTTACAAATCCCAGCAAAAACAAGTCATTAATCAACTTACCAAAATCTCATAATTAGAAACAACGGTCAAGTCCCGCTACAATTAATACAATACAATGAAAAAAAAAACCCACCAAAATAAAGTTTTTCCAGTCTTTGGTTAATCTTAGCATAATTATGTTGAGTTTGTTCAACCAGATATCACGCTGCAAATATGAGGCAATGTGAAGTTCCCAACATTGCTTAGGATGTACTATAGCTAAAAAAGGTTTAAACTGAATTCACCAAACTTATGGAGGGAGGGGGAGATGGTAGATTCAAAATGAGTTAATGTATGTAACAACCAGATGCAATTTGTGGTCCTAAGCTGGATTCTGATTTGGAAAAAATAGCTATAAAGAACATTTTGGGACAATTGAGGAATTCTGAATATTGACTTGATTATGAGATAAGATGAAAATGTGCTGACATGAAAAGGTAGAGATATTGTTTTGTTTGTTTTGTTTTTGGTGATACTAGAGTTTGAACTCAGAACCTCACACTTGCTGGACAGGTGCTGGACAGGACTTGAGCCACTCCACCAGCCAATAATGTTAACTGAAAAGAGATTATAAAGAAGCAAAAATGATTTGCTTTCATTTTAACAAAATATGCATAGAATATCTGCAAGAATATACAATATATTGTATCTCATTGTGTATGTGTATTATATTGTATTGGCAACCTCAGGTGGTACAAATATGTAAATTTGATTATATAGAATGTTTGATTACTTATATTTTCTATTGTTTTTTCCCTAACTGCTTTGTAATAATACAAAATCATTTTAATTTAAAGAAAATCTTTTAGAAGCTAGGTGCTGGTGGCCTACGCCTGTAATCCCAGCTACTCAGTAGAGATCAGGAGGATCATGGTTTGAAGCCAGCCCAGGCAAACAGTTCATGAAACTAAGACCCTATCTTGAAAATACCCAACACAAAAAAAGTGGCTCAAGGTGTAAGCCCTGAGTTCAAACCCTAGTACTGCAAAAAAAAAAAAAATCTTTTAGAGAAAATATTAAAAGGATGTTTTGGAAAAAGGGTAATTATCTCTCAATTTACTTTTTTTTTTCAACTTATGGGGAGCCATAAGATATCTCAATACACATATATATTGTATAATGTTCAAATCAGAGAAGGCATGTCTCCTCAAGCATCATTTCTTTTGATAAAAACACTTAACATCCTTTCTTCTAGAAAGTAGGTCATTATAGCTTACATAGGACAAGGTACAAGCTAGAATTCAGGGTATTATTTAAAAGTTTTGTGTCACAGAATCTGACTTATGTCACATATTTCTTATCTAAAATTTATGCAAAAGAGTAGAGATAAACGTTTGTTTAGTTTTGTCTAAACCCTGGCAATCCTGGAGGCCACGAGTTCTGAACACTCACCATTCCCGTAAGCCCAGTCATCATTCATGCGGTGACGCACTTTCTGGTAAATGGCTGACATGGTTTTCATGTTGCTTTTTCTCCACTGGCGCCCCAGGTACTTGGTCTGTATCTTCAGCAGCTTCAAGACATAAAGTTGCAGCATGGCCTGCTTGACTTTGAGGGCCCGCTTTAAGATTGGAGCGGATTTAAACACCACCAACATCTGCTCAAGTGAAAAAGAGGGGCAAAGGTGAAGGCAGGACCATCACAAATTTAGATAAGCCTGGCTAGCCTCGAAACCCCTGGGAGCTTTTGAGAAGCTAAGGTCCGGCTCTACCGGCTCCAGGGTAGCTAGGATTATAGGTATGAGCCACCGGCACCCCGCCCATATCTTGCTTTTTATTTAACAATATATCTGGAAGAATTTTCCATACCAGTACAAAAATGCCACATTGTTGGTAATGGTCATATGACATCCTGCTCTAAGGGCGTACTGTCCTTGATTTAACTAGTTGGTCCTGTGTTAATGGGATTTAGGTGGCTTCCAGTCTTTCATTATTATAAGGATTGCTGCAATGAATAATCTTAAGACTTGCATCATTTGGGATGTGTGATGTAATCCAAATGTGGCTAACTTGCCCATGAAAACTACCCTGGGGTGGTTCCAAATTCAGTTCCCTGAAAAGAAATGTACTGGTGAGTTATGGACTTACTCAGAAAAAGTTCTCAGAATTAGGAGGTACTGACACTTCTGGAGCATTCAGGATGTATCTATAGATCTTTCAAAGCTAGTCTCTAAGTTTTTACTGATGATGTAAGAAATTAGGCCAGATGGACACCTCCATTATCTGAAGCCTCAACGTACCATGGTCCTGGAATGCTTCCATTTGGTCAGTTTATTGAGCAGCCTCAGGAGGTTGATGCAGGAAAAGAGGTTCCTCCAGCAGAACTGGTTGTTGTCTCCAGCTTCCTGCAGTAAGGAACATCCATCACCATCTCAACACCCTCAGGCTTTCATTGCTACAGAAGCCTTCAGCCACCGTTGGCCCGAAATGCTGCCTCCTTACCTGTGTGTGCTCTTTACACACTAAGGTCTCAGAACACAGCATATCCTCACCTTTCTAGCTGGTCTGTGTGTGCAGCTATGTGGTAGAATGCTTGCCTAGCATATGCAAGGCTTTGGGTCTGATTCCCAGAACGGCAAAAAAACCAAAACAAAACAACAAAAACAACACTCAGCTGGCAATACTGGAAGAATCAACTGAGAACAAGTCCTGTTTGGAAAGGTGATACATGAACAAAGATGCTTGATTCAAGCAAGCTTTCTTTGTTTTTTTTTTTTTTTGGCGGTACTGGGGTTTGAACTCAGGGCTTCACACTTGCTAGGCAGGTGTGCTACTGCTTGAGTCATGCTTCCAGCTCAAACAAGCTTTCTTGTGTGGCTTACTGCTTTGGATCAGAAGAGATGATAGAATTTTACCCCATATACTTTGCACTCACATAAGCAATATTTTAATTGCTAGGAGTTTGATCTCATTCTGGTAGATTTTAAACTATGATGTATGCGTCTGATAATTCATTATGGTTGAATTTTTTTAAATTAAACTTCACCCTCCTTTCTTGAACCATATTGCAACCAGATGCTTAATTCTCTAGCATGGATGGAAAAATAGCAGATGTTCATTCTAACCAGGTGTTCTTCTAGGATGATCTTGTTTTTATTTTTGTTTGGGGGTCCTTACTATGTAGCTTAAGCTGGCCTGGAACTTGCTATGTAGTCTAGGCTGGCTGTGAACTCACAATTCTGCCTCAGCCTCCTAAGTGCTGGGATTACAGGCCTGCACCATCACACCCAGCCTTGTATGTTTCTTGATAGCTTGTGAGCACCTAACCAGAGACAACAGACACATATCAGCTTAGAAACAGGTATCCACTCAGAAATATGTTTAGGGATAAAAATGAGAGTTCTTATATGATTTAGGACCTACACATACATACACACTTGCTGGTGCTGGAAGCTGTACCAATCAATGGGTGGGCATGATGGCCAAACTAACATCTTGGAGATTTTTCATGTCTACAGTGGGATAAGAGGATGGAGGAGGAGATATGTAGAAAACTACCATCTCTTCTCCCAGATGAACTTGAAGCAAACAAGATAGGCGTACGTCTAATCTAGAATGGACATTTGAAAATTTTGAGTGTATTAGGCCCTCCTAGTACCTTATATCAAGAGTCAAAACCAGAAAACTTTAAAAATCTTATTTAGAAATCACATTCTCCTTCCTATACTAAATATTTACTATTGTGCTTGGGAACTAGCAGACTTCCATGGGGGCTTCTACCTGATGGCATCAGCCAGTCTACTTGCCCAAAACAGATCAGGTTCTATACCCTGTATGTTTGACAAAGACAGACTTTAAATTCTTTTTGTCTTTTTTTGTGGTAGTCAGTTTTGAACTCAGGGATTTGTGCTTGAGAGCAGGTGCTATGTTGATTGAGCCATACCTCCAGTTCTCAGACTTCAAAATTTTTAAGCAAGGGAAACACAAACCATATGGGATAGGTTAAGTCTCACTGGGAACATCTTTATCCTGATTTCCATTGTAGCAGAGGCATGAAAAGCCTTGCATTTCTCAGTACTACAAAGAATAATATAGGGTGGGGCTCAAGTGGTACAGTACCCGCCTAGCAAGTGCAGGTAAGTACAAGGTCCTGAGTTTAAACTCCAATACTGCCCCAAAATAAATAAATAAATAATATGGAAGTGGAGGCATGGCTTTGTAACAGCAGCACTGGAGTACAAACCAGAACACCTGGATTATGGTCTCAGCCCTGACATATGAAATTAGGCATCATTTTCCTTCTGTTTTTTGCAAGAATTTGAATTAGCTGAGTTTTAAGATCTCTTTGGGGGGGGCGAGGATGTAGCTCAGTGGTAAAGCACTTGCCTGGCATGTACCAGGCCCTGGGTACAATCCCCAGCACTGCCAAAACCAAAAAATCCTTTAGCTATAACCATTCTGCAATCTGTGATTTTTTAACTTTAATTGGAAAGAACTCCCTCATTCTTTTTAATGGTTGCATAACATTTCATTCTAAGGACATACTATCCTTTATTTGGTCCTGTATTAGTGGGCATTTAGGTTATTTCAGTCTTTTATTATTATAAGCAATGCTGCAATGAATAATCTTAGACTTGCATCATTTGGGATGTGTGACTGTAATCCAAACAATATTTCTAACTTTCCTGCCAGAGGGTCCCCGAGACTGAGAACACAGGGACTAGTGAGTAATCAAGTGAAGTTTTTTTGTTTTTTTTTTTTTTCATTTTTCTTTTATTATTCATATGTTCAAGTGAAGTTTTAAAAGTGAAATTTTGCCCTAGGGTAAGCTGGTTATGGCTACCTTTTCCTCAGAGCTCACAGGAAAGGACCCCGATTCCCTCCTTTAGGTAGTCTCCGCTGCCAAAGATCTCCCAAGATAACTATAACTGGCCCCACTTCTCCCACACCAGACCCTGCTCGGAGCAGGCACTGAAAGTGCACACACTTGTCAGTGGCTTTCTGAGCACAGCCCATCCTGGCTTGTTCTGACTCTTTCAGCCTCTGCCTTGTTCCAACAGACAATCATTTTCCCAGCAGGTTTTTAGCTCCACAGGTATCTTTTCTGGTTTGCCAGACTTGAAAGTTTTTTTCTTTCTGCTTATTTCCATTTAAGGCAGGTTATCTTTGTCTATTTTGTTTAAATAAGATGTAAACCTCTGTGTGGAGATTTTATTTTGTGAATAGCACCACATTTTCTCATATTTCAATATAGCCAAAGCAAGACCTCCTACCAGCAAAAAAAATTTTTTTGGTGGGACTAGGGTTTGAACTCAGGACTTTGTGCTTGCAAATCAGGTATCCTACTGCTTGAGCCACACCTCCAGTCCATTTTTCTATGATTATTTTGGAGATGGGGGTGTCTCAAACTATTTGCATGGGATTGGCCTCAAACCGTGATCCTCCAGACCTTAGCCTCCCAAGTAGCCAGGATTACAGGTGTGAGCCATCAGTGCCTGGTCATCTACCAGATAAATTTTAAACAAAGATCTGCCAGGAATGGTGGCTGTGATGGTCAATCTTTTTTTTTTTTTTTCTTTTTTTGGTGCTGGGGATTGAGTCCAGGACCATGTATATGCTAGGAGGCCAGCACTCTTACCACTGAGCTCCATCACCAGCCCTGTGATGGTCATTTTGTCAACATGATTGGATTGAGGAGATTAGTAAAGCAGGAATCCTGGGCGTGTCAGTGATGGGGTTTCCAGAGATTAGATCGTGAGGATTCTGATCTAATAAATGGCTTAATCCTATATGAGGGCATTGGAAGATGGTGAAAGGTAGGCTGTGAGGCTGAGCTGGAAGAACTGGGTCCTGTTCTTGGGGCTGTATCTTGCCCTGGCCCCTTTCTACATTTCTTCTCTCTGCTTCCTAGCTGCTATGATGTGAGCTGCTTTTCTGTGCTGCTTCCTCCCCTCCATGGTGGACTGACACCTCTAAAACTGTGAGCCAAAATAAATCCTTCCTTTTGTAGGTTGTTTCTGTTTGGTATTTGGTACCTAATAGTTTGTGAGAACCTAACCAGGGATAACAGATGTGCATCAGATTAGAAACAAGTGTCTACTTAGGAACATTTTTCAGGGACAAAGCAATGATAGAAGTAACTAATGCACAGTGTTATACCTGTAATCCCAGCACTCAGGAGGCTGAAGCAGGAAGATCATGAGTTTGAGGCCAGCCTGGGCTACATAGTGAGTTAAAAAAATATAATCTGAGCACTAGAAGGGATTTAGGTGTTCTACCTCAATTCTGTCATGTACAGAAGCAACTCCCAAGGCCCAGAGGGGAAGGGCCTTGTAGCACAAGGTCACTCATAAGAGCCCAACCATGACAAGTACCCAATCTCCATTGAATTTGAAGATTGCTTACTGTTCACTTTCTAGTCGCATTCTGGAACCCTAGACACAGGTGATTGCTGAGAAATTTTCTTTTATTCCCCTGCTTTTTCTTTTTCCTTTCTTCCTCCCTCCGTGCCTCCCTCCCTCCCTTCCTTCTTTCTTTCCTTCCTCTTCTCTCTCTCTCTCTCTCTCTCTCTCTCTCGACAGGGTTGCACTATGTAACCAGGCTGACCTCAGCCTGATCCTGCTGTCTCAGCCCCCTGAGTACTAAGATTTCAGGTGTATATCATGGTGCCTGGCAGGAGAGAATGATTTTTTTTTTTAAATTAAGAATGATGGCTGGAGACGTGGCTTAAGCAGTACAGTACCTGCCTAGCAAGCACAAAGCCCTGAGTTCAAACCCCAATATCACACAAAAAGAGCATGCTGAAAAGGGCTGGTGATGTAGCTCAGTGGTACAGTGCCTGCTTAGCATATAGAATAATGCCCTGGATTTGATCCCCAGTGCCACCCACCAAAAAATTTAATAAGATCATTTTGTGAACATTTAAATTTTATTATGTCAAGTGAAACACAAATGTATAAAGACTTTAGTTCGTTAAATAATGTGCTTATTTTTTTCTTTTTTTTGGTGATACTGGGGTTTAAACTAATGTGTTATACACTAATGAGTATATATACTAATGGCAGCAAAATAGAAATGATGGTTATATGTAGATAGTATGGAGTACTTTTATTTTCTTCCCCATACTTTCTGTTTCTTTTTTCCAATAAGCATATTATTGATTTTATAATCGGGAAAAATATGTAAAATGTTATTTAAATGTAACTTAAATACAGTTAAAAAATCAGTATGTTTTCTGTGCTTGCAATTCATTGAGCCTGAAAAGGAGATAAATCTTACTCTTATAAACAGTAGCCCTTTTCTGAGTACAGAAGTCATCAGTTTAGGTAAACAAACTATTACACAGAGGACCTACTTACAGTAAACCTGCTACTTCCTAAAGCCCATGATTGGGTTCAGGAAGCACTTACATTCTAAGTTCAAGGGGAAAAAAAAAAGTCTGTGGTTACTAAACAAAACCAGCAGGTGCCACTATTGCTTCACAGAAAGGAGTAAAATACCTAATATGACTTTTTTTAATTAACTAGATACATACATTCGCCCACTTATTTTTGGTGTTATGAGATTTGAACTCAGGGCTTCACACTTGCTAGGCAAGCACTCTACCACTTGAGCCACTCCACCAGCTGTGTTTTGTGTTGGGAATTTTTGAGATAGGGTCTCACAAACTATTTGCCCTGGCTGGCTTCAAACTATGATCCTCCTGATCTCTGCCTCCTGAGTGCTAGGATTACAGGTGTGAGCCGCCAGCACCAACATTTCAATAATTTTACGCTTATATCCCAAAAGATCAACTAGAACCGATGTGGAAGTTCAGTTTCCATCGATTCCTGAATATAAATCAGCAGAGCTGGAATGGGGACTGGAGAATACACTGTGTCAAGAAGAGATTCAGGCCATGAAAGCTGACTTCATCTTCTGAAATGCTCTACAGTACTAATAGAATTCTACTGCTACTGTGCACCACTGTTTTGGTGTGAAATACATGCTCCATTCCAGCTCTGAATCACAGGGACGCTTGTCTCTACCCTGACTTTGGTACTTTCAACTGTAAGGTCTTGACAGTTACTTAACGTCTCCATCTATGAAATAGCAATATCGACCTCAAATGGTCATTTAAAGACTGAATGCCACCACGTAAGTGATCAGGGCTAGGTAATTTATTACCGCTCTGTAGGTCTGAAAAGCTTCCAGCTTCTTTGGCTGCCAAACCACATCTAAGGAAGACAGGGACTCTGTCCCTGCAGCAACTGTGTTAACATTGGTGTTTCAGGACAAAGGGCTTTTTACTCATGCCTGATTTGGGGTCTGTCACCTACGAGGAGTGGACTGTTACAAGTCACTTCGTCTACTGGGTGCTCAGGTTTCTCATCTTTGAAATATAAGGGGATTGGATTAAATGGCTCTTAAATCCTCTCCAGGCAAGACTCCTGAAATCTATAAAACCTGTACCACAGGTTTTGCATAATATACTTGTCTCACTCAACATTTTGTAGGTATTAAACTTGGGGGACAAAGGGTTGTAGCACCCATGGGTACCATCATTTAGACACTTGGCATTTATTTCGGGCTTCAATATACCAGCATAGTACTAAGCTCTGGGGGAATAGAAAAATGAAGATGATACCTGAGTCAGTTGAGAACATCTGAGTAATTACAATGCACCAGGATGATGGAATGGGCTGTAGTGTTTCTAAAGAGCTGTGGTAACGATGCAGGATGCAGTAGACACATCGTCTTCAATATACTTTTGCTCAGTCAGTTTCAGGGAATTCACAGTAACCCAGAGGGACTTTTCTGATTTGCCTGGAGCTGTTTTCAGGATGAGGATATTTTGGTGCCATCCTCCAGTGGCTACATTGACTTTTGCCTCAAAGAGGCGAGGTATTTTCTAAAGCACATACTTCAGGGTTGTGTAAGTGATAGGAAAATGAGAAGCATAACAAAGAAAACAGATAATTTTTTGTGCTCCATGCAAAGAGATTCTCCTGCCATTCAGCGTAGATACTCACATTGAGTTTCAGTCTCATTAGCTCTCTAAATTCCCTGTCCTCTTGTTTGTCACTGCTCTTCCCTCTTCTCTGCAAGATACTAAGCACAGCTTTTCCAGATCTTTCCCAAGTGCGTCAGGAGCTCTGAACCCCTACTGTGCTCTTGCCAATATGCCTTCATTGACCTGAGACTCCAAACCACAGCATTATGGGGCTGGAGAAGAACGGGAAAAGCAAATGCCAGCAGCCTCTGCCACCGGCAGTTTCAAAGGCTACTGAATCCCCATCTGCTTACCAGACTCTCGGTAGTAAGCTCCGGCAAATCCTGGATGGTACAGCCGGGGTAATCCAGGACTGAGATGCTGCAAGATGCAGAGATAAGGACAGGCTTTAGGTAAATGGCAACAGCAGGAAATGGCTACATCTGGAAAGGGCACGAGTTATTTTCCAAATTGCTTAGTGACCTCAGCTGAAACTGAGGGTGCTGGTGCTGGGCAGCCCCAGCTCCTGTTTCCTTCCCTCAGTCATGAGAGGAACCAAGAAGTTCTGTCAGACTGGCCCCATTTGGTAGATGTAAAAAAGAATTAAAGCAGAAAGGAAGCCTCTTTTCTTCTTAGCTCCCTTTGCTTTTTTAAAGAATATATAAAAAATAGAAATAATACAAAATATAAAATACAAAATAATAATGTAAACAGTGCATTTGTGTCTCTGCGTGTAAGTGTGTATGTTAATATAACAGTGTTCCCAGAGATCCTGTCCAAATCCATCCCACTAAATAACAACGTGCGGATGTGATAATGAAATGAAGGCCTCTCCCATGTCTCTCACCAGCTCTTTCTGAAAGCTAGGAGCTCTGGGAATGATTGCAGAAACCACTCCTAAAGGAAGCTTGAGACGGGGCAGATTCCTACAGCAGGGTCAATCTAGTAGCTCAGGAATGGTAAGAGTGTCTGTCCCCAAACAGAGGTGGACTGCAAGAAAGCTGCAGGCTCTGCAATGAGCCCAAGGAAGTAGGTATGAATCAGGAAGAGAAATAAGGCGCTGCACAAAAACAGACAGTCACTTAACAAATGACAGCTCTTTCTCTTCCCTCTCCTTCACTGGTACAATGCAGAATTTGGGCTAGCTAATACCTAATGCTTCTTCTGGTTCTGCTACTTGATCTGATATTCAGTGAGGTTTTAAACACCAATCTTTCTGCAGTAGTGAAGTTCAAAATGAGCACAGGATGTTGATAAAGCAGTGGCTATAAAGTTGAGTATGAGGTTCCTTGGACCTGCCACTGTACTTCAAAAGTCAAAACTTCTATATACACAAAAGCAAACAATCTATTTGGCTATAAATGTTTATCTTTGTCCAAGAAACCCAGACCAAGATAACCTAGGAGAACCAGGGTAGGAGAGGAGAGGGATCAGCCAGGAAAGGGTAGTGAAGTGAATCTACCTGTAATGTTGCCGGCCATCTTGATTAACTCTTGTGGATTTTCCCAGGGTTGCCAGTTCTGTATTGCCCCATTAGGATAAATATTTTCAGTTGGTTCATCCACCTACCTATCCACCTCCCACTGACAAAACCCCTTGGCAAAACAGACGCTGGCGACTGGAAAATAATGGTGGTGGGGGATTGAAGAAGGAATTTGTTTCACTCTTAAGTGAATTGAATTCTATCCTAAGGGAGCATAAAATAAAGAAGTATGTAGAATATCTACATTATAAGAGTCACGAAGAAATTGCAATGAATGCTCCAAGTTCTTAGGGGTTATTCAAAAATGAAACTTATAAGTGGTGCACAAGAGGACCATTTTATCCATGTCAACCTGAGCAAAAGGTATAGTTTGTCGCTACCACCCCTCCAACTCCAAAAGGAACTTGGTGGACGCCTATTGCATTATCTGCTCCTCCCCTTCCAGATCTATGAGTGTGGGTGGTGGAGGAGCATTAGTTCCTCTACCCCACTCCCTCAGTCATAATCAGTTCATCCAGTAGTAGATCTCTAACCATGGGTATCTGGAACAAGGATTGAGAGTCAACTCAATATGAGGTGGCATTGTGACATGTTCAGGTCATGCAGGCATATCTCACCAAGTGGCCTGAGACGTAGACAAATGTGTCAGTGAAATGCAAGTGCAGTATAGAGATCTGGTGTCCTTAGATAAAGGTGGAAGTCTTCTTGGTCTCCCAGACTACAGAGCAAGCCAGAGGCCCAAAGCTGTATCCCTGTCTTAGGGTCTCAAGATAACACCTCTTGTTTTCTTCTAACAAACTCCTCATTCTGCACAAGTCTAGTCTAGTTGGTTTGGGTTACTTATAATCAAGAGTACTGACTGATACACACAGGTGCCTACATGGAGTTGTTGCCTTAACGTACCCCATCCTACGCTTTCCTTTTCTCTGGTAACCCAGCAAGCGGGTCTTAGGGGCCATTTTTTTTTTTTTTTTTGGTGGTATGGGGTTTGAACTCAGGGCCTCACGCCTGCAAGGCAGGTGCTCTACCACTTGAGCCACTCCATTTAGGTGCCATTTTTAAGGAGAATGCACAGGTCTCCAGAGTTAGGGGAAAATAAATCTCCATATTGCTCCCCCCCCCCGCCCCCGGCAAAGTATTTAATGTACTCTCACATATGCTAACCTTAACTAATGCTTATAAAAGCTCTCTGGGGCTGGGCACTGTGGCCCATGACTATAATCCCAACACTTGGGAGGCAGAGGCAGGAAGATGGTGAATTTGAGGCCAGTCTGGGCTACATAGCTAACCTGGGCTATACCATGTCTCGAAAACCAAAAAAAGAAAACCTGGGGAAATAACCTGGTGGTAGAGTATTTGCCTCGCATGCACAAGGCTCCCAACACCAAAAAGAAAGAAAGAAAGAAAGAAAAATGCTACTTGTGTCTGCTTGAGATTATATAGCTAGCAAATGGCAGATCCAGGTCAGGAATTGTTTTAAACTGCACAGAAGACTGCAGTTCCATGGTGGAGTTTCAGGCAGTAACTACATTCCTAGCTCCTCCCTCTGGGGTAATTCTGGTAAACTCTACCAACTAACATGCTTACAGTTTTCGTGAAGGTAACAAACCAAGAGTAAGGATCTACTCTGCAATCCCCCAGTCCCAGCTTGGCTGGAAAAGTAGAAAGTGATCTCTGTTCAAAGAAAAGCCTGGATTCTTTTTTTTTTTTTTTTTTTTTTTTTGCAGTACTGGGGCTTGAACTCAGGGCCTTCACCTTGAGCCACTCCACCAGCCCCATTTTTGTGAAAGGTTTGTTGAGATAGGGTCTCACAAACTATTTCCTGGCTGGTTTCCAATGGCGATCCTCCTGATCTCTGCCTCCTGAGTAGCTAGGATTACAGGTCTGAGCCACAGGCACCCGGCCAAAAGCCTACATTCTTATCCTGCCTCTGATGTTTGCTTAAGGGATCTCATTATGATGTTAATCTTGAGCAAATCAATTAACCTCTCTGCATCTGTCTCCTAATTGGCAAGATGAGAATAAAATTTGTGATACTTCTTAGCACTGTTGAGATTAAATGAAATAATGAATGTGAAAATACCTTATTTTTTAAAACTACAAATTGATCTACCTATTGCTTGCTTTCAATTAAAAGTTCTGTATTGTGCTTTGTAGTTTACAAAGCAGAGTAACTCTCCAATTGCTCCAATTTAGGATTATAAACTACAATCAGAGATGGCCAGACAAGCAGACCGTTTTACAACAACAAAAATCTAGGTCCTTCGGCAATAGGTCCTTTCACCCTTGCAGCTTCATTTCTGTAAATCATGACACTTTCCAGTTTTCAAAACTATTACAATACAAATGCCTCTGTGAAGAGACCAATTCATACACTCCCTTCAGCTAACACTTCAAGGAAATTAAATTTAAGAAAGGAGGGACTAGGGACATAGGAGAACTGAAAGGTGCAGAGATGATGAAATTTTCACAACCACCCCAAATAGCCCCTTGAAATAAATCTGTCCAGAGTCCGTACCTGTTTTTGGCAGTGATGTAGGACAGGATATTTTGATTGAAGAACTTCAGGATCAAGGGGATGCAGTTGGCAAATACCAAATGTTGTGATACATATTCAAACTGAATTAAAAGATGAAAACAGAAGGGGCTGCTTATTTGAAGGAAAATAGAAGGTATGTGTGAAAAAAAGAAATGGGGTCAGACATGGAGGCACATGCCTGTATTCCCAGCTACTTGGGAAGCAGAGTACTTGCTATGTAGCCAAGGCTGGCTTTTCTATTCTTATCCTCTCAAGTGCTGGCATTATAGGCATGTGCCATAATGCCTGGCACCTTGCCCTTCTTTCCAGAACTCTGTACAGTAAGTTTTAGGGTTGAGTTAGATCTTAGGGGAAGCTTTCTGCTTTGGAATCTTTTTCACTTAGGGTTATTCAATACAAATTCTAACTACTGTTAATTATTAAAGAGTTCAAGTAGACTGAGCAGTTCAGTAAATTCTTTGTACAGCAGTCTGTTATAGACTGTCCCTAGTTCTGTCCATAGGTAGGGGTTATTGTGGTGAACACCTTGAGCCCGATCAAATTAATAGCAATCTGGGTATTTTTCATTAAAGTATTTATCTACCCACAATTAAGTATCTTTTTAGACTTTTTAAAAGTTCCAAATCTGTGAGCCTAAAATTCACCTAAACTTGGTTCAGTAAAAGATGCATAAAGGATTTTGGTTAGAAGTCAACCCCAGCCAAAAGTTAGACTTCATCTTAACACATAAGCTGGGAGTGATGTTTCATGCCTGTAATCACAGTTACTCTTGGAGGCATAGGTAGGGGGACTGTGGTCCAAGGCTGGCCCCAGAAAAAAACACAAGGCCCTTCCCAAAAACAAACTAAAGCAAGAAAGGTTCGGGCATGGCTCAAGTGGGAGAGAGTGCAAATCTAATATTCATTCCTAAGAATATCCACTGTCCATCCTCAGACTTCCTCTCTCTGCAATGGGGACATTCATCTTCAGTCACCTTATCCTACATGAAGGGGGCAAGCTACAGTATATGTTGCAAGCTCCTGACCTAAAGCATAAAGTAAGCAAGCTAGAAAGAAAAACACACTCCAAATAAATGGAAATTGCTGTGAGATTTGGTCTAAGCTCAACAGGAAAGAAGGGCTCTCTGAGGGAGCTGTTTTCCATACCAAACCTCTGGCTCATCAGCTTTCAAGTGTGACTGATACAGCAGGGACAGGTGCGTCTTCCCCCTGGCAACTGCTGGTCTCAGTCAGTCAGGATGGAGACAGCACATAGTACGCAAATGAACCACTGGAATGTGGTTCCAGCCGCCCGCCTAGGCCATTTTACACCAGTTACGTCCAGGTTCTTTGAGTATCAGTGTTTTAATGAATGAAGGAACAAGAGCCCATTCGCCAACAGATAACTGCACTGACAAGTCCAAGATGTCTTTGATGGGATAAATACCAGAACATGAAGGCTCCATTTGGCTCTCTTAGGATTTGTCTTCAGGAAGACCTAGTGGGGTGAGTGGTCATGAGCAGAATCATGTGGTTAGTGACTCTGAATTTTGCTCATTAGTATACTGAGGAGCACCATAAAAAGTCTGTCTCCAGATCAAGAGCTTAGAATGCTGGACAGTTCAGAAACAAGATTGAAAACGCAGAGAATTGTGTTTTAAATCCCTGGCTCTGCCTGATCAGTAAGAAGTAGCCATGGCAGCAAGCTAAGCTTCTCTCTGAAACTGTGGTTAGAAGTGGGGACTCAGCGTGTGCCGTAACTACTTCCCCCTTCTGCTCAGTATTTTTCCCTGGGAGCCAGCCCAGGGTATTTTCAAAAGCCCGGACACAGGAGCCAATTCATACTCACTACTAAATGATGGAAACTTTTTTCAGTTTGAGTTATATCCAGGCTCTGACAGGACTCACCACACTGACACACTGAGCAGGGTCCATCAGGCTGTCCGCCTGTCTGGTTATTGACTCAGAGTCCCTCCCCAAAAGAAGCATCCATAAACATAGCCATAGTTTTCTGTTCCTCTTTCCACTGGGAACAGTCTCCTACCTACCTCTACTTCTCCCGGTCCTACTGCTGCTCAGCCAACATTGGCAGAAGTGTGAGAACCCGGGACACCCTATCACATGCAAAGATGTCTCTGAATGTACTGAAGTAAGGACTATAGGATTGTATAGGGTCATGGTCACAGACCCTACCTGGGCCTCCTTGCACTCTGAGGACCTGCTCCTCTACCAGCAATCTTGATCTGGATTTCTTAGGAGGGAAATGGGGCAAAGCCTCTGTGCAGGAATGAGAAGGCAGTGGTATCCTCACAGGCAGGAGATATCTACTCACTGCCCCCATCTTGTCGCTGTATCTTTTTTTTTTTGGCAGTACTGGGGTTTGAACTCAGGGCCTCACACTTGCTAGGCAGGTGCTCTACCACTTGAGCACTTGAGCCACTCCACCAGCCCTAGTGGTTGCTATATCTTGGTAATACTCACAGGATCAACTCCAAACTCCTTAGCAAAGCAAACAATGCCTTCATGGGAACACAAACTAGGGTCTTGACTTTTCTTAACTTGTTTTCCTCATTCATAAAACAAGGATAAAATAAAACCTACCTCATAGGAGTGAGAGAATTAAGATGCCCCATACAAGCTTCACAGGGTGCCAGGCACATTCTGGGTACTCAATAATTGCATGCTGTCAAGTATATTATGCTCAGCTCCCTGCCAACTCCTGCGGCCTCCTGTGTAACAAGGTCATCCCCATCACCTCACTCCAGGCAGAACTCCAGAAGCATTTAATTAGTTTCCAAAAGTACTTTTGTCTCTCCCCTCTGGACTGTCACACATTAGCTTTTCTGCTTGAATTGCTTCCTATCCCCCTTTCCTGACTTCTCCCACATCCTGATTGACATCTGCTTCTTTAGAACTTGAATTGGATGAGCTGTTTCCACAGCAGCCAGTGCTTACGTGTAGCACAGCACTTAGCACTCTACAACACTGCAAGGCTTCAAGGCGCTTAAGAGCTAGAACTATGCCTTATTTAGAACTGTATCTCAAATATCAGAAAAGTGCCTGACTTACAGCAAAGCATGGTCAACGCTCCTCATACCCCAACCCTCTTTTTCTGGAATGTTTGAATTTTGACTTGCATTGTTTCAAAACTGGCTGGGCATATTTCAAAGAATTCCTAGCTATAACCTTGAGCTGACTTACAAAGGACACAGATATCTGCACCTTTCCAGAACAGTTCCCCATGTCCCACTCCACATCCCCAACCCAAGCTCATGTAACAAGAAGCTGGATCTTCTGAATGAGGACAAAGAAAAGGCCAAAAAATGTTTAGTGGGACTACAAGGCCTGTGTCACCCCCAGGGTCTGGAGAATAGTCGAGGTTTGTGGAGAAGCATTCCTGGCTACTTACCTGGTAGATATGGTTGAGTTTGAAATGTTTGAGAAGTAGCAGGAGCAGGGCAGAGATACTCTTCACAATAATCTCCTTGTGCCTGTTCACATCAAGGCCCAGTTTCATGCTCTGGAGAACAGTGATGCTACAATGGAGAGAGGAAGCATCACTGTAGAGGGTGGCCTTGAAGGGAGGCCTACGAGGCCCCAGGTATTTGGGTGAATACAATATACAAAAGAGAACACGAACTTGGGAAACCTGACCTTCAGTGGTAGGGAAACCTCTAGAGTTTCCACTTACAAACCTGTCTGGAGAAGATCTCCACTGATCTCTTTGTTGTCTCTGTCTCTGGCAAACTCGTCCCTTGGCAATGTCCACCCACATACTCAGCAGCCAGTAACTGGCACTGCAGTCACCCTCCAGACCCTGCTTCTGAGCTATATAGAGCACAGCACGGAACCCTGCCTGGGAAGGAGGTGCTGGTGGGAAAGGAGAGATCTCTTTGAAGACAATCTCTGTAAGTTAACAAGACTGGGTGGGACAGAGAGGCCCTATAGACTAATATCCAGCATTCCGCTGGATATTATGCCCCAGTGGAAGCACTCACGGCATCTCTTCAGGGAGGACATCTGCCAGGATATTGATAGAGTCTGTCTTAGCCTTGGAGGTGGGGGCTGCAGCCAGCAGAATCTTAAGCAGAGCGATCTGGGAGGTAGAAAAGGAGGAAATCCACCTCTGTCCATTCCACTCGGCAAGACAGTGATTCTTCCATACCTCACCAGCCTAATGAAAAGTGTCTCAAAGCTTTTCTCTAAGTTCTTCCCTTGGTGACCAAACCTCCCCAGCCTCCAGAAATGCAAACAGGTATCCATCCTGAGAGGTTAAGGAGGAAGCCAGAAGGGAGCTCACAGGCTATTTGGCTTCATGACCTTTTCAAAGGGAAAGATTGAAGGAACAAAGTGGGAGGGGCAACGCATAGAAATCCTGTGGGAGGGATAAGCCCTTTCACCTTTTCTCGTCCTCTAACCCTGACCATCAGTGTTTCAGTGTCGTTACCACTCTATAGCTGGGAGTGGTAACAAATAATTGCAGATCTCAGATCTAGGATATGACAGACAACTGCAGATCTCGGATGACTCTGGTATTTACTTAGGAGGAGGCCTCTAGTACATCCTTGTTTGGACCTGACCTTATTCTCCACCTTCCCGAAGTAGGACTAGGGAAAACAGCACCTTCAGAGGAGCCCAGAAGAAAGCTCAGAGTTCTGTGTGGGAGAATGCTTTGCCCAGGGGACAAAGGCTTAGGAAACAAGCTCAAATTGATAGTTCGACCTGAGGTAGCTCTTCACTGTTTGCTCCTTGCAATAGAAAAGGGCAGCTCTGGCCCAGCCATCTCCTTACCATGAACTGGGGAAGGCTATACAGCATGCCTTGGTAGAGAATTTCCCATGGCGTTTCTGGTACCACCTCTTCTCCCTATGATAGGAAACACACAGTTTGTGCAGATTTACTTTCCAGGTGACCACAGGCTACATTTTCTTGATTATGAGGGGTGGCATGAAAAGAGCACTAAACAGGGAGTCAGAGCCAGGATAGCATCCTATCCTAGGATGCTAATAACTGGTTATATGACCTTGGATAAGTTACCTCCCCTCTCTGAGTCCTAGTTTCCTCTTCAACAGGATCAGTGGGCTGGTATGGATAACCTTTGAGGCCTCTTCCAGTCCCAATAATCTATGATTCTGGTTTTCCCACTATCTACAATTAATCTAGAATTATTCTTTACATGTCGCATGCTGGATCAGGAGTCAGAACTCCCACTTAGGAGTTACTCAGAACATTATTTTGCTGGACACATTCACAGAACCATTCTAGATAGACATGGGATTAATTTAAGCTACAGGTACACCTAGGATATTGGAACACACACCCCACACAGAGGCATATCCTATGGTGTTGATCTGAGGTCAATCAAGAGCTCTAGAATGCTCTGTAAGCCAGAAAGGAGAGGTAGGTGGCTCAATAGGGAGAGTTAGTAAGGGAGTTAAACAATCTATAGCTGGTGAAACTGGAGTAATAGCAAGGAAGCTTTTAGGTGGGCAGAAACTATTTCCTTCCCCTCTTTCTAGCTCCAGTAATATCACTTTCTCCTTTCTGGCCAAGGTCTTCATGCATGTGTCTGTCCTCCTGATGACCCCAACTAAGCCCTTTATCAAGGTGGGTGCTCAAGAGGCTACTTAGGCCTCTTTGATATCTTTGGTGAATGTAATCCCTCTTCCCTAGAGGCCTCTCTATTTCAGAGCAAGGGTCACTGCCATGAGACCCAGAGGCAGGAAGAAGTAACTGGGTCTCTTCTGTTCCACACAACTCAGTTGCTACTTATATGTACATAAATCTTAAACGGACATTCAACAGAGCCTGGTAATCCTAGCAAGTGCCTTCCTACTCCCCCAAAGGCCTAATTCCTAACTTCTTCCTTCTACTAAAACCCACCCTTTTCTCCTACAGCCCCTCAACAGTTGCTGATCCTGCCTCACACTTCACAGAGAAAACAAGCAATTAGATAGACATACCTTATCTTCTTAACACCAGATCTACCAGAGTCTCTGCCTGCCTTCTGACATGCAGAATGAACCACCTATGCTTGGATCACAGGCCAACCTTCTACTTAGGCTCATGGTACCATACCCTTTCACTTTGTGGAACACATCAATCTTGTAGTCTGCCCGTCTCCCGGATTAGAGATATGCTCATATCTCTCAGTGATGACACTCTCCCATGACCCTCCATACTCTTTAAGCTACCATCCCATTTCTCTACTTTTCACATAACATGTAGGCTGTCTGTCTACTTCCTTTTTTGACACTCCTTTTCAATATACTCCAATCAGGCTTTCAACCCCACAACTTGTGGCTGCTTTTTCCAAGGTCACTGGTTTTCTTCATGTTGCCAAATCCATTGGGTACCTCTGTTCTTAATCATGTGCCATCTATCAGCAGCATTTACTCAGCTGATCATTTCTTTTATTTTTTTTTTGGGGTACTGGGAATTGAACCCAGGACTTTGCACGTTAGGCAAGTACTCTACCACTTGAGCTACACCCCCAGCAGTTCCTTCTTGAAAAACATTTTTGCTTTTTATCAGGCTCCTGGATTTCCTCCCTCTTCACTTAAGAGTTTTTCTTATTCTTCTGGCTTCTTCCCTGACTTATCTCACACTCAATATTCTGGTGTGTCCCAAAGCTTCGCCCTGGGTTCCATTCTCTTCTATCTTTACTCCCTCCAGGGGTTCTCTCAGTCACTTTTATGGATTTTAACGCTGTCTATAAATCAATGATTTCCAAATTTCTCCGAACCAGCCCTCTCCCTACAACTCTAGACATGTGTATCTAATTGCTTGGCAGCGCTGCGTGGGGCACTTAATGGCATCTAAAACTTAGTATGACCAAAGCAGGACTCTTGATATTCCTCCCCATGGTGGCAGATGGAACTTGTTCTTGATTCTGTTCTTCACCTCTCTAGTCACATCCAACTGAACTGCAAATCTTGTCAGCTATACCTTCAAAATATAACCCAAATACATTTACTTTTCCTTATCTTCACAATTACTATCCTAGGCTAGGTCACCACCATCTTTCACCTGGACTATTTCAAGATGGGTCAGTGCTTCCACTATTTTTTGTTGATTTTTTGAGACAGAGTCTCACTATGTAGTCCAGGCTTTAACTCTCAATTCTCCTGCCTCAGACTCACAAGTGCTGAAGTTGCAGGTATATATCACCATGCCCAGTAGTGCTTCCACTCTTTTCTGGTCCAATATTTACAAAGTAGTCAGTGGTTTTTAAAAACACAAATCAGTTCATGTCACTACTTAGAATCTCCAAAGGCTTCCTTTTGTACTGTGAATCAAGTTCAAGCTCCTTACCTTTGCTTACAGGTTCTATTTGCAGTGGCCTCTGGTCACCTCTCTGATTCAATTTTACAGCCCCACCTGATCCCCTGTGTTTTGTCACATCAACCTTCTTTCACTACCTCTGACACTCTGTGCCTATTCTCCCCTTGTTAAGGCTGTTCCTGGAATGCTATTCTTCTGATGCTCCTATGGCTGGCTCTTTTCTGTATCTCAGATCTTGGCTTAAATGTCACCTTCTCAGAAGTCAACTAATCTGAATGCCTAATTCATAGTAGTCTACGGATGCTTCTATCATGTCATCCTATTTAAATTGTCCTCATTGAATCTATTATTCTTTGATAGATTTGTTTATTATCTTTCTTCTCTAACTTTAATAAGCACAAAAGCAGGGCCTTCATCTTGATGATGACACACAGTAAGAGCCCAAAAAGCTGAATCAGTGAAAACACACATGATGTGACAGAATTCCTTCTTCCCTCCTCCTGTGCATGACCCCTTGGCTCACCAAAGACATGGGGCATTTCTCCAGCTCCTCTTCATTCTTGATCTGCACATCTGCGATGGAGATGTACTTATGCTGGCAAAGGTAAGAAGACATCGACAAGGGCTGAGGCCTCAATTACACGTGTGCCCATCTCTTACTTCCTGACAGGGAAATGTTCTGCTATGGGTCTGACACTCCAAATAGACATGAACTCTTTGAAGATGGGAGTCTTATTCACTTCTGCATCATCAGTACTGAACAAAGTGCTTCACAAACAGTGTTTCTGTGTATTATATGTTTCCATATTTAAGCTGCAAATATCTAAGCATTTACCTTCAAACAAAGTGCAAGGGGAAGTTAAGGCCAGGCCTTTGCTCTTTCACCATTGTCCTTAGAATTCTGATGTGCATGTGTGTGTATATGGAGTCCATACTCTTTGTGCTCATACACACAATGCATGTAGAGTGACTCCTACTCAATCCTGGGCCTTTGAAAGTTAGTGGATCTATGGGGAGAGAGAAGTGAAAGGAAAGGAAGCATGGAGTGGGAAGAGAAAGGGAAGGATGAAAAAAGAGAAAAGGAATGAAAGGAAGGAAGAAAAACTTTTTAAAAAAATCTATCTTTATGTAGGAAACTAGATAAGTAGAGAGACCTGATTTTTCCTAACTGGCCAAAAGGCCTGCAGGAGAGATCCTGGTAATCCAACTTGCCTTGTTGGTTTTCTATTCTTGAAGACTGAGAGCCCACCCTATTCACCTGCTTCAGGGTCTTCACACTCTCATGGATGGGTCGAGGTAATCCAACCAAGGTATCTGTGTCCCTGTGAAAGACCAGAAACACCAGACGATAAACTTCAAAAGAAGAGAACATGGGCTGGGGATGTAGCTCAATGGTAGAGTACTTGCAGAGCATGCATGAAGCCCTAGGTTTAATCCCCTGCACTGGGAAAAAAAAAAGCTACTATGTATCCTGGAGTCAGAATGACTATGCCACTTTGGCATCTACCCTGGTATCCCAGACCTTCCTCTGTAAGGTTCTAGGTTCCCTATCTTGCTTGAGGACACAAAAATAACAATCATACACAGAAATGTTTAGAAAAATGAGGACCTATGAATAGCACCTGGGGCACTCACTTGATCTTGGAGTGACAGGTTTCTACCTAAAGGTGTATGTATCCCAGGTTTCTACTTGAATGCGTATATATCCCAGTGATTTTTTTTTTTTTTTTTTTTTTTGCGATACTGGGGTTTGAACTCAGGGTCTATACCTTGAGCCACTCCACCAGCCTTTTTTTGTGTTAGGTATTTTTTGAGATAGGGTTTTGAGAACTATTTGTCCGGGCTGGCTTTGAACACCGATTCATCCTCCTGATCTCTGCTTCATGGGTAGCTAGGATTACAGATGTGAACCACTGGCACCCGGCCTCAGTGATACTTTTGAGGGCAAAATCCCAGTAACAAAGCCTTCCAGGTTTTATAAAGGCCAGTGGGAGGGATTCATGAGGGTGGCCCCCTAGGAACTACTTTAGAGCCGGTTTTGATCATCCAGTAACTTACTGCCCCAGGGTGAATCCGATGAACTTGTTCCTGCTTATCTCCAAGAAGTGCTCGATGTCCTTCTGTCTGCAAGGATGGTGGAGAGACCAATCCCAGAGAAGGGAAGAAAAACAAACCTTGAGAGGAAGAACTTTTCAGGGCTCCTGTCACCTGACTGGGAGGGCTGGAGCAGTGGGGGAGACAGCAGTCAACAGAAGGAACTTCAGACCAGGAGTTCTAACTGCCAGGTCAGCTTAATGAACCTTGGGCCTTCCGTGATTACAACCCCAAAGCTTGGGGGTCCCTGATGCTATGAAACCTACCTGACCTTTGGGGCCCAGGGTAGGCCCTTGGGAAAGGTCACCCGCTCAGCAGAGAGGGGTGCTTGTGAGGGTGGAGGTGGCACCAGAGGGTCCTGTTCTAGCAGGTCTAACTCTCCATCCAGGGTTCGTTCTCCATCACCAGCAGACTCCTCTTCCTCCTCTGTGGCTGGCTCCTCAGTCTTGAAGAGATCCCTTTCATTGTAGATATCCAGGCTGTCCTGTTTGGTGAGGAGTTGCTGGTGGGGAGGAAAGTACAGAGATCTTACCTTGGCCATCCTTATCTGAAGCCAGCCCCGACCCACAGGCTTCCAGACTTCAGGGAACATGGAGTTGGAACTCAGTTCCTGTAGGAATAGCCCATTTCCCACCTAAACTTTACAGGCAAGTGGGTACCATCCTAGGATAAGCACTCTCTACAACCATGCAAGTGGCCTGGGGGCAGAGCATAGATAGTCCCAAAGTCATAGTTACTTAGCTTTCAGAAAGCACTGGTGCTTTTTTTTTTTTTTGCTAGCACTTTCCTTCCTAATTATGCTTTGCTTAGGTGAACATTCAATTAGTTTGCCTTCTGTGAGCATACACCAGCTGGCTGACTGAGGAAGATGATGAGAGAAGCTTGCTGCTAGGCAGAGGGAAGCAAGTTTGGAATTTTAAATCTTGTTGCAGAAAGAAAAAAAGATTAGACAGAAATAGGCCAAAAAGTTAACAGCCACTGTCTCTGGTTGTTAAGATTGTGGGTGATTTTCCTTTTCTCTTTTTGTCACACTTTTATATTTGCTCCACATTTTCTACAATGACTAAGAATTACTTTAGAAAACAAGAATAACCAAAAAAAAGTTTACAAAAATCACACTGCATATAGACTGGATTACTGAGCATGATTATCTGGCCCTGCTACCTTTAGTTGGTGAACTCAGGTAGGTCAAGCAGATGAGTTCAGGAGAGCGTGGTTGAGTCTCAGTGTATCTTATTCTGATCTTTTCATGGCTGTACAGTATACCTAGAATCCTACCCAGTCATCTCTCAGATGTAAGCTTGTAGCCCAGAGACAGACAGGAGTATGGCTGGCTCATAGTAAACCTTCTTGCTGCTAAGAAAATAGCAGTGTCTCACCCCAGGCACAAGGATTTGCTGGGCGCCTTGTTCAGCATCCCTATTCTGAGGATTCCACCCTAACTGCTATTTAGGATGCTAAGGAATTCCAGTCACTGAGGTCCAGGCCGATGATCCTGAAGCAAGACATGGCTATATGATGTGGCATCACAGTGCTCCATCAGGACAACCCAGGAGCCTGTCAGGGCTGGGTCACAGAGGCCAAAGCACAGACTCAAAGGTTTCATGTTGGTCACAGGGCCAACCTGTCACACCCAGAGCAGCTTAGTCTTGATTTTTGGCCAGCCACTCACTATTCCAAAACTATTATTTGCTTTAGTCCATACCCTTCGAGAACCACGGCGGCCTCGTAGCTTGGAGGGTGGCGGAGCCAGCTGAGATTCCCCCAGGTCAAGAGTGTAAGAGGGCGGGGAGGCGGCACGCATGCTTTTCACCACCTGGATGCTGTCCTCAGCCAGTGGAGGTAGTCCCAATTCTGCCCGCTTCTGTATTTTGAGAGCCTGAAGATGCTCAAATCCACCAAGAGTAAACTAAAGTGTGAAAAGGAAAGGGCCAGAGAAGAGAAAGAAAGGGAGAGAAGTCACAGAGGAAACATGAATGAAAAAAAAAGAGCCACAATCTGCAGTATCCTCAGATCCCCTCCTGAGTAAAAGTAAGGAAGTAGATAAACAGGAAGGTGCAAATGTTATCAACCCAGTCTGAGGAGCTCAAGGGTCAGAATAAAGTGTTATTTACTGACCCAGGGCTGGAAACAGCAAAAGTTAGAAAAAGGGACTCCAGGAGGCCTCCACTAGAAAATCAAACCAAACCAAACCAAAACCAGGAAAAAAAAATCTTTTTTTTTTTTTTTTTGAGACAGGGTCTTACTATGTAGCTCAGGCTGGCCTAGAGCTTGCAGTCTTCCTACCTCAGCCTCTTCAGTGATGGGATTACAGGTATGTGCCACCATGCTTGGCACAATCTCCCTTTTTAAGGGGCACATTCAGATGCTGTGAGCCTCCAGTTACTCAACTTCTGCTATCAAGAGACAGTTCCCCATGAGGCCTCCTAGAGGGTATGCTCAGCCAGCCCTGGGGGATGGGAGCCAGAGAGGAGAGCCACAGGGGGCTGTGGGATGAAGGATCAGGTTGAATGCTAATTAACGAAATTGCAACTATATGCTTATAAGGACTTTTTTTTTTTTTTTTGTGGTACTGGGATTTGAACTCCGAGCTGCATGCTTGCTAGGCAAGTGCTCTATAGCTTGAGCCACTTACCAGCTCTTTTTTTGTTGGGTATTTTTGAGAACTATTTGCCTGGGCTGGCTTCGAACTGCAATCCTCCTGATCTCTGCCTCCTGAGTGTTTAGGATTATAGGCATCAGTGGTGCCTGGCTAGGACTTCATTTTTTTGTTTTGTTTTGGTGGTACTGGGGTTTGAACTCAGGCCCTAGTTCTTGCCAGGCAAGCACTCTACCACTTAAGCCACACCTCCAGTTGTAGGACTTAATTTTTTAAAAAATATCTTCTATTTATCTGGAGAGAGGGCAGGCACTAACCCCAACATTTTATAACTAGAGAAACTAACATGTGCACAGAGTTGCCTAAGGTTCCTTAGTATCAGCAGAGCCAGATCTCCCAACTTTCAGCCAGTGTTCTTTCCATGAAACATCAGCTTTGTCAGGGGGATGGTGCCATTGACACTCCCAACTCACGAAGTGGTGTCTCCAATAGAAACAGAAACCTGCTCTGACACAGAACATCTGATGTCTCTAGGACAGCCTTGTTGCCCCTCTTTGCTAGCTGTCCTATTCTACCACCTAGCTTCAGTTCCTGGAATCAGACTGGAAGAAACCGAGGTGAGGCATTGCTGATCTGATGAGATGGGAATGGGAAGATCAGCCACTCACCATGACCACCTTCCAGAGCAGAAGCAGAACCTTCTTTATGGGAAAGTGGGCGGCCAAGCCACTACAGAACTTGGTAACCATGGAGAAGAGCAGAAGGGCAAAAGGCTCTTCATTATGCACGGAGAAGCCTAGGGGTACAAAGAGAGCCAAGTGAGAAAGTAAGGATGAAGCAGCTGAAACCTTGCCCCTGTATCCCCGATTCTAGACAAACTGAGAAAGGCACTCACCTCCCTGCAGGACCCAAGTGCTTGGTCTTGAGAAGGAGGCACAGTGAGCCCCCAGAGGGAAGCCCCTCAAGGGCAGGATGGAGGCTATGGAGGTAAAATGACTTGGCCCCCAGAGCTTAGGGTGAAGCTTTGGGGTCAGTGCCAAACTAGAAGTGACAATAATGAAGATGTTGCTCTCTGGCTGGCTAAAGAACTCAAGATATTTCATGGATCATACTTAACTTTTTATTTATTTACATAAACAAATATATTTTTAAATTCTTATAGGCCTTCGTATCCTATTTCTATCAGATGACTACACTAATATTCATTTGAACAGAGCTCAGTTTTCAAGGTGATTTCACTAATTAGTTCATGTGGAATTCATGACAGAATGGGAGAAGGATGGCTATCCTCACTTCTAACCAAGGAAAGCAAGGCACAGAGAAGTTATGTGACTGGTCCTATATCACAGACCCAGGGCGGCAATCAAGCCCAGCCCACCATGCCTGCCACCCAGTATCTCTGTCCTCAAAGAAGGGATGATCTGCTTCCCCTGTTCCGTCAGCACTACATCCCTACCCTCCTTTAATGTCATTTCTTACTCAGTTCAGTGCGGAAGGTCTCTCGAGCTGTTCTCCAACCACAGGGATCTGTCTCTCTCTCCAGGCGGATATTTTCTACCATTAGGTACATGACACTCAGCAGCACTCTGGGATAACAGAAGAGACACAAGAGGTTCCCAGCCCATAGTCAGAGACCTCCAGGACGATTTCAGTGGGAGTCCAACCTCAGAGAGATGAGCTAGAGGGTAACTTCCCAGTGGTATGGGAAGTCCTAATCATGCCGCTGTCCCAAAGCCATAGTCAGCCCCACTCACCGGAGTTCTGTGCTGTCAGCAATGGAGACAGCTGGTTTCCGAAGGGCACTGCCACAGGACTGGCTGTTGCTGCCGCGGGGAGGAGGGAAAGAACAGGAAACCTTAAGGCCTCTTTCCAACCTCATTTATCATACACAGGGAATACCTGCCATTCCCTGGCTATGCAGCTATTAATGAAACCGATACGAGGTAAAGAAACCCACAGAATTCCCTTTCACCACAGCAAACCCTCATCCATGGCGAAGACAGGCAAGGCAGGGCCTGTGGTATCCATTCTTCTTGTGATTCCCCACCGTGCCTAGTACTGTGCTAGACACAAAACAGATGCTAAGCAATACCTGATGAATAATGAACACATTTTGCTGTATCTAAGCACATTTTGCATGATACAAAGTGAGGGGTCACTATAGTAGCAGCAGGTGAGGCCACCTCTAGAGTTATAACCCATGAGAGAAGGAACTGGGCACAATGACAGAAACTGGTCCTGTTCCCCTTGGGTCATGCTTATAAAGGAAGAACAGTTTTGGTTTTTTTTCCATGGATTCCAGAGTTAGGCTGAGCTGAGAAGGTGCTTGTATGAAAAGGGGAACCAGTCAGGATAGGCCCCTGAAGCCCTGGATTGAAGCTATAATTGGAGTAGAAGCTCCCTCTGTGAGCTCAGCCTCAGGAAGGGAGGATACAACATTAGGAAACACAGCTGGATGGAGGGGAAATGTCAGTGAGCACTGAGTGGAGGTGTGAGTGGACCCAGTTCCTACCAGGGGTCTCTACTGAGGAAACCCACATAGGACATGAGATCCCTTCAAGAAAGACAGTAGTCTAGGGCTACTCCTCCCCCAACACTTCTTACTCAATTTCCATGTGGAGTAGCTCCAGGAAGGTCGAGAAGGTCCCCATCTGATAGAGCAGGAAGCAGTTGTACCTGGACCAGTGTAGCACATCGACCTCTGAGTCACATTCCCCAAAAGTGCCTAAAGGGCCAGACAGTTGCCATAGGGGTTGAGGTGGGAGAGCAGGTCTCCCAGTTCTTTCCAACCTGTCCCACTACCTTAACACATTCCTCTAACACCTTGCCCAATAATTAAGCTGACAGAGGTAGGGCGGGTCCCTGAGAATTTCAAATGAGTCAGGGGAGGGAAAAGGTAGTCTCCAGGGTTAGGTCCAATGTACTCATCAATAACCCGTTTTATGTTTGGGTTCCCCCAGAAGAAGGTCCTGAGATCAGTACTGGCTCAAAAGCAAGTAGCGCATTTGGGAACTGATCCCAGTAATTATCAGTAGAAAAGTTGGGAAGTGAGATAGGGGAGAGAATGCAGCTAAAAGAGTTTAATCCCAGGGAAAGCTCTGGAAACAGTATAAAAAACACACAACTTGGAGTTATCTCAAGAGAAGTGAGATAATCAGGCTACTCATTTTCTCAATCCTCAGGCATTTAATGAGGATGAGCATATTAATTATTCCCTACACTTCCTCACTGCCCTATGTGGACTGCAGAGAAAGTGCTTGGGCAAAAGATCTTTGTATTGACAGCTGGAAGTTGGCCAGAGCACCAGTCTCAAGAGAATGGCACCACCTTATTTCTTATTTCTTTCCTTCACCAAATGTTCACCATGTGTCCTCTTCATTTATCTTTTCTCTTTTACAATTTTTTTTAGCTCCCAACTAGTTGGTTTATCAGCAGTGCTCACATTCATGATCCCAAGTCTTATTTTCACAACTCCAGGTAGGCTGTATCATTTCCCTTCCAACACCTGGCTGACAGGTTTCATCTGGGACGTTTTCCTCAATTGATCTCATTTAGTTCTGATCATCTGCAAATTACTCACAACATCCCCTCCTGCTGCTATGTTGGCTTAAACCTTCAAAATGCCAATGAGAAACCATGCAGAGGGACATGTGTGAGTCTGTGGCATATCCCTGCCTCTCCTCAGTTGGCTCTAGGCCACAGCTGATGACAGAAGTCTCTATGCTCAGCTTGTGGGACGCTGACTCTTTTGCTAATCTTCATATGTACTTAATGTTTAGGTTAGGGAAAAAAAGAACCCTATAAAAAAAAATCCCAGGGCCGTGTGTGTGTGTCTCAAGTAGTAGAGTGCCTACCTAGCACGTGTAAGACCCTGAGTTCAAAGCCCAGTAACACCAGGAAAAAAAAAAAGGGTGAAGTAGGCATGGTGGCTTACACCTGTAATCCCAGATGCTTGGTGGGTGGAGATTGGGAGGATTGTGGTTTGAGGCCAGCCTGGGCAAAAAAAATTAACAAGACCCCATCTCAACAAATAAACCAAGCATGGTGGCACGGTAGTGACCCCAGCTATACAGGAGGTGTAGGTAGGAGTACCATGGTTGGAGGTACTCTTGGCTGGCCCAGGACAAAAAACATGGGACCCTATCTGAAAAATAACTAAAGCAAAAAGGTCTGGGGGTATGGCTCAAGTGGTAGAGTGCCTGCCTAGCAAATGCAAGGCCCTGAGTACAAACCCCAGTACTGCCAAAAGAAAGAAATCCTGACATGCCTGATAAGACAAAGACAGATGCTGAGGGATCCAGCACAGTACCCAACACCATCTCCTCATCTTCCTCACAAGCATGAACTACTCCTAGCAATGACAAGATCTGTTCTTGAGAGGCAGGGGACTTTGTTTTCCTAGTCTGCCTTGTCCTACTTCCCTCCCAAGCTAGAAAGAGTGGGCACGCACCTTGAGCTAGGTAGAGAACAGCCCGGGCCACCTTAAGCCGCTGCTCCCTACTGACCACCTCCAGCCGGTCCAGAAGTCCCATCACATAGGTCTTTTGGGCGTCTTCTTCCAACTCCAGCCATTCCTTGCCTTGCACTAGGAATAGAAGGCCATATTCATCCAAAGTTGGCACCCCTTTCTGGAAAGGTCCCTGATATCATACCCACCTCTGATCTAGGCCTCCCAACAAATTCATTCCAAAAGCTTTTCTTATTTTTTCATTTTTTTGCTGTGCTGAGGATCAAACACAGGGCCTCACACATACTAGGCAAGTACCTACCATCGAACTATATCCCTAGCCCAAAGTTTTCCCTATTTAGCCAAGAACAAATGAGGGACAGGAAAAGAAGCATGGTCTGTGTCTGACCAAGGTGTTCTAGTCTGAATGCACTCTGTAGCCTCATCTTCAACATTCCCTCTGTCCTCCACACGTAGCCTGTTCTGTCCTGTCTGTCTGCCTTTCCTTAGAAGGCTTTACTCTATCCACATCCAACTCCTAGTTATCCTTACAGGCTCAATACAAGACGACCTCTTTCACACTAATGCCCCAGCAAAAGGTCTGCCCCCAACATACTCTTTACTATTCTTTGGCACTTAGCATTTTCCTCTTGGATATGTACACCTCCCCACTGCTACCAGAATAGATAACCTCTTTGGAAAGTAAATTACCTTCACTCCTGCTTCCCGCATCTCTGATACAAAAGATATTCACCACACATTTATTGAATTGCATTGAGTTGCCACTGACCCAGGAAGGAAACAGAGATCTAGGGTTTCACAGTATGGGCACATAAAATTAGCTAGTAGAGTGGGGCGGTTAGAGGCAGAGGTTAAGTACTAATGTGAAGGATTAGGCTAGGCCCAGGATTCCATCAGATAGCAGGCACTGGACCACCTTACTTCACCATCTCTCTGCTCTCCTTGACCTTTATACCAGAGAAAGGACCCCAGCTCAGGCTTTTCTTCCTTCCACCCCATCACCTCTCACTTGAGATACAGGGAATGCTGTATCCCATATGCAAGAAGTGAACACTATTTAGCCAAATAGTTTTGTTTTCGCCTTTTACTAGATCAGATTGTGATACCACAGAGGGAAGAAGCATGTCTCTGTGAGTAATGGTCTGGGATCACCTTGAGTCTTGAAATCTTCTTCAAAGCACCGCCGGTTGGTGGTGAATTCCGGGTTCTCAGTGTAGCTATACAATTCTGTAGTAGGAAAGACAGCACAGAGTCACATTCAGGAGACCTTAAACAAGGGGCCTGGGATAGAGAGGGTGGCATGAAGGAACTGAAGCATCCAACACATTCCTGTGTCCAATTCAATCCAGAGCCAGCTTCCTCCCTTTCAGAGCAGTTAAAAATAGCCACTTGTGTCCCGGGGTGATTAAACCATCAAACCTGTCCTCCTCCTGCCAGCTGGCTGCTACAGCAGAGAAGGCAGGCTTCAGCATTTGGTAAGGGCCAGGAAGGGGGCTGGAGCACAGGGGGCTTAATGTCATCACTTCTGTCTCTGAGGGCTGCAACCCCTTCTGCTTTGTCAAACTAGGCTGGAGCTCTCCCCAGAAAAGAGGAAGGCACTACAACTCCTGAAATTTAGAGGCAAGATTCTCATGCTGTTCAGGAAGCCATGGAAAGGGCTGAAAAAACACATGCTAGACTGCTCTTCAGGGCTGGAACCAGTTCATTCTCTCCCTGCTAAGTTTCCTCGAAAGGTATAGAAATTTAGGTTCCTACATACAGCCACCTGGGAAGAGGCAGTAATGAACCATTAGGAAGGCAGCTATGGTTGCCAAAGGACTGTTTATGCCCAGAAAAATCTAACTTCACTGATCATAGTCTCTAAATACAAAAATGAGAATAAAAATGTCCTTTACACACTCACACACACTCCAGAACCTTCAACCTGCACCCTAGTCTTACAGAAGATGAAGAATTAAAAGCAAAAAGGCAATAGGTGATAAAATAGATTACCTAGAAACTCTCTTCCCCCAGATCAGAGATGGTTCAGAAAGAGAAAGTGACTGCGCTCCGGCTACTTGTCTGAAGTTGAGAATACCTTCTCTGGGAGCCAGAGCTTTTTGAGTTCCGACTTCCAGAATCTGGGAGTGAGCAGATTCAAATTCCATCTCTGAATCTTAAATACTCCAGTCATTAGTGGAGAATGTGAATATTGTTTTGAAGAGCAGAGTACCAGAAGCCCAGTCAGAAAAGTGAACTTTGGTTTTGTTCTTATTTTTTGATTTCAGATAATGAAATTCCATATTCTGGTAAACACAGAATACATCTAAGGCACTTGTGTATCTTCTACCAAATAAACCAATGTTAACATTTGTCATCGTCTGCTTTAGACTACTCCCAAGTTGTACTGCTTTCTCTAGAGAGAACTACTGTAATGAAATGGTATGTATCCTTCACGTGTAAGTTTTGCACTTTTACTGCATATGATGTGTCTGTAAACAACCCATAATACCATTCTGTTTTAGAAGTTTTTAATCTTAACAGCATCATATCATCTAAATGCTTTTTGTCACTGCTTCTTTCCTTCAATTTTGTTTTCGGCATTTATTGATCTTGATTAATTATATTAATGACTATGTGCTATGTTAGCCTACCACACGATATGCTAGTTTACTGATGGTCATTTTGAGTTGTTTTCAAAATCTCTCTTTTTTTTTTTTTTTTTGGTGGTACTGGGTTTTGAACTCAGGGCTTTGTGCTTGCTAGGTAGCTCTGCCTCCAGCCCAAGGTTATTTTAAGTTTTTCACAATTATCAACGAGGCCACAATAAACATTTTTGTACATTGCCTTGTGCTCAAGTGCAAGGTCCTTTAGGGTGTGTATCTAGGAGTGGAACTACTGGGTCACAATATGTGCATGTCTTCAACTTTGTTAGATGTGACCTAACTGCTTTCCAATTTTATACTCTGCTCCCCTATACTGTGGTACACAGCAGTGTAGAAAAGTACTCGTTAGGCTTTTAAGTTTTGCATTCTGATGATTGTGAAATAATATCTCATTATTTTAATTTGCTTTCCCCATTAACTAATAAAGTTGAATTATTTATTTATTTATTTAATGTTGAGGATCCAACCCAGGGCCTCATACATGCCCTTTCATACTTACTGACTACCTGGTTTTCTATCAATCACATTCATATTCTTTGTTCACTTCTCCTTCCTTCCTTCTTTCCTTTTTTTTTCAATTTTTTTTTTCCTGTGGTATGGGGTTTGAACCCAGGGTCTCATGCTTATTAGGCAGGTGCTCTACCACTTGAGCCACTCCGCTAGCCCTTTGCCCTTTGTCCACTGCTCTGTTGGGTTGTTCATCTCTTTTTTTGTCTTTCACTTGCTCTCTCTTTCTTTTTTTCTCTACATATATTCAGATTCAGATTCTTATCCTTTGTTCATTATTAAATTTAGCTCTCTGTTTCCATGTCACTCATCACAAAATTTATTCCCTGTGCTTATTCACCAGAACTTCTTTTAAAATATTTGTCTTTTTCTCTGAAAAAGCATGTCTCAAAGTGTCACTTCCATGTGACAGAATACTTAACTTTCACATCATCTCCACCCAAAGCTCGTTTATTAATAGCTAGCATTCATAGCACATGTAACATAGAGGCCCTTAATATGAGGCAATCACGTTTACCCTAAGCTAAAAACCCAGACAGAGAAGCAGCCTGTGACTGAAAAAAAATAGGTTACTTAACCCCAACTCACAAGATCATGGCTACATCATCTATATATGATAGATGCGTGTGACATGGCCAGCCTTGCTTGGCTAGCAAAAGTTTTCCTCAGCCATTGCTAAGATTTTAATAAGGGGTAGATGTTAGGGGAAGGAAGAGACAGAGATGGAGGAGACAAAGCAGAGAGAGAGATGGAATGGGATAGAGCATGGTAGAAAGAATGAGCATGCAAAGATATGGGTGATGTGGGGCCGGGGGGTGGGGTAGAGAGAAAGAAAGGGTGAGAGAGAGAAAGTAATGGGGAGAAGGTGGAGAGAAAACTGATCTCAGTACATCAAAAGAAAATAAAGAAGGGTGAGCAAGAGAGTGACAGAATGAAAGAATGAAGAATACCAGAGCCAAGGAGAATTCACAGAAGGAAATGTGAAAGCAAACAAAGAGATATTTACCATTGCAGGGCAGAAGAAAAAGGAAAGTAGAGAACAGCTTTGTTCAGTAGCTCCTTGCTGAGACCAGAGGAGCTGTCAAGGGAGATCCAAGGCTCCTTCTCTCTCCCCCTGGGCCAGTCTTCCAAGCACTACTGACCCACTGTACTTCCTACCTGACAACTCTGCTGCATGCGCATCTGCATCTCCATACTCAAACTCCAGAGTCGGGCAGTCCACGGAGCCCTGTAAGGGAGAAATTTTCTGGTAAGGGGTTGCCAAGGGAAGATTATACCTTCATTTCATCTTCTTCCTCTACTGGAGGTCAAGGTTACATCAGTGACCCATGTAGAAAATCCCATTTGGTCTTTCATTTGAGAGGTACACTCCTCCAAGCCAAAACTTGAGGCTCGGTGCAAGGAGGGGCTAAGGATTGCTACACAGAATCAGAATGTCTGGGTAAAATACAGGATTGTAAAGAGATATGGTGGCTATTTCTTCCTACATGTAATCTACATACACCCAGATCAGAGGAGAATCTAGCCGATCGCTAGAAAAATAAGATGGACAAAAACAAAAGAGGGGAACTGGATTCTAGCTTCAATTCTGTCATTAATGCACTGTGTGATTTGGGACACATCTCATGCTGTGCAGTTTCTCATCTAATATTCTCCAACTTCAGGACTGCATTAGAGGCTCAATTCCTATGATATATGTATCATCCTTATTTAGGACTAGGGGCGTCGCTCAGTGGTAGAGCATTTATTTGCCTAGCAAGCACAAGGCCCTGAGTTCAAAATCCCAGTACTGGCAGGAAAAAATACATTTAATATAATCCTACTTCTTAATCTCTTTAAGTTTTGGGGGGGGGGCATTTTCTTCTAGTATACATTTATGAGAATTTTTAAAAATCTGAATCTCAGCTCTGTCACATGCTGTTTGATCATGAGTAAGTTAACTTTTCTGTGCCTCAGTGTAGTATCAAAAATATATTTGGTCTTTGTCTTTGGTTTCTGGCACAGGCTCCTAAAACCCTTAGAACTTTCTGATAGGAGTGGTAGTCAAAATGAGCCCCTGTCAACCATACCAGAATATATGTTAATGAGATGATGCATGGTGGGTCCCCAGATAGTTTCAAGGGAGGTACTGGCCCTGCCAGAAAACCAAGTATGTGCTTTGAGGATATAACTGGGTACCACCCCAGGGTGGAGCCTACAGAGTGAGTTCAGTCAAATGGTCAATAGCTTAATCATGCCTAGGCAATGAAACGCCACATAAAAACCCTGAGACATTGACTTAGGCAGCTTTTGGGTTGATGACTAAACAGATGATTATAGAGCACCTTGTCCTATGTATCGCTTCCATTTGGCTGTTTCTGAGTTATAATATATTTTTTTATTAAAAGTGATAGTAATAAGTACATGCATTCCTGAGTTCAAGAGTCACTCGAGCAAATTATCAAACCTAAAAGGAGGTAGGTCATGGCAACCCTGAGTCTGTAGTTGGCAGCAGAAATGCACATAACCCGGGGATCCACTTGCGGTTGGTATCCAAAGTGAGAGAGGCCTTGTGGGACTGAGCACTTAACTTGGTGGGGTGCACACTAACTCTGAATAATTGGGGAATTGTTGGAAAATGATGTGCTCTGTTTTCTTATCTGTAAAATGAGGATAAAAATAAGATATCACGAGGTTATCGTAAGGACTAAATGAGCTTAAATAAAGGAAAAGCACTGAGCATGTCACCTAACACATGGTCTCACAATGTATGAATGGTTATTCCACTTATAGTTTTAATATTTTATTATAAAGACTTTCTTATATTATTACAACAACCACTTGAAATGGCTGTATAAATGGAGAGACATCTATCAGTTTACCTAACAAATTCTCAACTGTTGAACATTGAAGATGTTTAAATTTTTCTTTATTATATGCATGAAGTTGTAATACTCTTATAATTTTTTTAGTATTTGGAATATTTTCTAAGGATAGATCTTTACAAGGAGAATTAACACAGAAATCTTCTGGAGGTGTTTATGGCTCTTTGTACACAACACATTGTTTCCCCAAGCCACTACCAATTTACACTGCCAATAAGGCCAATCATGTTTAAATCACTGTAGCAAAGACTTCCAGACTTTCGGATTAAAGGAACCGGTAGGAAAAACAAACAAGGTAGAGGGTGGAAAATGACATAGGATTCGTTGATGTTTTATTCTGATTAAGGACTTAATCTTTTTAAAACATGTATTTCAAAAAAGAAAGAAAAATACCCCCAAAACACAAAAACCAACCAAACAACAACAAAAAAACAGTCATTAACAACTGTTTTCAAAGTTTTTGGAAAAATGACAAAAACTATTACACCATTTTTACACCATTTCCCAACACACACACACACACACACACACGTGAACAAAAATTTAATGAAATATTTTACTCTTACTATACGTGATGCACTGATATTTTCTACTACTCAATTTCTTTAAAAAAATGTCAGTCCCATTCACAGGTTGCTCTCTACAGTTTGAAAACACTATTTTTAAATTGTATACAGCCCTAAAAAAAAAGAAATAAATTGTATACATCCTTTGAATTTAATATATCGAACTAAATTTTAGAAAAACTTACTTCAATACCCTGAATTTTCCTTGTGTTGCCATAGACCACTTAAAACTTTGTCAAGGACCTTGAGAACCAGTAAACCAGAAGATCTGTTAAAAGAGGTATACGGGTGAATTCTTTTCTTTATTTGGTGCTAGTGCTGAATCTTTTTTGTTAGACTGGGGTTTGAACTCAGGACCTCACATTTGCAAAGTCAGCACTCTGCTGCTTGAGTCACACTTCGGTCCATTTTGCTCTGGTTATTTTTTGGAGATGTGTCTTGAGAACTATTTGCCTGTGGCAGGCCTCAGCCTCCCAAGTAGCTAGGATGACAGCAGGCGCCCCAGCGCCGGGCAGCATGACTCTTTTCTATTAAGCACTGTCCCTTTAGCTTCCTTTTCTGGTGTGCGGGCTATTCGTACACTGGGCCACTGGGGAGGGCAACGGTACCCCGAGAAACAGTGATGTACGAGGATGCTCTCTTGACTTATGCTAATAGTATTTTCTAGCAGGTTTCTAGAAACCACAGAGGGAAAGAAAATCATCTCCCCCAAGGACTGTCTTCCACAGGGAAGCAAAAAGAGGGAGGGAAGAAAAAGCAGATCTGGCACCTGGATACAACAGTGACAGGTCCCGACAGGTACACGGTGCTGCAGTGGAAGGTAGAGCAAAGCTAATCTTTCCACCAGCCCTTTTGTAGGCAATGAGCCCAGACAGAGATGATTACTGCAGCTCTTCACTTCCAGGCACGAAGAGTGCAACTGCAGAAAATCAGCAGGTAAACTGTGGTGCAAGTAGGAAGCTGAGTGTGGACACTGAGCTCACAGGCAAATGCAAAGTACTACTAGAGCTTTTCCTGAAGGAAGACTTGATGGCTGAGGAACATGCCTTCCACTTCAGAAGGGAGATAGAACATATCCCTCTGGAATTATTTCATTTATTGGCATGTTGTTTGTCCCCCCACCTCTACAAGAATGCTAGCTCCACAAAGACCCGGTCTTATTCACGGATATATCCCTAGCATCTAAAACAGTGCCTGACAAATAGAAAGGCTTCAATAACTAAGTTTTGAATTAATGGATGACACCCTCCCCAAAAAAACCATCTGAGCAAGAACAATGGCTCTGTGGGGGAAGGAGGCACAGAGTAACCTAAAAGCGCAAATCCTTCGAGAGCAGATAATGTGACGGATATGATCCAGGAGACAGGAGGTGTTGAGCTCTGCCTCTGCAAGGCAGTGACTTTGGGTCACCAATCTTTTCACCTCCTTTATGCTTAGAAAATAGGGGCTGAAAGTATAAGCTCAGTGGTAGAGCATCTGCTTAGCATTTGCAAAACCCTGGGTTTGATCTGCTGCACAAGGAAAAAAAAATTAAAAAGCAAGAAAGCAAGAAGAGAGGGAAGGAGGGAGGAAGAAAGAAAAAAATGAACAAAACAACAGATGATTCCTACTCTTTATCAAAACAGGAAGCATACATGAAATCTGTTGGAGACTGGGAGATACTATTTAAATGGTAAACTAGCCTGGGAAGGCAATGACCTGGCTTCTAGTGCCACCTCTGCTACTTAATGACGATGACAGTAACAGTAATGCAGTAATAAGGGCTACTGTGCACTGACCAATTAATTACCTGAACTGGGCTAAACATTTTGTAATCAATTATCTCACTCTGAATTGATCACAACCTTGTAAGGTAGGCAGTGTTAACCCCATTTTACAGATGAAAAAACTGGAGCTCAGAGACGTTTGGAGATTTGCCCAAAGCTAAACAGACACAACATGGGCATTCAAAACCTGGTGTGATGGACCCTGAAGCATGGGGTCTGCCAGATGTCTGATGTTGGGCAGGTTAGTTCTGCCTCTTTTCCCCTGTAGGATGATCCCCAGACCCTTCCCCATGTGACATTTCCTGGTCTAGTCTGCTGATCCCCACTCAGATACAATTCTACTCTTGGCTAGCTGATGAGAGCTGGCTGGGTGAAGGTGTGGGGGAGTGACAATAATTCAGTCCTTTCATCGTCCTAGTTAGGATTTCTTTTTTAGAAGAGGAAGAAGAGACCCAAATAGTCATTTTCCTAGCTGTATCCTGGGACAGTTCCATCTACACCGCCACTCCGTACAGCCCCATGCCCGATCGCGTCTCATTTAATCCTTACAGGCAAGGGACGATGTCCGCCAACACGCTCCCTATAAACGGCTGCCACCTCCCGGGGACAAGGGACCTGCAGCGCGAGGGCGGCGGCCCTTGCCGGGGTCATGGAGAACCCCGCGGCAGAGCTCGGGCCTCTTGCCCCTCCGGCCAGTCCCGCTGTGTACATCGGGGTCCGAATGCCGGCTTCGGGGACTGCAGCGACCAAGTGACATAAATCGCTACAAAGTATCGGGTCCGCTCGCGGCGGCGTACATCTTGGCTGCCAGAGCCGGCAGGGAGGGCCAGAGGGTCTGACACCCGCGACGCGCGGCGGAGAGGGTCGGGGTTGCGGAGCGCGGTCCAGTAGCGGCGGCCCCTGCGGGCGACGGCCCCGAGAGGCGACCGGGGACATCGGGGCTCCGCGGCCGAGGTCAAATCACCTCGGCCGCCGCTTCCCGCCCGCGGGCTTCTCCTGGCCCCCAACTGAAGCCCTGCAGGAACCTCACCTCCGACTCCCGCCGCTGGCTGCGGAACGCTTCCCGGCTCTTGGGCGCCGCCGACTTCCCTTTGCCGCCGTTGCCATTGCCGTTACCGTTGCCGTTGCCATTGCCATTGGTTGGCTGGGCCCCGGCCCCCGGCGCCGCGGGGTCCTCCATGAGGTTGGTCAGCGGCTTGGCTCAGCCGCTCAGTGATCTCTGCCCGGGGCGACCCCACCGCCGCGCGCCCTGGGCCAGGCCCCGCCTCCGAAATCGCTATTGGCTGAGACCACTCTTGGCGGCCCCGCCCCGCGTCGCGATTGGCTGCTCGAGCGGGACTTGGCGTGGTGGGGGCTCTTTCAAGGAATATTTCCCCCTGCCGTTTTTAATTCCCGCAGCGTTGCTGGTGGCCTGGGACTCCTAGGTTGGTTTCCCGCTCCACATCCAGAATACTGGACTCTCAGCTCAGGCGGGCGGGCTCTTTTTCTCTCTCGGTGTCCCTCAGCTTTCACCCTCTTCCGAATAGCGACCTTTTCCCGGAGCTCTAGTCGCCGCCCTCTGTTCCACTGCAGACCCGGACCACCAAATCCTGGCTGCGGTACGCGTCCCACATCCTGCTTGGTGGCAGGGGAGAGTGGCACCGCCGGGTAGCCAGGGCCACCGCAGGAAACAAGGGGCTCGCCCTCCCTGGAAGCTTTGGGAGAGTGGGAGCTGAAGGCTGGGGTTGGGGGGCTTTTTACTTCACTGGCATCCCTGGTCATCTGCCCTTCTCTGCTCTGGGGTCACTTTCCTCGTGGTGCGAAGAGACAGCAAGCGCTACCCTCGCCCGCTTCCCAGCCCTTTCCTTCCGTCCTCTCTCTTCGACCCTTCTAAGCGGCAGTGGAGGTTGTGTGGTCCTTTCTCTCCTGAATTTATCTAAAAAGCAGCGTGCAGTTTCGGCCGGCTTGCTTGGAAACCCTAAGCAAGCAGGCTAAAGGAAATGGATGCGACCAAGACACTATTCGTAACTCAGTTGCTTTGGGAAGGGGCTGGGGGGCTGTTGAACTGTGCTTTGTGCCAGGCACGGGGCACTAGGTGCTTTGTAAATACCATGTCACACCGCTCCTCAACAGCGACTTTTCACGAATCCATTACTGATGAGGAAACAGGCAGAGAACTCCTTGGAGTTCCCAAGGCACATCGTGTCTTGTCTCCTTGTGCTGGGCCTGCTGTTCTCTGGAGGAAACTTCTCTTGGTTGACGACTGCTCTTAAAAAAATTCTAGTGATCACTCCCTTCTCCAAAAAGCCACTTTTCCACCCTCCTCACCTATCCAAGTGGTATTGGCGTCAAGTTTGCTGGGATCCAAAATTTTAGCACTTCCCGCTATTTCCTCCAAACAAGGGCCCAAAGGAATTAATCCCTCTTCATATGTCTTAGGAACAACTCCTCCCCATTTTGTTTTGTTTTGAGAACTTCCTCCTGCCTCAGTCTCCGAAGTACTGAGATTACAGGTGTGTAACATCGTGTCTGGTTTCCATTTTTTTTTCCATCTCTCTCTCCCTTACTCTTCCTTCAGCTAGTTAGTGTAGATGACAGATCAAGGCAGGATTGAGAGACACTCCTTGGAGATTTCTGGGTTCTTTTCCCTGGTCCCCAACATCTCCATGCTGACCCCTCCCATCTTCCCTTTCCCATTCTGCTCCAATGTGGTATAAGTTCTTGGGGAGTAAGGCCAAGTTTTGGTTGTTCTTGTATGACACACTCCTGTATAACACAGGATCTCAACTCTGTACTATTGATATTTTGAGCTGAAAAATTAGGGACTGTCCCATGCATTTAAAGATATTTAGCAGAATCCCTGGTTGCTTCTCAGAGATGCATCCTCCCATTAGTTGTGTCAACCAAAAATGTCTAGATATTGAGAAATTTCCCTTGGGGAGCAAAATCACCTGTTGAGATCCCTTGGTTTAAAGAATTGAACTGATGTAAATTTCCAAGAAAGTCCTTGGCTGAAGCCCTAAAACTATTTGACTTTAGAACTTTCTTTCAGGGTATAATTTGTTAAACTCTTAAAAATTTATACTCTGCATTAAAATTCACAACCCACGCCTAGCTCATCACTGCTTTAGTATGATAAACCTGCCACAGCACAGCCCATTGGGTTTCTTACTAAAAAAAGAGTTCATTATCTACCTTTCTTCTTACTCCCTCTCCCCCTAAGCAGTCAGAACTGTAGGGTCGACAGCTCCAGAACTTTTTTTTTTTTAAGAGAACTTATTCTTTTGTGAGCCTAGTCAACCAGTACTGTCCCCAACAATGGCAGAAATCCCCACCACTGGCTAATTTTGAGGTTTTGTTCTTTTCTGCCTATCCCTAGGGGAAAGGGCAGACTGATGCATGGGGAGTAGGACTGAGGCTAACACTTAGGTCCTCTCTGGCATCTATCTAAAGCCAATTGCTGAGCCTAGGGCTCTATCTGGCTTTACTTTCAGAGACAGGATTTGAAAAATTGGTATTGTGGAGACTGCAAAGAATCAACAGAAGAAACCTCAATTCATGATCTTTTCCACACCCAAGCAGAATGGAAGACAGACATCTATCTGCTCAATATAGGCCCGAATGTTCAGAATTTGTCATAAGGAGGAAGAAATCTGGGAGGAAAAAACAAATAGAAAAGAAACTTGGAGAAGTAACAAGAAACTAAGGATAAACTGAGAACTTTGAAACCATAGACCATGCATTTGGTATCCACAGAATTTCTTTCAGCTTATTTGTCAACAAGGAGTGACAGTTTTGGCTGTCACATTACCACTGATCACAGAGGCACTTATAAGTAGACCTGGGAACTATTAGTCAGGGCTGGTCTATGTGTCTTTCCATTTTGCAGGGATGCCTCCAGAACTGTTACTTAAAAACCTGCACTACCAATTTCCCTTGTCCGAAATTTCAGGTTTTATTCCAAAACTCAGGCTGCTGGAAGAGGGTTAGGGATATAAATAGGTATAATTATCAGGATCAAGCATATCCTCTTTCTCATTTAAACACTAATCCACAGAGGTCAAAATACTTCATTAAATAGTGTCTGCTCCTGAAACAGCTTAAAAATAAGATGAAACCTTAAAGCACTTTGTTTTCGAGGATATTAGGCAGCTAGGATAATACAGTAGAAAAAGGATAGAACACCGTCCTTTCCTACAGAGGCACGTGTGGGTGTAATAGTGCAATGGAGGCTACAGGGAGTATGAGACATGGAATTGCTGCTTATGCAGTAAGCATTGTGTGCCAGTCTCTGTAAGCAGTGTATTTAATACAACAAGCCATTAAATCTTTACCCCAGGAGATAGCATTATCCATTTCACAGACAAGAAAGCTGAAGCTCTGACTGGTTATATAACTTGGCTAAGTTACAATATGTACACGGCAGCACTGGGATTCAAACCCAAACTGGCCTGACTTAAAGTCTAAGCTCTTTCCACAGTACCCATAGCACTTACAGCAGTGGGCACTTTGGACTGACCCTGTGACTCCCAAACTAAAACCCAGCACACAGGTTTCCATCCTTCACAAAGATTAAGCCCTGCTAGAGAGGAATGAATCCTGCCCACTGGCCTCTGGACTTCATTGCTAGCTGCAGCGTTTTCCTCTTAACTGCAGTGGCACCAGCTTTGAGTCATTAAACTGCCCAGACTCTTCTAACCCTGTGGCTTTAGTTTAACGAAGCAGAAGTCGAAGTGACAGATGATTCTGATAGGAAGAGAACATCTCAGTGGTACGTGGGGCTAGTTTAGGTTAGCTAAGGAAGGTGGCTCTTTCAAAGCTAGTGGTAGTTGAGAAACAACAGGCAATTGGATTCACTGGCATTACTGATTCAGATAAGCTGATTTAAAGACAAACCTTTGCCTAAATCCTTTCTTTCTTCCCTTTGGCTAGATGTAGTCAGGTCCTGGGTGGCTGAGTCCTTTGGTCCCAAACAACAGGGATGTTGACTCCTGTGCTCTAGCTAAGGGCAGAACCCAGACGGCTTGGAGGACTCTACAACCACACTTTAGTTTCTGTACATACATTAACTGAGCCCTAGGGTAGTGCTTCTCAGAAGGCATGTTCTTTCCATACATAGCTAGGGTGTGTGTCAAGGGGGGAGAGGGACAGGTATTTACTAGAAGAGTGGCCCAGCAGGCAAGGAAAGTCTCAAGACAATGGCCTATTGGTAAGTGCTTCTAGCTTTTCACATCCTTGCCCTATAGAAAGACTTAGAGATCTCTCATCTCTGGATTCCTACTTGATAAAGCAAGCAATACTCTTAGGACAAGAATCCATTTTAAGAATATTTTATTTATCTTTTGAGATTACATAGTCATTATTGCTGATCTAATACAATCACTTAGACATAAAGATTTCCAAGAGCTTCTCAGAAATGGTGATCCTTAGAGGTTCTGTTCCTTTTAGTAAGAAGATAACGAGAACTAGATTATTTATATATATATGTATATATAGTTTAGGACTTATCCACATATAATTTGCTGGTGTTGCCTATTTTCTTTCCATATTTTTCCTTTATTAAAAAAGCTTAATGCAACAATGCATTTTGATTTTTTTAAAACCATGACAAAGTTAATTTTGAGAAAACCACAGGAGCAGCAATTTCAGATCTGTTCAGAGAAAAGCTAAGCAGCAAAAAAGCTTTGCAGGAGTGTGTGGTCATGGGGAGCCGTGCTCATATGGGAAGGAAGAAGGGAGGGTAGGATGGGGAGGTGGTAGGGCAGAGGGAAAGTAGACTAGACATTTTTTTTTTTTTGGGTGGGGGGCAGTACTGGGGATCTAAACTCAGAGCCTTACCACTTGAGCAATACCCTCAGCCCTTTTTGCTTTAGTTATTTTTCAGATAGGGTCTCGTGCTTTTTATTCAGGCTGGCCTTGAACTGCAATCCTCCTACCTATGCCTTCCACATAGTAGGGATTACAGAAGACAACATCATGCTTGGCTTACTTATTAAAATGGTCTTGCTAACTTTTTGACTGGGCTGGCCTTGAACTGTGAGCCTCCTGATCTCTGCCTCCTGAGTAGCTGTGATCTAGATGCATTTCCTTTAAAAGGAAGCTGTGTAGTTCCATTAAGAAGGCAAAAAGACTTTGAAACTAGAACAAATTCATTGTTGATAAAGTGATATGTATTCCCATGGGCCAGGGCCACATACAAAGTGATAATTAGTCTTCTTTCCCCTGCCTCCTGATAGCTAGGATGCATCTATGGCAAAAGATTAGAGGATTTGCTCTGATTCCAAAGGTAGAAGGAATAATGATCAGATTCCAACACTAAGATAGAACCTAGAGACCTGGATCTCATTATTTTTAATGGTTGATGACACAGGGTCCCCAGAAAGAGAGGAAGAGAGGTTATCTGAAACTCAGAGGCAATAACTCACCATAGGCAGCAACACTGGCAACCTAACCTAGAAGCCCGTGTGGCTCCTTTTCTATTTGAGTAGGTCTCTTCACTGTGGTGTGGCAGAGTACACTCTTCAAGTTTCTACTCACAGTAAGCCCTGCAGAGAGGAGGGCTTTACTGAGAAACAGCAGCTTATGATTTTTGGTCTAAGAACATAATAGGCTACAGTCCAGATATCTGCCTAATGGAATCTGCTCTGTACATAAGATGAAGTATAAAGACCTGAATCTTTTACTAAAGAGACCCAATTAATTAATACAAAAATTCAAATTGGGCAAGCAAAAGAAATGAGCAGCATTTATGGTGTTCCTTATAAAACAGAATACAGTCATGTATATGACACTTGCCCAGTACTGTTGAGACATATGGCCTCTGAAGAACCAGATTTTGTGAAGCAAAGGCCCATTTACCCAAGTTCTACCTCCCTATCTCCAAAATTAAGGCCACTTCCAGACTAGCCTGGAGGGTATACATGAAGACCAGAGAAAGTTGGACAGTGTGGAGGCAGAAGAGGAGGATTAGGATGGGAAGGTTATAGTGACTCTGGGTGGTCTTGTGTTTCTTTGGGTCACCATGATCTTGAGACTCTGAGGCAGAACAGCATGAGACAAAAAGGGGGGGAAAAAAACCCCAAAACATGAGCCCATTAAATAGGATTGGCTGTGGTAACCAGCCAGCCATTTGATTTGATTGCTAGGATCACTCCAAGTTTTAACTCTTAGAACCAATCTGGTCCCAATGCAAACCTAGAAACCAGCAAGTCAGTCTCCAAAAAGAATTCAACTCTTTTTTTATTTTTTTGGCAGTACTGGAGTTTGAACTCAGGGCCTAATGCTTGGTAGGCAGGCATTCTCCTACTTGAGCTACTCCACCAGCCCTTTTTGGTTACTTTTGAGACAGGATCCACTTTCTGCCCAGGCCAGCCTGGACCATGAGTCTCCTATTTGCTTGCCCATGTAGCTGGGATGACAGGTGCACACCCTCCACAGCCAGACAATGGTTGAGATGGGATTTCATGAACTTTTTGCCAGGGTTAGCCTCAAACTGCCAGCCTCCTGATCTCAGCTTCTCAAGTAACTAGGATTATAGGCATGAGCCACTATGCCTGGCCTGAATCCAACTTGAGTAAGACATAAAATGTCATGCTGCTCACATTACCAACTTTATTTTATGTTGGAGTTACTCAAGAAACTACCTCTGAAACAGAATCCTTAATGGGAAGAGGTCAGATCATAAAGATATGCCAGCAGTGAAGACACAGATCAAATCGCAGATCTCACTTTCATCAATGCAAATGGTCAAAGAGATGAATGTTCAAATTAGTCAGACTAGCCTTGATCATCTGGGTACAGTTTACAGTGTCATCTTTTTATTTCTCAGCCAGCCAAGCTGCAGTCTTTCCTGGGAAACAAATAAACATACCTGCTTTCTTTCAGTTGTCAAGCTGTGTGCCTGAAAGACCTGTACCATTTCCAAAGCCTTAAACCTCCAAATTCCTGGCAAAGAATGACTTTTTCAGCTCAGTTTCAGAAAGTAAGAGGAAATTTCAGGAAGCAGTATTCTACAACAGATCTTCCTTTTCTGAGACAGTCTGGAGGGGGCTTCCTGAGAAAATATCCAATTAAATGACAAGGAAGCAAAACTATGGGCCTCAGTGGAGTGGTACGCTACTTCCTGAGCAGGGGTTGGTGGGGTTAGAAACACAGCAAACAAATATGTGACAGGCACTAGAGCTGTGAGGCGGTCACGGAGGAACATCCCCCTTGGAACCAGAAGCATTAAAATGGACATAGATATTTAAGAAGGAAGGAGACCCCAGTAGGCACAGACACAGGCACAACTGAGTTCTTGGTGCAGTCTGCAAGACCTGAACACTCCTTTTAAGCTAGCCTTTTCTAAAGAAGGCAGTGATAGTGATGGTCAAGGCTGGGAACCCAGGCCATGTTAATTCAGTAGCTTTCAAAAGGCCTCACCTGGGGGTAAGGACCAAAGCTGAGAAAGGCAGCTGCTGAAAATTTATTCCAGAGAACTCCAAAGAATAAGGAGTCTGGGATTCCTGAACTAACTCCTGAGCCTGGAAAGGAGAAAAATGACCATTGCTGAGGATTTTGTCCATAAACAATGATGTGAATTATGCACTAGGAATGGTTACCACATTTTTTTCCTTCCTCAGCCTGTCCTCTGTGGCTCTCTTGGCCCTCGGAGCAGTAAGCACACTCTGGGCCAAAGCTACAGGCACAGGATTCTAGATTTTAATAAATAAATAACCTAATACACAGGGTGAGCACGGCGGGCAGCTCTGATTGGAGAAACAGCTTGCTGGGTTCTTTCTTGGATAGTAGTGGAGAAAAGGCTTGGAGTTCTATTCCTTAAAACTTCTGGCTTGAGTTACAAGAACTTAATACCTGGAGGGAAAAAGAAAGATGAGACTGATGTTATCATGTTGGAACATGAACAGCCTATGTAAAGGTGGAAAGGGAGGCAGAGGATTTTCTGGAGTATAGGGTGAGCACAGATAATTGAGGTTCTTTTTCAGATCAGTGAAAAAGGCCATTATTTTTTAGGGAAGGGGAACACAAATGTTTGTAGAAGATCTCAAGAGAATCTTTTGGAGGTGGCACAAAGGGATAGTGGGTTGATTTTTCTGAGTCCATGTACATGCATGTGTTGGGATTGGGGAGTGATGCAAAGACCAATTCCAGTGCAGGAAGCTCTTTGTGCCCCAGGATTCCCAGATTTCTGGGGAACCAAAGGCACCTGTAGTAATTAGGCTTGAAAGGCCCATTCTTGTTGAGTCCCAGATACTTGGCCTGTTCATCTGTCAGCTCTGTCAGGTGGGCATCAAAGGTTGGTAGGTGTAGGCTTGCCACATACTCATCTGGAATACACCATAGAAGTCCTGGTATAAGCATTCATGCCTCCATTTGGCTCCTCAAACTAGGCCTTAGAAAGCTGGAAGACATGTTCTAATTCCTGGAGCTGAGTGAAAAATGCTTGACTTTTGCTCATGGGCCCTTAATTCTCAGGAATAGTTGCCTTAGTTTCAAGCTAGTGTCTTTCAAAGTCAAAACATTCTTCCTTACTCTTTCAGCCTTGAAACTTTCCTTCCCAGAGATGAAAGAAACAATAGGTCTTCAGACTGGAGGTATGGCTCAAGCCTTAAGAATGCCTGCCTAGCAAGTGCAAAGCCCTGAGTTCAAACCCCAGTACTGCCAAAACAAAAGAAACAAATGTCTTAGGGTCTAATAGAAAGAATGGGACAGTGGGGAAGCTAAAAAATGGGAAGCTTCAGTATACTTTGAGTCACTCAGAAAAACTAATACTTGAGGAAATTGGGAAAATAAGAAGGATACAATACCATTTCTTTTAGTTCTTAACTTCTTATGGATTTCTGTTTATATTCTATTATCAAAATATACTGTACTTATTCATTTCCTCATGTATTTGTATTTCCAACTTCATTATACACTCAGATTATACACCTGTTATATCCTTCCAAATTGTCTATTAAAGGGAAAATGTATCAACTTCTAACAGTTGCTGAAACAAAATCAGAAGCTCATTTATTCCCTGATCTTTGCCTGAGTTTATAAACACACTATCATTCAGGTGCAGGCTCTTTAAAATTTAAGAGAGGTTAATGTTTCTCTTATACCAAATACCCACATAACTAAACTCTTCACCAGAGCTATTCAGAGTCTCTTCGTTTTGAAACAATGGGGTTAGCAATGTTAGGTGGTAGTGCAAAAGAAGGGGCTGTGTAGCATCCTAGAACTAGAATAAGTCAGATGCTACAGGCAAGGAGATGATATTCTCTCTTGGGAATTTGTTTTTCCTTTAGATTCTTTTTTTTTTTTTTTTTTTGGTGGTGGTTCTGGGGTTTGAACTCAGGGCCTCACACTTGCTAGGTAGGCGCTGTACCGCTTGAGCCACTCCACCAGCCCTTTAGATTCTTGCATATAAGACATTTTAAGATTGAAAAGTCCTTAAAATTCATAGGCACACCAGGCATGAATTATAATTCCAGCTATAATATAATTCCAGCTCTTGGGATGCTGAGGTAGGATAATCATGAGTTTGAGGCTAGACTGGACTATATAGCAAGCCCCTATTTCAAAAATTAAAGTGAAGTAAAAACAAAAAAATTCACAGGCAGGTAAGCTAAATCACAGGAAAATGTCAGAACTTCACTAAGGTAAACTTCTGTGGAAAGCCTGATAAATCAACTAGGGATGGAATATAAGGATTCTATCTCCTACTTTTTAAGATAAGGTATCTTTTTTATTCTACCCATAAGAAGCTAATGTCCTCAAGCTTTCTTTAGTCTCTGACTCTGAACTACTTTGGTAAGAATGGGGAAGGAAGAGTAGGAGCTTACCCATTTTCTTGGGCAACAGGTAGACATCTTGCTTATAGCGGCCCTCAGGAGCATTGTAAAGCTCTATCAAGGCGAGAGCCTAGAAAAGCAGAGACACAGATGCTGATATGCCATCAACAGCAGCCTACCCACCAAGTGAAAGCCAGCTACTGGGGGACATGCTCTCGACCACTCTGAAGGTGGTACCTGAGTAGTAGCAGTGATTGAGAGCACGAATGTAGGCACTGTGGAGCAGCTTAGGTTCAGCAGACGGCCCTGGTGAACAAAGGTGAAGACATGAGGGTTAGGACAGTCTCTGGCCTTTGAGGAAGGAGGCAAGACCACAACTGTCATTTTCTAAACCCTTCCCAACTAACACTGCTGGACAAAAACAGTTGTTAAATAGGAATGAACTAATATTTATTTTATTCTTTTAAGTATTTTTAATTTTTTATCTAAAATTCATTTTTAAGTGACACATAAAAACAAAACTGTACTATTTCTGGAGTGCCCTGTGATGTTTCAGTGTATGTATGTGTTATGTTTAAATCAGGGTAAACACTATCTGTCTCCTCAAACATTTATCACTTCTTTATTCAAAATCCTTTCTTCTACTTTTTTGAAATGTACAGAACACATCTGTTCTGAATAGTCACTGTACTGTGCAATAGCATGCCACAATTCTTGCTTCTATCCAACTGTAAGTTAATATCCACTGATCAACCTTCTCAACTCCTCTCTACCATGCAGTCCCCAGCCTCTAGCAACCACCATTCATTCTATCCTCCACTTCTTTGAGATTTATGCCACATATGATTGAGTTCATGCAGTGCTTGTCTTGTTGTGCCTGGTTTATTTCACTTAACACAATAATCTCCAGTTCCATCCATGTTGTCTCAAATGACAGGATTTCATCTTTCTGGCTGAGTAGTATTCCATTATGTATGTGTCCCATATTCTTTTTATCCATTTATCAGCTGAAAAACACTTCAGCCATTTTCATTTCTTGGCCCAGCAGGCCAGGGCCCCATCATTTTGGCCCACTTGGCTGCCAGCCACAGCATTGGGTCCTCCTATGCACATCTGTTTGCGTGCATGTGTGCACGTGTATGTTTGTGTCTGCATTTCTGTCTCTGCGTGTGTGTACGTGTGTCTCTGTGGCAATGAATTCATTTCCTGTGATTGTCGCTACTGTGAATAATACTGCAATTAACAAGGGAGTGCAGATATCTATTTCACATACTGATTTTATTTCCTTTGGATATATGCATGGGAGTGGGATTGCTAGATCACAAGCTGATTCTGTCTGTAATTTTTTTTCTTTTTGGTGGGATTGGAGTTTGAACTCAGGGCTTCGTGCTTGCAAAGCAGGCACTCTACTGCTTAAGCCACACCTCAAGTACATTTTGCTCAGTTATTTTGGAGATGGGTCTCATGAACTATTTGCCCGGGCTAGCCTTGAACTGTGATCCTGCTGATCTCAGCCTCCCAAATATCTAGGATTACAGGCATGAACCAGTGGTACCCAGCTGTTTTTTTAATTTTTTTGAGGAACCTCCTGTTTTCCATAATGGCTATACTAATTTAAATCCCACCAACAGTGTCTGAGGGTTCCCTTTTCTTCACATCCTCACCAACACTTGTTATCTTTGTCTTTTGGATAATAGCCACTCTTACTGAGTAAGATAACATCTCATTGTAGTTTTAATCTTCCCTGAAGATTAGTGATATTGAGCACTTTTTTTATCTACCTATTGGCCATTTGTATGTCTTCTTTGGAGTTAACTGATGTGATGAAGTCACTGAAAATTCTAGAAAATATGAAGATTCTAGCTAAACAATTCTGGGATTATGTAAAAAGGAATGTAGTAGCATGACACTGAGGCTTATGCCAAGGAAGGTATACTTCACTTGAATTTTTCCACTCATTCTCTATACGAAAATATCTTCCTTCTGAGGACTGATATTCCCTTAAAGACAATACTAGACAATGACCTACTCAAGCCCAGGAGTGATCTCTCCAGGGTGGAAGGGGAGATATCAATGGATTTAGGAAGCTGTGATGATTTTTGTGTTTATTCCTCAGTTCCTCTTTCCTGAATTTAAGGGCATCCTTAAATTGAGTGGGTGATTCAGGTAAGAGAAGAGGTAGAAACTGACTCCATGCTACCCTTTCTTACTTTTGTTTCCTAGGAAGCTGACTACCATTTTTGTTTTGCTTTTTTTTTTTTCTATTTTTTCCTTTTTTTTTGTTTTCAGTGCTGGGTAGTGAACTCAGGGCCTTGCACTTGCCAGGCAAGCGCTCTTCCACTGAGCTAAATCCCCAACCCCCTGACTACCATTGTTGTTTAACTGTATAGCCAAAAACATTTGTGCTGTTTGCTTTTGTCATTAAAATTGTTAAGTGGAACCTCCCAGGGCAACTAGACAGTGGGCTGACATTAACGCTATTAATGCACATTTAACAACCTGCCCGTCCCCTCTCCATACAAACTACTTCCTTGTAAAGAAATAATTTGGTCTCATGGTAGATGTCCTAAGGTATTTGAAAAGATGAGCTATGCAAGGGAAAGGTGAAAAGAACAGTAAGGAAACCTAAGCCTAACTTTATGGGCCCCTAGATAAAGACATTCAGTTTCTTTATATAAAAAAACAAAAGAAAACTGAAAATCAAAGCCCAAGAAAAAGTATTACTGTTATTTTGGTATCTTTCCCTATAGGAAAAGGTTCATGGTAAGAACAGGGAACATCAGTCACAGCAGTAAGGAATCTGGGACTAGGCAAGAGAAGCCTTCAAGATAGGAAAGTGGTCAAACACTGACAGAGAAGGCTGCTGGAATGAAAGCTAAGAAGAAGTTGGAGGTAGGGCTGGTGGAGTGGCTCAAGTGGTAGAGCACCTGCTTAGCAAGCGTAAGACCGAGTTCAAACCTCAGGGCCACCAAAAAAAAAAAAAAATGGAGGTAGAAGAAGTCAGTATAGGGCAATATCAATTAAGCAATCAATATGTAGCTGGGTACCTACTATACAGCTGGCTCAATCCAGGGGAATGAACATTCAAAAACAGGGACTCTTAGCAAAGACATGACTTTCCTAGAACTTGCCTAAGACAGGTCTGAGTTAAAGTCAGGAATACCTACTTTGTGCTTCCTGATTAAATCACCCTACAAATGATATTATCTCTTTGCAAGTATCACTCAAAGTGGCACTAGCTCTATCTGTTAATTCTTTCCACAGTAACAGTTATTGTCTGACTCAACCTGGAGAGTGACATGGAGAGACAAGATAATTGGTGAAAAGTGAGGAATCAAAATAGTTTCTTAATTGCTAAATGAAAAGACCTTTCACAATTAGAAGTAAAATTCATTGGTAAAGTAGCTAAACTTGTACTAAAGAAGAGTTGAAAGGAACATGAGGAAGGGAGCTGGGTGCTGCAGTCACCCTTGTCAGGAGTGTCTCTGGCCAACCTCAGCCTTAGTCTTACCTCTGCCAACAGTACTATCCTCTTGCCATCAGGCCATATTACATGGTCAACTTGGGATCTCACTCGTTCCCAGGTCAGTTCTGGTGTCCGCAGACTTGCCTGGAACACATGCATCGAGAATATTATTAGCCACGGCAAGTCCCATGATGGAGGCAGAAAGATGTTGAAGGGAGCCATTTCAAATAGCAAGTCGAAAGGAGCAACCAACATGCCAGATGGGGAATACCTGTCCTGGGTTGGTTAGGATTGTTCCATTTCAAGGAATTTAATCTTAGGCCAAGCCAGGGAGGGATCACTCAGGATGTCATTCCACAACATATACTGTACGCCCACTCTCTGCTGGAGCACAGTAAAAGGTGCTATGGGAAATACAAAAGAAACCAAAGGCATGGTTTCTGCCTTCAAAAAGATCATACTTTAGTTGGGGACGCAAAACAATACATATGTGAGAGAAAAATACTTACAAAGCAACATGCAAAATGAGTGAAAACTAGTAACAGTGCAAACTGAATACACATAAGTGCTAGAGACACAGAAAGAAAGGAGGACCAGAGCTGAGTGAGATTAGCTGGACAAGGCTGAATGTCCTAAACATAGCATGCTGGGGTCCAAAGGGTCGGCCCTCATGTCCCATTGTCCCAGGTTCCACCTTCTCAGTAAGGTGGTTCATCCTAAAGTTACAGAAGCTTTGTGACCTGAGTGCAAATGTGAGGTAGCCTTTAAAGGAATGCTTAATGGTAGAGTAAAGGTCCTAATAGCTCACCCTCCTTCCATTTCTGTATATTGTATATTCAGAGAACAAGAAAAAAGTTTAGTAACAAGTTTGTTAACAGCAGGAATCAAATAACAGTCGTCATGGGGGGGTTAGTCTTAAGACAACTATTTTCTTCTTCCAATAGGCAATGCCTGAAATAGAAAGGAAGCTCATTCCAAAACTGACCATTGGTTCATTTGATAAAATTTTTTAAATTTTGCCAAATATCAGTTTTAAGATAAATAAAGAGAAACAGTTTTAGCTACATACTAATCATTTATTGAGCACATACCATATTCTAGGAATTGTAGTAAAGGACATAAATATAGATGAGACTTGTAGATTCCTTTACTAGAATGTGAGAAATTTATGGAAAGGGACGGTATCTTTTCGTTTTTGATCCCCAGGTTGTATCTCAACATATAATGGAGTACTCAACTAATGTTAAAAATTCAAGGGTCAGGTGCTGGTGGCCCACGGCTGTAATCTTAGTGACTCAGGATGCAGAGATCGCGAAGACAGAAGTTTGAAGCCAGCCTGGGCAAACAGTTTGTAAGGCCCTATCTCAAAAACACCCATCACAAAAAAAAGCGCTAGTGGAGTGCCTCAAAGTGTAGGCCCTGAGTTAAAGCCCCAGTACTGCAAAAAAAAAAAAAAATGTTTCCTCTCCTTGAGGCAGTACCAATCTAGTGGGAAAGACAGACATAATTATATTTCAGTGTTTTCAGAACTGTATTCATGGTCTGACCATTTATTATGTAGATGGGAAACATAAATAAAACTTCTTGAGATATCAAGTTTCATAAATTGGTTCAATCTTTCTAGAGAGCAATTTGGCAGTAGCTAGCAAAATTTTATGTACCTAGTCTTTGACCAATTAATTGTACTTCTAGGACTCCTATAGAGATACTTGATTAAGTTCACAAATGTAAATGCCCAAGAATGTTAAATTTACCATTATTAGCAATACCAAAAAGTGTAAATCAACAAGGGAATGGCTAAGTAAATCAGGACAGCTCCATACAATGGACTATTATGCAACTTAAAAAAAAAAAGATTAAGAGGTTTGGGATGTAGCTCAGTGGTAGAGCATTTGCCTAGCATGCACGAGGCCCTGGATTTGATCCCCAGCACTACAAAATGAGGAAAAAAAATTTTTTTTAATTTATAGATAAACACTGTGAGTAGTTAGAAATAATTTAAGCAAATGGACCATTTGGGAAAGTTAAGAGTATAAAAGGTAAATCCATTAGCCTTTGGAAATACCACATGAAGGGGAATGGTCAGATAAAGCCAAGAGAAACTCCTTGGTAACACTGGATTTTTTTATTGAGATGAGACTTCAATTATTTCAGATTTTTAGCGTTTCATGTCCTTAATATTCCACAGGAAAGCAATCTTGGTGACTGGGAGCAAAGAGCTGACAACATGAACAGAGTCTCTTGTCTTAAGAAGTATTCCTAGAGAAGAAGGCAAGCTATAGTGGAATCAAGGAAAGGAAACTTTTTATGAACATAAGAAAATGATCAATGGTGAGTAAAGGCAGTTTACTAGAGCACTGGAATGGCTATGATGCAGGAAAAGATCTTGAAAGACAGTTTAAAAGTGGGGTTAAAGAGAAATTTGGTTAACTTATTTCTACCACTTTCCAGGGAGCTCCAATGACCAGACTATGAAGTCTATTTGATAGCCACACTCCTCAAGAAAGTAGTTCCTACCTTATGTTTGGCACAGTTTTATAGGACTCTCTCTTAAAGACAACCAACTGGGGACTGGAGGTGTAGCTCAGATAGAACTTGTGCTTAGTACATGCTGGCCTGGGTTCAAACCCCAGCATCAGCAACCACCCTACCCCCCACCCCACACCCGGCAAAAAAAAAAAAAAAAATGTATTTCTTAGAATAAAATGCTGCTTTCTAAATAGCTAACTTTTCAAGAGCTAGTCCTTCTTAAGTATGTAGTAGGCAATATCTTAAGGTTTAGGTAAAACTATAGATTTCTGACTACTAAAAACAGCAATTTTTCCTACACCACATCACTGTGACTATCCTTTTTCTTAAACTTTATACCCAGTCCACTTGGCAAATCCATTGGTAACAACATATCGCTTATCACCTTCACTGCCTTTATCCTTAGAAATACTGTTATTCCTAGTCAAGCTCCCGAAGTGAGTAATTTTTAAAAACATGTCAGATATATTGTGCCACTCATTTGCTCAAAACCATCCAATGGCTTCCTTCCTACTCAGAAGAAAATCTAAAGGCCTTATACCCATCCTATGAAGCTCTGCATAGCCCACTACTTTCTTGAGCTGCCTCTATTTTCATCCCATTGCCAATCCTGTTCCTGCTACCATGGCTTCTTTTCTGTTATTCAAACACAGAATAACAGTCTTTTATCTACCATTCTCTCAGGATTATCTACCTCACCTCTAGTGCTGGGGACTGACCCCAGGGCCTTGTATATGCTAGGTAAATGCTCTACCACTGAGCCACAATCCTAGTTCACCATTCTCTCTGAATATAATGTTCAGGTGGCTCACACTTTCATTTTGTTCTGGTGTTTTTCCAACTCTTATGTCCTCAAAGATACTTTCCTTAACTATTCCAACTAAAATAGTACCATCAATGTCCTCACCTTACTTTTGTTCTTCAATATTATGCATGGACAATAACTGTCTATTTATTTATTATCTGTCTCCCACACTAGAATATAAACCAACAAGAGGTAGGCTGCTGTTCACTGCTATTTCTTCAGCCAATTAGTACTTGACCTGGAGCAGAGAAAGTATTTAGTATACATTTGACAAATCATGAATGAACATTCTGGTTTCAACTGTAGTTGAGTTTGCTATTTCCTTAAATTTCATTTTACATGTCCTGTGACACTACCACCAAAGGTTGATAATTTAACTTTTCAAAAGCCCTCTCAGCACCTCCCTTTCTGGATCATGTAATTTTGTCATATACCTTCTGCCAAACAGAATTCAGAGAAATGAGAGATGGCTCTTGACTCATGTCATAGAGATATGGGCATTTATCAAGCAATACTTGCAAAACTAAGTCTAGTCTTAACATATCAGCAATTATGATCCTTTTAAAATAAAAATCATTGTACTAAAATTAAGTCAGAGGTGGCTGTGGTGATGCATGCCTATAATCCTAACACTCTGGAAGCTGAGTGTTTTTTGCTGTCTCAAAAAATAAAAACAAAACAAATGAACAAGCAAAAACCAAAACCTAAGTCAGATTGTTATAAATAAGTAAAATAAGCTACAACAGCTCCCTGTTTCTCTCAGAAGATAATGAGTTCTTAGGATGGGCAGTAAGGCCCTAAGAGATCTGGCCTGTTACCTCGCTGATTTCATCCTCCATTCTTTCCTGCCCCAAGTTCATTCTGTGCCAAGTACACTGGTCTCCTTGTTCTTCCTCAAATACATAGGCATCTTCCTGGCTTAGGACATGTGTACTGGCTGTTTTCTTTGCTTAAAATGCTCTTCATCTAAAAATCTACATGGCTAATTCCTTCTGCTTAAGAAGGTGATTAGTATCACCTTCTTAATGAGGCTCACAGCTCGATCCTTCTATTTAAAATTACAATCCAAAGCTAGATTTCCTTTGCCATGCTCTACTTTTGCTTTTTTCTATGGTGCTTTCACCTTCTAATATACTATGAATTTTATTTATTATTATATTGTCTTTCTTCTCATTAAAATATAAACACCACGAGGGCAGGAATTTTTGCCTGCTGTGTTCACTGACTCTAAGCACCTAGAACAAAAACTGAAATACAGCAATCATACAAAAATATTTGTGATGGAAGATAAATGGTCTTCTGGCCTTTGTCCTGGAAATAACTTATGTCTGGTCTGCCTCGGAAGGAGCAATTACCATTATGAATTGAAGCTAAGGCTAATATACAAGTCAAGTCGGAGGGGGATAGTAATACACCATATTGGAAAACAAACCAAAACAAAGCAAAAGTAGGCTAGGAGTCAAAACACCTGAATTCTGTGCTTGGTTTTCACTTTGAATCAATTGGTTGACAATGTATTTAATTTCTTAGTTTACTAGTTGAAAGTTAAGTGGTCAAGAGGATGAAATGAGATAAAGAATATAAAAGGTATGCTGGGTATGGTGGTTTAAGCCTGTAATCCTAGCTACTTGGAAGGCAGAGATTGGGAGGATCACCATTTGAGGCCAACCAGAGCAAAAAGATCACAGAGGGACCCAGTCTCAACCAATAGTAATTGGGCACGATGGCACATACCAGTCATTCCATCTATATATGAAAGCACAAACAAGAGGATTGCAGTCCAGGCCAGACTGGCTCAAGTGGTAGAGCACCTGCCTAGCAAGTGCAAGGTCGTGAGTTCAATACCTAGTACTGTCAAAAAAAAAAAATTATAAAAAGTGTATGATAGCATTTTTCTATTTGTTTTATTTTTATTTAAGAGCTTCTTGAGGCTTTAGAAGGGAAATCCCTCCCCTCCTTCCCTTATCTTGGGCCATTTAGCAAAGGGGAAGCATGGCATGTAAGTGAAAATTAAGGGGGGGATACTAGGAATCAACCAACAGCTACAGTAGATTATGAATTATAAGCAAACTATAGCGGAAGACAGAGTCTGGGGCATGCCACTCAGACATGCAGAGCAGAAATAGGCTTTAGTAGGTTGTTTTGATAGCTTTGTTTTTGAGACAGGGTCTTGCTATATAGCCTAGGCTAGTCTCAACTTGAGATGTTCCCGCCTCCTGTGTGTTGCAATTACAGGCATGTACCACTACTCCCAACCTGCCAGCTTATTTTACTTATTTATTTATTTTTGTGGTACTAGGGATTGAACCTGGGACTTCCCATGTGCTAAGTAAGAACTCTACTACTAAGCTACATCTCCAGCTCCTGTCACCTGTTTTTTGTTTTGTTTTAATAATAAAACCCTAGAACACAGTGTTAAAAAGAGAAACCATGTAAAACAGATATCCAACCAGTTGGCTCTCATTCTATCAACTGATCCTTACCTGGCAATGCTGAAGCTCAATCACAGCAGCCCTCAGTGGAGATGAAAGCATGCTATGGTTGAGCCAGTTATTCAGAAAGAAAGACAGCTGTGCTATAAAAATGCCATAAAAACTTAAGACAGAGTCAAAGTCATATTGAGAGATACTTTGGTAAGTCTGTAAAGAAATAAATTGCCCTTTTATTAACTGTTACTTGGGCAACTTATTAGGACCACATGCTATGTTGGATTGGGAAATTTTAGGGTCAATATAAGCAAATTAGAGATCTAAAGTGATAGCTTGTCTAATTTTTGAGGAACACAATAGCATTGGATTGATTGACACCTACAGACCCAATTACTATGCTTTGGAAAATACATGCATGGGAGACCTAGCCCAATGAAAGAGGGTTAGGAAAGCAGAAACGGCAGTATTTGACAGACACAGTCAATCTCAGAGCATGCATTCATCTCACCCCACAGATCTCTCTCCCTTGACCTTTCCATGTGTAAAATCAAACATACCCAAAATACTGGCTACTATTCTGACTCACATTCATTTCATCTTGTGTTTTATTTAGTTTATCCACCTCTCAATTATAAACATAAAGAGATATAGTTTACATTATGATTAGGTATCAAGCTTGGACAGAAGAATACAATCTTTTTTTTTTTTTGCAGTGCTGGGAATTGAATGCAGGGCCTTGTGTATGCTAGGCAAATGATCTACCACTGAGTTATATCCCAAGCTTTTAGGATAATCATTTCAAATGATTAAGCTGAGATAAAGAAGCTGCATATTACCCACAAGTATAGGCTATCAAGCTAGTAAGTGAATAGACGTGGACAACTCTGTCAGGATAGTCATGTTAGGATGGCTGATGACACTGCTCCTTCTTTCAGTATATTTCTTGGGAAGGAGAGAAAGAGTTAAAAGTGCCCCAGTTATGACCAATAATGATCTTACCACATCAATTTCTGTGTTGGAATGTCCCATGTTACAAACGATGCAGCTATTCTTCATTCGATCCAAGTGCTCTCTGGTTACCACATTCTTGTTACCTTAAAAACCGAAGAGATATCTACATGAAAAGGAATGACACTGGATCCCTACCTTCCACGATACATGAAAGTTAACTCCAAATGAATGATAGACCTAAATGTAAGAGCAAAACGTATAAAACTCTTAGAAGAACATAGGAATAAATCTTTGTGCCCTTGAGTGGGGCAATAGTTTACTTAGACATAATGCTTTATGTATAGGTAACCAGAGGAAAAAAATATACACTGGACTCCAGTGAAATGAAAAGTTTTGGTGTTGCCAATGATACCACTAAGAAAGTGAATGCAACCCACAAGAATGGGACAAAATATTTGCAAATCATATAATGAAAAGGGATATTTGTATTCAGAATAAATAAGTGACTCTTACAACTCAATAGTAAAAAGACAAATAATGAACAAAGGATCTGAAGACATTTCTTCAAAGAAGAAGAAATGGGTGGTTCTGGGGTTTGAACTCAGGGCATTAAGTTTACTAGGCATGTGTTCTACCACTTAAGACATGCCCCTAGCTACGCCAGATAAGATACATAAATGGTCAACAAGCATATGAAAAAAATGCTTAACATTTATTAGGGAAATGTAAATCAAAACCACAATTAGATATCACTTTATACTCACTGGGATGGCAATAACAAAAGAAAACATAAATAATAAAATAATAATAAATAATAAATAATAAAAGAAAAATAATAAAAGAAACACAGTAACAAGTGTTAGTGAAGATGCAGAGAAATTAGAACCCTCATATGCATTGTTGGTGGGACTGTAAAAGCTTGGTAATTCCTCAAAATATTAAAAGCAGAGTTTATACTATATGACCCAGCAATTCTAATCCTGTGTATATATCCAAGAGAACTAAAAATTTATGTTCACACAAAAACTTGTATACAATGTTCATAGCAACATTATTTATGATATCCCAAAAAGTGAAACCGATCCAAATGCCCATCAACTGATGAATGGGTAAATAAAATGTGGTATAGAAATTCAATGGAATACTATTCAATAATAAAAAAAAACGAAGTACTAACTCATTTTATCATGACAGGCCTTAAAAATGTCATGTTAAGTAAAAGAAGTCAGTCACAAAGACCATATATTATGATTCCACTTATATGAAATTTCCAGAATATGCAAATCTATATAGAAAGATCAGTGGTTCACTAGGGCTAGAGGAAAGTGAAGGATAGAACATGGAATACCACTTATGATATAGAGTTTCTTTTGGGGATGATGAAAGTGTCTGTGATGGTTGTTTCCACAGAGAATTACCAAAGTGGGAAGATCAGCTCTGAATGTCTGTGGTATCGTCTCATAGGCTGGGAGCCTAGATGGAATAAAAGTAAAAAAGGGCAAAGCCTAAGAGCACATGCATGCTCTCTCTGCTTTCTGACCACCATGATATGAGTTGCTTTGCGCTGCCATGCTCTCCCCACCATGTTGGACTGAAACTTTTGAAGCCATGAGCAAAACAAAGTTTTCATTCCTTCTTTGTCAGATGTTTTGTTATAGCAACACAAAATCTAACTAATACACTCCATGAAATAATTACCAAATGACACCCCATTTAATATGTCACAGTCATACCTGTACAGGTAATAACAATGTCCACTTGTCGGATGACCTCATTTAATTTCACCAGTCGAAATCCATCCATACTGTAGAAATAAAGTACAATCAATTAACCTAAATAGGCAGGTGAGGTTTTTGCTGCAGGACCTCAAAAGCTATTACCAACAAAGTTCCTTTGGTGAATATATGTCATTTCTTGAGATAGCTGGATTATTCTTATCAGTGAAAAATCCAAACCATTTTTTTAAATTGAAATAAAATGTTCCGCGGCATCAATGGAACTTATCTCATCCTCATTCTAGGGAGTCAACTACCCCACTGAAACTGCTCTCCCCAGATCAATAATAATCTCAGTATCAAAACCAAAAATCTTAGCTGGGCACTGGTGGCTCACGCCTATAATCCTAGCTACTCAGGAGGTAGAGATCAGGAAGACTGCAGTTTGAAGTCAATCCAGAGAAATAGTTTGAGAGACCTTATTTCAAAAAACCCATCACAAAAAAGAGCTGGTGAAGTGGCTCAAGGTATAGGCCCTGAGTTCAAACCCCAATACCACAAAAAAAAAAAAAAATCTTTCTTGGACTTTTTTTTGCTGTGCTACTAGGGTTTGAACTCAGGGTCTCATGCTTGCAAGGCAAGTGCTGGAGCCATGTCCTACCCCTCTTTCTTAGATTCCTATACTACTTGATTTCTTCTGCCACATTAAACATTATTTGCCTTCTTAAAACTCTATGCACTTCGGAGTTCATGTATGATACTTCTCTCTCTAGGTTTTTCTCAAACTTCCCCCACCTCTTTTTTTGGGGGAAGTGGTGCTAGTGGTCAAACCTAGGGCCTTGTGCATGCTGGGCAAGTGTGCTACCACTGAGCTATATCCCCAGTCCTTTTGTACTTTTAAAGATTGACCTCAGCCAACCTTTAAATATTGGTGCTATGTAAGGTTCTGTTCTGGACTCTTCTTTATTCATTCAGTACTCATTCACACCCTCCCCTTGGTTGTAAATGACCACTGGTAGGCAACTAACTTGCATATTCTATCTTTAACTTAGATCTTTGAAGCCTCATAGTTAAGGATCAAATTATGCACTGGATAGTTGCTCACGGATGTCCTAGAAAGATCTAAAACTCACTGCGTTTGAAGATAAACTCATTATCTTCTCCATACTCCCCATCCCCATATATTTCCTATATATCTTCTATCCTGATCCACACTGTTCAGCCCCCACTGTATAAGCCAAATAACTAGATTGTCCTACAGTCTTACAGAGCTTATTGCCTCTCCCTAATTGAAGTTGTCACCAAATCTGGTTGATTCTATTTTCTTAATTCCTTGAAAGGTTCTTCAATCTGTCCTCTCTTCTCCATACATGCTGGCCTTGCTTAAGTTTAGGTCTTATTGCTTATTGGCTATATTATTGCATAGCTCTTGGCTCAATCTCATTGCCTCTAGGTTTAGTCTCTTAAAATCACTTTGCTGAGTGATCTCTCTAAAAGCAAATTGAAACAAGTCTCTTTCTTACTTAAAATTCTTCAGTGAGACTGCTTGTCTTTAAGATAAGACCTAAATACTTATATAGACATATGACTATATTGGCAAATGATTTCTACCTCAGATATTACCACTCCTCCAAATCTATCCTATCTGCCAGCCACACTCAAATATTCACAGTTTCTTAACTATGTTGTGCTAGCCTCTTCCTCAGAGATTAGTAACTTGTTCTTTGCACCTGGCACATACATTCAAACTACGAAAACATGTACAAGTTTCAAGCTGGGTGCTGGTGGCTCATGCCTATAATCCTAGCTACTCAGGAGGCAGAGATCAGGAGGATCACAAAAAGTGTGAAGCCAGCTTGGGCAAATAGTTCATGAGACCCTATCTTGAAAAACCCTTTACAAAAATAGGGCTGGTGGAGTAGCTCAAGGTGAAGACCCTGAGTTCAAATACCGGTATAGCAAAAAAAAAAAAAAGAAAGAAAACACGTACAAGTTTCACGACAACTTTACTGACATCTCTGTCTACCCTGCCTTGTTCTTCTTTTAGGTCTTTCTCCTTTGCGCTACAGCATGTTTGCCTCCATGACCGCATTTACTGCACTGCACAGTGGTTATGTGGCTGTTTTCTAAAAGCAGGGCTTTGTCTCAGTCATCTATTCATCTTATTCATTCTCGGCACACAGCAGGGTACATAATACATTGCAAGTTATCAGTTCGCAGCTGTAAGATAATCTGAACTGTACTGCAATCAGTATCATGTTCAGGTTTCTATAATAAACCTTGAAAGTAATAGATGGGTGATGGCTCCCCTTGTGTACTGAAGCTCTGGCTCAGAAATAGCCAGCAACTCTGTTGGGGACACCTGTGGGCTATGGCTCAGATATGTGAGAAATGGAAGGACAGAGGGAAATGGCTTTATGCCATCCTTATTCTATGGTGGAGACATTTTACTGTAGGATTACTGGTAAAGACTGTGTGGGGTATGCAGGCTATAGACAACTGGACTCTAGCAGTTTATAGCAACAGCAGTGTTTCCCATTCCTGCTGAGCATGGAGAGAGATAATTTAAAAATATCTACCATTTAGTGAGCATCTATTTTGTGACAGCAGCTCTGAGCCTTATTTTGTATGTATTATGGAATGTATGATAATATATAATAGTTATTACTTAACTCTCATAACCCTTTGAGGAGGTATGATAATCTACATTTTAGAGATGAGAAAGGAACTATTCTTTTTTTAACTTTTAATTCTGGAATCATTTGAAACTTAAGAATAGTACAAATGGGCTGGGGACTTGGCTCAAGTGGTAGAGCGCCTGCGTAACAAGCACAAGGCACTGAGTTCAAACCCCAGTGCCACACACACACACAAAGTACAAACAAATCCCCACATACCCTTCACTCAAGAATCAGCAGAATTTAAGACAGATGCAATGGTACAAGTCTATAATTCTAGATATTTGGGAGGTGGAAATTGGGAAGATCATAGTTTGAGGCCAGCAAAAATTTACAAAACCCCATCTCAGTCAATGGCTGGGTGTGGTGGTACGCATCTGTCATCTCACCTATGTGAAAATAAGAGGGTTGCAATCCAGGCTGGCATGGACATTAAGTGAGAACCTATCTCAAAAATAACCAATGCAAAAAAGGGCTGGTGGAGTTGCTCAAATGGTAGAGCACTTGCTTAGCAAGTATGAGTCCCCAATTTCAACCCCAAGAACTACCACAAAATAAAAGAAAAAAAGAGTTAGTAGATTTTAGTTGAGTATGCTGATGCATGCCTGTACTCCTAGCACTAGGGGAGGAGGGTTGCAAGTTCAAGGACAGATTGAGGTACACAGTGAAACTGTCTCAAAAAACTAAAAAACCAAACCAAACAACAAAAAAAAGCTAGCATATTTTAACTCCTAATTTGAATTTGTCTGATGTTTCCTTATGATTAGATTCAACTGATACATTTTTTGGAAAAAATGCCACGGAAGAGTTCTTTTCAGTGTATCATATCGGAAGACCAGCCATTTTTCTTCTTTCATACTTTTTTTTTTTTTGGTGCTAGGAATAAAACCTAAGGACTTGCACATGCTAAACACATGCTCTAGCACTGACCCATACTCCTATTCCCTGCTCTCCTTTTTATCATTTTTTTTTCCAAAAGGGCAGGGATTACATTTGGAGAAGTTAAGGGGCTATTCTTTGGCTCAAAGCATTCCTTGTTTCTATTTCCACAGGAATACCAAACTTTAGCTTCTCTCACAGCTGAGCTCTGTGACTTTTAAAAGGCAGAAATTTAAGAGTTAAGGCAGCTTCTCTCAGGATCTGGGCCTCTTAAAGATATGGCGTGGCATTACTCAGGTTAGTCTTTGGAGACAGCTCCAAGATGGCACGTGAGACAGCGCTCAAGAAGGAAGTAGGTCTTCCTTTGCATGCTTACCAGGCTTGCAGGGCACAGATTGGGTCAATCTCAGTTACGTACACAATGGAACCCATAGCCTTCAGAGCAGCACAACATCCCTTCCCCACCTGACAAGGGAGAGAGTACACAATAAGGAAAAGTGCACCTTCCTTTCCACCTCCAAAGGAACTTCACTGAATAGATTCCTGCTTAGGGAAAAAAAGGAGAAAAACAAATAAACGCAGTTCATAAACAAATCTCTGCCCTTCCTGAGCACATTCATATGCATAAGAACACCCACACTCACGATGTATAATCAAAACATAAGCTAAAAGAACATCACAAACAGTGGTGCTGCAAGAAGTCAGAAAATCAACTTGAAAAATGACAAAAATAAAAAGGGAAAAGGCTGTACTTTAATCAGAGGACCTCCTAAAGGTTTTTTCCTCCCCATCTAAAGTAGTACATGAATGTACTCTTACATTTGCATTTACAGAAAATTCTAGAATATTTCAGCAAAATACATTTTAAACACCTATTAAGTGAAAGGTTAAACTTTACCTCTCCATAGCCACAGACCACCACTTGCTTTCCACCAAACATCATGTCTGTTGTCCTTTTAAGTCTAGGAGAAAAAAATCATTAGGTCAGGAAAAAAAAAAAAATCTTGTCTCTTCCTGGAGGTTAGATTGGGTCTATTCTGTGGTTTCATTAAATGTTGAATAAAATACATATTTTCTCTCTCTTTTTCATCCAATCAGTTCTATTTGTAAGCGTTTTTTCCCTTTTCTCCCCTTCTTTTGGGAGTAGTGCAGAAGGAAAGCAGATGTAGATTACATAGTAACTTGCAAACATAAAACCAGCATACACTTATATAATACTTTGAATATATAATGTTTGGAAACAAAGAAAAGCTATAAACAAGAAAACAGAGTAATTTTATTTAAGGATGTGACAAAGTTCTGCCTTAATGGAAATATTATTCTACTTATTTGTTTAGAAAGATGACATAAAATATAATAATGTAAGTAACACATTTAGTATGTCCAGAATGTCCAGTGGGTTCTATATTAATTCAGTATGGAGAGCTTTGAAAAACGCCAACACTGACCTTATGAGACAGTGTGTTTTCTGGGGCTGACTCCATCTCAGACATATTCTATCTATCTGATTTTCTATGAAACTGATCCTCACTGCTTCCAGGGTTTCTTGGAAGAACTGACAGGAGTGATTTCTGACTTCTCTTTGGATATAATGAGATTCCTCTCTCTTGGAATCCTGGGCTGGGCAAAAAAAAGTTTTCAACTAAAATCCAGACTATTTTGAGATACACAGTTCCTCCAAATATTTGCAAGTCTTTTAACTCTATCTCCTACTTCTGTTGAAAAGTCTTTAAATGTTCCAAAAACATTTTGTTTCCAAAAACAAAGTAGGCATCTTTTTTCCTTTTCCTTTCTTTCTGTTGCTAAGGATAAACCAGGGCCTTCTGTATGCTAGGCAAGCACTCTACAACTGAGCTACACACCCAGCTCCAGGAATCCTTTTTTTTTTTTTTAAATGATTTGGCAATTTCACCTGTAGGAACTAATATAACGATATGCGCCCCATCAAAGCTTGTTAAATGCACAGGTAATTCTTTTTTTTTTTGATGGGACTGGGGTTTGAACTCAGGGCTTCAGGTTTGCAAAGCAGGTGCTCTACTGCTTGAGCCAACCTCCAGTCCATTTTGCTCTGGTTATTTTGGAGATAAGGTCTCATCAACTATTTGCCTGGGCTAGCTTTGAACTGTGATCCTCCCAATGTCAGCCTACCAAGTAGACAGGATTACAGGTGTGAGCCATTGGCACCCAGCTAAGTGCAGAGGTGATTCTTGTTGAGTGAAAAGTAAGTCTGGCTGGGCTACCTATTATATATGGAAGTCATGGTTTAGGAGTGTGGTCTTGCAATGGGTAGCACAGCAAGGAGAATCAAGAGGTTGTATTTTGAGTCTCCTCTGCTTTGACCACCCTCCTTAAGCCTCTACTCTCTTCCCAAAGGAAGGTAACTTCTCTCTCTGACTACAAATGATGGTAGTAGAATGGAAACTTTATCAATACTGATACTCTGCAAATGACAGCTAGGCTAAGACATGGATAGAGTCCAGTTAGGCAGTGATTTCCCTATGATCTTAGAGGCCTAGATGAGCCTCAAGGTTCAAAGATAAAGGACAGAAAAGACCTCAGCCACGAAACATTGCAGGTAAGGGCTATCTGGAGCTATGTAAGACTCATGCCAAGTCTCTCAAGAAGAGTTCCTGTAACACTGTCTACTTTACAATCTGAAAATCCTATCTGGCTTCTTTGGAATAACTGGGCTAGGCAGGTACTTTACTACTTGACCCACACCCAAACCCCTGAATCTTGGTCCTCCTATCTCTGCTTCTTAAGTAGCTGGGATTATAGGTCTGAGCCACCGTCTGCCTGGAGCCAGTATTTAAATCAAGGCCTTTCTGGCTCCAGTGCCTGTGGGGTCATCACCCAGTAAACTGAGATTCAGACTGGTTAGTAATGTGGTCACTAGAACTCTTCTTCACTTTTCCATTAACCTATACATGACTGAAATTATTTGACTTGGCAATATTATAATGTAATCTTAATGGTTTCATTTAGTTTGGACCTTTAATGTTCCCCTAAAAGTCCATGTGTTAAAGTTTTTGTCCCCATGCTATTGGGGACTTGGCACCATTGGGAGGTAATGTTAACTTTAAGAGGTAAGACATAGTGGGGGGGTCTTCAGACACTGGGGGCATGTCCTTGAAGGGGATAGTGGGATCCTGACCCATGTTCTTACTCTCTTCTTTCATGCCCACGAGGTAAGCAGCTTGACTACATCACATGTGTTATGTATGCAGTACATCATGGTGTGCTGCCTCACCACAGGCCCAAAAGCAATAGGGCCAACTGACCATAGACTGAAAACTATGAGCCAAAATAAACCCTTTCTTTTCAAAAGTTGATTATCTCAGGCATTTGTTACAGTAACAAAAGCTGACTAATACATGGGGTCTTCCTAAAGTGAGTGGTAGAAGAAGATAGTATTCAGTATATATTAAAATGGATTTTGTCAGACTTAAATGTATGCAAGTATCACAATAAAATTCCTTAGTACAGTTAATATATCCTGATTTTAAAAAAGAATTATATGATATCAACAGAGCATGTAACATGGCCTGGAATAGGATCACCAAGAACATTTTTCCAAATAATCTCTATGCCGACTTTAGTTGATGACTCACAGGCCTGACAGGTTCACAAAATAAGAACTCTATCTATAGATAGGAGCTAGTCTCATTTCTTGAGTGAAATCAATTTTCTTGCAATAGCAATGTAGCTCTGGGTTATAAAATATTGGGTGTGATAGATCCAGGGGTGCCATATAAATCATTTCCAGAAATAATCCAAACCAAAAAATCAGAACTGTAACAACTCAAGTTCACCTCAAAGATCATAAACATTACCCATCAAGAATTGACTCTCTGCAACAGTAGAGGTTGTCAAATTTCTGTTTGGTGACTGAGTCGTTGACATTCATAGCTGGAACACACAACTTCCCAGCTTTGGACAGTTGGTACAGTCTGGAGATGAGGGGAGTCAAGAAGAACATAAAACAATGAGACATTCCAATAAACTGTTGGTTTATTATCAAATTCCAGGAATATGTTGGCAGGGTGGGCATGACAGCACAGGACATGACCTTTTCACCCTATTGGGTAGACATTGAGAAATAGAGAATATGTTTCTAGAGGCTGTATTCGGCCACTGAAGCAGTCATAATGGCTATTCAGAATTTAGTTCCCTAAAAATTGATTTCATACTTTCAATTCTTGGTTGTACTAGGACTCGAACTCAGGACTTTACGCTTGCTAGGCAAGCGCTCTACCACTTGAGCTGCAGCTCTCGCCCTTTTTGCTCTAGTTATTTTTGAAATAGGGTCTCACTTTATGTCCAGACTAGCCTGGACCTCGATCCACCTATTTATGCTTCCCACTAGCTGGGATGACAGGTATGCACCACGGCACCCGCTATTGGTTGAAATGGGATCTCACAAACTTTTTGCCCAGGCTGGCCTTAAATTTTGATCCTCTTTATTTCAGCCTTCTAATAGCTGAAATTATAGGTGTGAGCCACCAACTTCAAGCTTCATACTTTCAATTCTTTATGGGTGAATAACAGAAATAACAGAACAATAGAAATGATTCCTATTTTAGTCAAAGAATTACTGCTTGTTTTCAAATGGAACCTTAAATACTTGATCTCTATGTGACCCTGTAAGTTCTGTGAGGGCATGGGTCTTTCTATTTTCCCCTGCTAGGTCCCTAGCACCTAGAATAGTTTGTAGCTCATTGTAGAAGTTCAATAAATATTTTTTAATAAATTAATTTTTCCAAAAAAGGACAAGCAGTCATTGTATTCCAAAGATTAGAAAACACGAGGACCTACTTGTTCTCCCCTTTGAGCCCCCTCAATATTTTAGGTTTTTATGTTACTAGTTAAAAAACAAGTGTTCAGACCCAGAGCTGGTCACTGCATAGAAGGCTCCAATTTTTAGCATAATGTGCTCTATCTGTATGTGATTACAAGACAATATGCCTAGTACGCATGAAGATAGGGACACCCATGTTAAATCTTACCTATGGACTCCAGTAACACTCTCTTCAACTATGCCCTTGATTTTCTTAAACATGTTGGGATACTTTTTATAAATCCAGTGAGTAAGATCCCCTCCATCATCCAAGATCTGTAACAGTAAGCATGAGTAACATCATTCATTTTGTGGAAGGTTCAGGCTTCACTGCCTCTCTGGGTCTTGTATCTCAATTTCGAACTTATAGATATTTCAAATTTCTCATATGCTTTTCCAAACTAACTTAAAGCCAGAGTTAACACAATAATCTACCAAATAGTCACCATAATCAAGTAAAAGACAAGGGGGGAAGAAAGGCCAATTGTAATTCTCACAGCCAAATGAACCTCCCACATGACATGTCTGCTATACAAAACACATGGCAAGTGATGACAATTTTCTTATGGATAGACAGCTTTAGAGGGTATCTAGACCATTAGTTCTTCTTCTTCTTTTTTAACAAACATGTCAAAATTTTAATTTATGGCCTGGGGGCATGGCTCAAGCAGTAGAGCACCAGCCTAGCAAGCGTGATACCTTGAATTCAACCCCAGTACTGCCAAAAAAAAAAAAAAAAAATTAGTCCATCAATGAGAAAACCAGAAAGATGGTAAACTGATTCAAAGAGTATTCTTATTTTTAGTTTTAGAGACAGGGACTAACTATATAGCCCAGCCATGGCCTTGAATTTATGATCCTCCTGCCACAGCCTCCTGAGTGCTCAAAGGGTATCTGAAAAATTGGTTATTGATAAGCATTAAAGAAAAAACAAACAACAAACAAAAAACCCCATTAAGATTAGACTTCTAGTTCTTGAACATACTACAGATCTTGAAAAAGCCTAAACTTGATACAGCTTATTTCTACTGGTTAAATTAAAGACTTCAAGTGTATTGGGTCAAGACTTACTTTAAATAAAAGATAATTAGCTTCCCTCTCAAAGTAATGGCTTAAAGCTGTATTTGTTAATCTTTTACTTCTCTGAAAGAATAAGCACTCTCCCACCTAATCTATCATGTAGCACTTCAGGGTTTTGCCTAGCACAACCTTGCACTCTGTATAAACCAAATTAAAAATAACCAGGGAACCGTGCAGCATGTAGGTGTGTAAGCAAGCCTCTGAACAGCGTATCACTATTTCAGGTTGGGATTAAAGATAAACACAATGCTGTGCCCACTGGAGCTTTCATTAGCAGAGGAAGGTTTTTGAATTATAAATAAGCTAGAGAAAGGCCAGCTTGGAATACTACCATTGGGCTATTGGAAGTGCTTAGCGGGACTTTCTAAATTGTCACACCCATTCTGCTGCAAAGTCCCCACAGAACAGAGTTACCCTTTGCTGGCATGTATCCATTTTGCAGTTGTCATATCAACCCTACTACAAGTACCAAAAATGCCATCCTGGACCCCAAGGTGCACAAAATCCCAACCTCCAGTCTATCATCTGATCTCTCTCTCTCTCTCTCTTTTTTTTTTGCTTTTCCTCCTACTATTGATGCATTTTCTGACTCAATCAAATCTTGCTACAGAACAGAGACAAAGGTAGGACTCTCATATTTCTTACCCTTGCGCCATATTACAAATAGAAACCCAAAGGATTTTGTGAGTTTCTCTCTCCCTTCCTGCATGTATAGAATCCTATGGGGGTTTTCCCTTGTTGCCTCTGATCCCTACCCACAAAAAAGATTGGAGACAAAAAAAAAAAAAATTGAATAACTGGAGATTCTGTGTGGTAGTCTTGCCTACACTTCCCTTTTAATCAAAGGTTTCTAGTCGGGTGTGGTAGTACACATCTATAATCCTAGCCACCGGGGAAGTGTAGGTAGAAGAATTGCAAGTTCAAGGCCAGCCTGGGCAGAGTTAGTGACGCTAAGGGTGCGGCTCAACTGGTAGAGCACTTCCTGAGGTCCTGGGTTCAATCCCCAGTTCTGGAAAAAAGAAAAAAAAACCAACATCTGATATAGGCAGATAGTTGTTATCCACAATATTTTAATGCCTATAGCCCATAATTTTCCCCATGCAACTCTAATGCAGGAAATTCTTGTTGTTAGGGAACTTCCTGAGGTTAGAAAGGAAGGAAAAGTATTAGATCTAGACCGGATCCAAAGAGGTTGAGTCCTGTTTCCTGGGGTGACAACTGTTTTTTGTCCTTGTCTGACTCTCTTCATTAACCTTTCCAGCATTTGTGCTGGCACCAATTTGCAAAAGCTCTCTGGGTACAATGCTATATCCTCCCTGTGTTCATGGCTATAAAATTAGTGTTTTATTCCCAGGAGAAACCCCCTGGCAGAATGTCTTATTGTCTGTCAATATGACTCTCTCCTGGCACCATTAAAATTGTTAGAATGAGCTGACTCATCTTAGAGCCACTGTCATCCCCCCCAGTGCACCCCTCTGGGATATGAAGGCTTTACCTAGCTTTCTCAGACCAGCACTTTGTGCCATGTGACCTGGACCACATACTGCAGTAGAGGCTGCTGGCTACCAGGTGAGGCCTGCTCTATGATCTTTAGCAGCAAGCAACCACTTTGCTTTTCAGTCAGTTTCCAAATTTCTCCTCTCACTAATATGCAGAAATGCTTGCAAAGCAAGAGTACCTCATACTTTGTATGACTCCAATGTACTTTTAGTCTTCAAGATTTTATTTTGTTTTTGAGTTTTTGGGTTTTTTTGCAGTGCTAAGAGTTGAACCCAACACCCCATGCATGCTAAGTGCTCTACCACTGAGCTACACTCCAGTCCTAGAACTGATCTTTTAAAAAATAAAACATGGGCTGGGAGTGTAACATATGTCTGCAACCCCAGCAACTCAGGAGGTAGAGATAGGAGAATTACAGTTTGAGGGCAGCCCAGTCAAAAAGTTAGTGAGACCCCCATCTCAATCAATAGCTGGACATGGTGGTGCATGCCAGCCATCCCAGCTGTGTGAGAAGCATAAATAGGAGGATCATAGTCCAGGCTGGCCCAGGCAAAAACACAAGAGCCTATCCCACCCTCCCCCTCCCAAAAAAACAAACAAACAAAACCCCAAAACATAACTAAAGCAAAAGAGGACTGGGGGCATGGTTCCAGTGGAGAGTGCCTGCCTACCAAGCATGAGGCTCTGAGTTCACTCTCCAGCACTGCCAAAAAGAAAAACAAACACCACCAAGCCAGGTGTGGTGGCACATGTCTGTGGTCCCAGCTACTCAGGAAGAAGCAGGATGTGGCTGCCCTGGACAAAACCACAAGCCCTATCTGAAAAACAAACTAAAAAGCATAGGCTTTGGAGCATGGCTCAAGTAGTAGAATGCTTGCCTAACAAACATGAGGCCCTGGGTTCAATCCCCAATACTGCCCCCAAAACAAAATAAATTAAAAAAAAAAAGAACCCTAAAGTTTGTCTGGTTATCTTTTTTTTTCTTTTCAATATTAGGGATTGAACTTGGGGCCTTGCACTGTGTTTATCTTTTTGAAGGTGGGGAATGAATAAAGAGAAGAAATTTGAACTTGGGAGTTCATCATAATACATAAACTCAGTTATATGGATTACAGAGAGAAACCTAAGTACCTCAGGTGTATGGGCTTTGTTTGGTGTTTTGGTGGTTGCTATTTGGGGATTATATGCAGTGGCAGAGGATGGAAAAGCATTATCCATGTATTCTGAATAGCATTTCAATGCTTCCAACATCAGCACCAACAATTAAGACCCTCTTTTTTTTTGAGACAGGGTCTTGTTATGTAGCTCAGGCTAGCTTAGAACTTGCTATGTAACCCAATTTGGCCTCAAACTCAAAGACGCAAGATCCTCCTTGAGGATTTCCTAAGCAGAAATACTGAGTTCTGCTGAAAACCCAGGTACATCAGATAGAAATGGAGCTATTTTCCTTCCTTATTGTTAGGAAAACCTCTTCTAGGCCACAGTCTCCCACCATATCCCATCCCCTTACAGAATTGTATTAACAGAAATCTGACCCACCATGTTTGGTTGCCAACCCTCCACATTCACACATCTGTCAATGCACCACCAAAAGTCATCTTCTGACTCTCCTTTCCATGCAAAGACAGGAAATCCTATGAAAAAGGGACAAAGAGAAACCATTAAAAGCTGTAAAAAGTGCTGACTCCCAAATTTTGGCAAGAAAGTGCTGGTTTTTCCCAATTTAACTCTCTTATTCTCCTACATTCCTTGAATTGACTCTCTTTTCTTATTGGCATTACCTTTAGCCCCTTTATCCATTTCTTTGTTTTTGGTGGTCATTCTGTTCTTGCTACCTCAAAGAGGACAAGCAAAACAGACAAGAGTATGATGGTTACTAAAAATTTAAGTAAGGGGAAAAAGAACAAAGTAGAAATAAATACTTCTTGAGACAGTCAAACTGGCATTTTCACCATTTCCCAAATTTGCCTTGGTTTTTCTTGCCTCTATACTTTAGTCATCATTCCTTCCTCACCAGGAAAACTCTGATTTTCTTCTCTGTCTGCTACAATGATTGCTTTACATCATAGCCCAGGTAAATGTCATACTTCCTTATGAAGTCTCCTTAAGCAAGCAGGAAGTGAGCTCTAAAGGAATCTGAACTCTTCTAAGCCCAGTGTTTGTGTACTACTGAATATGGATTTATGCTCTGTCATGACATTTATCATATATGTCCTTATTTATAAGTCCTTATCTATAAGTCGTTATTTATGTACGTATATTATCTCCTCTACTACAATACAGGATTCTGAGGGCAAAGATATTGCCTCATTTGTCCCTTTATCTCTTAGAGTAAATCAATAAGCATCTGTTGAAAAAAAAAAAAAAAGAGAGAAAAGGTTGCAATATGTACAATTCATTGGCATATTTTTCTGTCATATATATATATATATATACACACACACACACACATATATCTCAATAAAAGTTTATAAATAAATGAATATAAATGAAAGAACAAATGAAATGCCAAAAGTGCTAGCAAAAGGAGAGATATGCATACTCTATTGGGCTTTCCCAGAATATCCCAGGAGCTATGAAGCAAGTGTTTGGTACCCTGATCTATGTATTGTTGCCAAAGTGTGAATGAAGAAAATTGGTTAAGTCCACATTTCTCTATTTCTTTTGTCCTTCAACCATCAGTGGATGTTGTGACCAAATATTAATCTGCTAGGTTAAGCCCTCTTTACTGCTAAAGCAGAAACATCAAACATTAAACCAGGGCAAACCACTTGTTGGAAAATCAGCAGAGCTTCACTGTGGCTGAAGCATTCTCTTCTCTAGTCCATATTACCTAAGCCAGTAAGTAGTGTTCATTGGTGTGAATCAAGGCAAAACACAAACAGCAAAATATTAGACATAAGAAAGTATTCACCAACTATAAAACAAATGTTAACTATATCATGCATGGCCAAAGAGGCACAGAAAGAGAACAAACTCATTAAAAATGGGAATCCATTTCTTTCAAAGAAGCTCCTTTACTGTCAACCTTCTTCAAACATGTATAAGGAAACAGTGGAACTTCCCAGGGACTTACTTTAGCCAAAGACATAGAGAACCAACAAAAGATCTTACCACTTTCTGCTAGAGCAGCTGCCACTTCATTGAGAGTGGAATAGATGTTGCAGGCAGCCCAGCGGCACTGTGCCCCCAGAGCACCCAGAGTTTCCATAAGCACCTGCATTAAAGAGAAGGCGGGAGATGAACAAGGCTTCACCAAAAGCTAGTCAAGATTAAGTTTACATATTTGACGATAGCAAATACATACAAATAACTTAGACCAGCGATTTTCAAATTGTGCTCTATAGAACTTCTTCAGTATTCTGAGCAGAGGGCAAGGGTTGGGGGAGGCATGGGAGGACACTCCAGCTGAGCTCTATGCTTTTACCTACTTTACATACTGGGCCTCCCAATAATACTTAATTAAACTAAGGATTTCAGAGCCAAAATATTTTTTGTTACAAAACAGACTTATACTTCTGCTTCTGCTTAGGGTATAGAAAACAAAAGAAACTTCCATCCTAACAACAAGAAAAAGCTGGATAATCTACAAAGAGCTGAACCCATCCAAGAGCTGAGGTCATAAAGCAACCAAGTGAATTGAACTCCAAAGAGTGGTAAGTCCTTTTAAAGGGAGAGGGAAGATTGTTTTACCTTTGGTGAGCATGGGAGGAACAGATGGCTAAGATAAATGAGGGTAAGAAAAATGAGCTAAAACTTTCATTAAAGGCTAAGTGTAGAAAAGTGTGTCATGTGGAATTTCTGGTAGCCCCCAGCCAGACAAGGACATTTCACATTCACAGGCATGAAACAAGGGCTCACAAGACAGACTAGGGGCAGGTTGCTAGCTGGCTATATTTAGAGATAGGCATGAAACTGGGCACATCCCTATATACACTCTTCTCTCAAGGGAAGCAAAAGCTTTAGCTGTAGAAAGATTAGAAATTTTGTCCCCTCTCCCCACTCAGGATAAGTCAAAGATCCACTGCTCCTGGGGAAACAAAACCTTTCTGTTCCTGGGAGAGTAGTAGACCTTCTTGAGCCAAGGACAGACAATTCACTGACATGCACCAAGGGTCTACTACCGCTCAGCTGTCTAGGAGGGAAAGGAAAATATCTTCTGCCCAGGACTCGCCACAGATACAAGTCAATACTTGGCTGCTACAGAAAGGAGAGGCAGGAATACTGAGAAAGCCCTGCCTACACTGAAGCCTGCCTAACCTTGACTGGACCAGAAGATCTAAGAACCCCACTTACCCTCACCATGAAGATACCCCTGGAAATAAGGATCAGAAGTCTAGTGCTGTAGGTGGGGCATGTACTTGAGGACAGCCTCCCTTTGGCATGCACGTGCAGAAGCAGCTTGGTTCTCAGGGTGAACAAACACTGAGGAAAGCCCTTCAGTAACCTCAATGCCCAAGGTAACAACAGCCCACTGCTGAAGGAGTGTGAAGTCTATGGTATACAGCAAAATCTGAATCCAGCCCAACTCATAACTATAATGGAAACCAATATACAAACACCTCAAAAAAATTTCAAGCCAGGGGCCAGTGGCTCACACCTATAGTCCTAGCTACTCAGCAGGCAAAGATCAGGAGGATCATGCTACAAAGCCAGCCCAGGAAAATAGTTTGCAAGACCCTATCTGGAAAAAAGCCATCACAAAAAAGAGCTGGTGGTGGCCCAAGGTATAGGCCCTGAGTTCAAGCCCCAGTGCTGGAAAAAAAAAAAAAGATACATGGTGAAGTGAAAAACCCACTGTCAATAAACAAAGTAATCAATAGAACCAGATTCTCTAATGAGCCGTGTTTAATCAGCCAGGAACTTTAAAGTAAATATGACTGCTATGTCTATATCAAGGATCTAGTGAAAAGGTGGACAACAACCACGAACAGATAGGAAATTGCAGTGGAGAGATGGAAACTATAAAAACAGATCAGAATTTGGAGGCCTGGTTCAAGTGTAGAGTGTTTGCCTAGCAAGCACAAAACCCTGAGTTCAAACCCCAGTACTGCCAAAAAAAGAAAAAAGTAAAAACAAAACAAACAAAAACAGATCAAAGAGAAACACAAGAAATATTTTACTTATTTTTAATCGTTATACTGATTGTATAGGAAAATGTCCTTATTCATGGAAAATATATACAAAGCTACTTGAGGGTTGCTATTCTCTGAATACATATGTCATCAGAAAATTCTTATTTTGAAACCTACCCTCCAAGGTGATGGTATTAAGAGGCAAGAGCCTTGGGAAGTAATTAAATCATGAAAATTCTGCCCCTGTGAATAGAATTAGAGCTCTTATAAAAGGGGCCTACAGGAGCTTGCTTGCCCCTTCTTCCATATGAAGATAAAAAGAAAGGGCCATGTATGAAGAACAGGCCCTTACCAGATACTGAATCTGCTGGTACTTGAACTTGATTTCCCAGCCTCCGGAAGTGTAAATAATAAATTTCTAGGGCTCATAAATTACTATTAAACAATGCATTTCTGTTGTTTATAAATTACCTGGTCTAAGGTATCTTATTATAGCAGCCTGAAAGGACTACAAAGGACTGAACGAGTATTAGGGTTAGCAACTTACTCTTAAATGGTTCAGAAAAGAAAGCCAACTGTGCTGTACTTGTAACTTTTCTGTATGTCTGTGTGTTAACGGTTTAGATCTTAAGTGTCCCCCAGAGGCTCTTGGGTTGAAGCCTTGGTCCCTAGCTGATGGGGCTGTTGGGAGGTGGTAGAATCTTTATGAGGTAGTGCCTAGTGGAAGGAAGTTAGGTCATTGGTGGTGTGCACTTGAAGAAGATACTGGAATCCCTGTCCCTTCCTCTTTCTCTCTTTACTTTCCAGCCACCATGAGGTGCAGCTTTGCTCTTTCTTCCACAAGGCTCCTGCTAGGATGCTCTCCCTCACCATAGGCCCCAAAACAATGGAGCCAACATACCAGGGGCTACAACCTCTGAAACTGTGAGCCAAAATGAATCTTTCTTTCCTTCATGTTGATTTTGTCGGTGATGGGAGGTAACACACTGTATTTATTTCAAAGTTTTAAAAATTATTTTAAAATTTTAATCTACTGATTTGATCCTGACTTACTTTTACTTCAATAAAGATGGAGAAAGGATTCTCTTATTTTTAGGAAGCGTTTCAATTGTTTACATCAATTAATAAACTTAATTGGTATTTTTATCTTTTGTTTCTTTTTTTATTAGTGTATATCAATTGTACAAAATAATGGTTTCATTATGACATTTATATATATATACATCATGTACTTTGATCACATTCACACCTCCAAGGATTTTTTTAAAAAAGGAAGTATACTACCCCAACTGCTTGGATTAAGAGCTGTTTTAACAGCATGGTACTGGCACAAAAACAGACATGAAGACCAGTGGAACAGAGTAGAGGACTCAGATATGAAGCCACACAACTATAACCAACTAGTCTTTGACAAAGGTGCTAAAAATATACGATGGAGAAAAAGCAGCTTCTTCAACAAAAACTGCTGGGAAAACTGGTTAGCAGTCTGCAAAAAACTGAAACTAGATCCATGTACATCACCCATACCAATATTAACTCAAAATGGATCAAGGATCTTAGTATCAGACCATAAACTGTAAAGTTCATATAGGAAAGAGTAGGAAATACTCTGGAGTTAGTAGGTATAGGTAAGAACTTTTTCAATGGAACCCCAGCAGCTCAGCAACTAAGAGATAGCATAGATAAATGGGACTTCATAAAACTAAAAAGCTTCTGTTCATCAAAAGAAATGGTCTCTAAACTGAAGAGAACACCCACAGAGTGGGAGAAAATATTTGCCAGCTACACATCAAAGGACTGATAACCAGAATATATAGGGAACTTAAAAAACTAAATTCTCCCAAAATTAATGAACCAATAAAGAAATGGGCAAGTGAACTAAACAGAACTTTCTCAAAAGAAGAAATTCAAATGGCCAAAAAACACATGAAAAAATGCTCACCATCTCTAGCAATAAAGGAAAAGCAAATTAAAACCACACTAAGATTCCACCTCACCCCATTAGAATAGCCATCATTAGCAACACCACCAACAACAGGTGTTGGCGAGGATTCGGGGGAAAAAGGAACCCTCTTACACTGCTGGTGGGAATGTAAACTAGTACAACCACTCTGGAAAAAAATGTGGAGACTACTTAAAAAGCTAAACATTGATCTACCATTTGATCCAGCAATACCACTCTTGGGGATATACCCAAAAGACTGTGACACAGGTTACTCCAGAGGCACCTGCACACCCACGTTTATTGCAGCACTATTCACAACAGCCAAGTTATGGAAACAACCAAGATGCCCCACTACTGATGAATGGATCAAGAAAATGTGGTATCTATACACAATGGAATTTTATGCAGCCATGAAGAAGAACGAAATGTTATCATTCGCTGGTAAATGGATGGAATTGGAGAACATCATTCTGAGTGAGGTTAGCCTGGCCCAAAAGACCAAAAATCATATGTTCTCCTCATAGGTGGACATTAGATCAAGGGCAAACATAACAAGAGGATTGGACTTTGATCACATGATAAATTGAGAGCACACAGGGAGGTATGGGGATAGGTAAGACACCCAAAAAACTAGATAGCATTTGTTGCCCTCAACACAGAGAAACTAATGCAGATACTTTAAAGCGACAGAGGGCAATAGGAAAAGGGTACCAGGAACTAGAGAAAAGGCTAGTTTGGGAAGAATTAATTTAGAAGGTAACACACACGCACAGAAAATCAATGTGAGTCAACTCCCTGTATAGCTATCCTTATTTCAACTACCAAAAACCCTTGTCCTTCCTATTATTGTTTATATTCTCTCTTTAACAAAATTAGAGATAAGGGCAAAATAGTTTCTGCCTGGAAGCGAGAGGGTGGGGGGGATGGAGAGGGTGGGGTGGTTAAGGGAGAGGGTGGGGGGAAGCGGGGAAAAATGACCCAAACATTGTATGTATATATGAATAAAAAAAAAATGAAAGCAAAGCACTTTTGTAAAGAAAAAGAAAAACATATAGGATAGGAACAATAAAATAATATTAAAACTGGTAAACTAATGGTGATTATTCCATTGAGGAAAAATAAGGGAGGTAACCCTGAAAGGTGGTAATGTTTACTGAGCATGGGGGTAAAACATAAACTAGATTAGCAACATGAGACAGTAGAGAAGCACCTACTATTTTAATTCACCACACTGAAGTCTCATATACCCTGACTGAGGAGGCCCAGAAAAGGTTTAAGGAGTATTTCTTCTCAATTCATTAGTCTATAGCTCCAAAATATAGCTTTTCAATTTATATTAAATTTGGGCAGTCAGGGTACTCTTTTCCTTAGAGAACATACAATCCAGAAAAGTCTCATAGTGAAGACAGAAGCTGTCTGTTCTTAAGGAATCTCTACTGTCCTTCTCTAGGAATGTGACACATAAGTGTGTGCTTCAGGAGAGACAATCTTTTGAAAGCTGATCAGGCCACACAGATGATTCAGATCCTACAAATCCCATAAAAGATTTTAGACCATTTCTCAATACATCAATTTCTCTGTAGTGGTCTCAATATGGTTGGCAACTTAATATCTATTTTGTCTTTGGTGATGACTCAGAAAAGGAGGTTTGGAACTTTGTGGGGAATTTTTTGATCGTCATAATGATTATGAGAGGAGTGTTACTGGCATTTAGCAGGGCCAGGGATCTGGACATTCTGCAAGTGCAAGACAGCAGCTTATAATGAAACTGTGCTAATAGGGTATGATCTTCAAATGTCCCAATCAAAGTTTACATGGGTGAAAATATTTTAGTTTTTGGTGGTGCAGATTTTTTTTTAACCTTGCTAGGGAAGTGTTCTTGTTATGCTTCTAGGCCCCTTTGCCTTGAGTTTATTTTTCAGATCGCATCTCATGCTTTTGCCCAGGGCTGGCCTTGGACTTCCTTCTGAGTAAATAGAATTAACAAGTGTGTGTCACCATGCCCAGTTTATTTTTGATAGGGTCTTCCTAGCCTCAAATCATGATTCTCCTAGTTCTACCTCCCAAGCAGCTGGAATTATAGGCATGTACCACCATTCCCAGATGAAAACCCTATTTATAATTATCTGAGCTTAGGACCTAATTCCATCTTACATATTAACAAAAAATATTTTTATAGTTTTAATATAAACTAATAATAGTTTTTCCAGGAATTCAACAATTGGGTAAATCAAGACAAAACCTATACTTTTTATTGTGGTTGTTTAGAAATTTACAGAGAGTTGTTTACTATTTCAGAAAATCATTTAATTTGGTAATGCTACTCTGATGCTCTGGAACCAAAAGCACATTTCCATCCATCTGCATTTTTAGCACTTTTACTCAAATAATGCTGTAAGTACAGATACCTGACTATATTCTAGTACAGTTATGCCAAAACATTAATATATTGAGGAAATTCATTTTATTATAAATTACTTTTCTTTTATTCCTCCTTCACGTTTCAGTTAAGATTTTATATTGACTTTCCCATGCTGGGACTGGTGGAACATGGGCATGTGACCTAATTCAGCTCAATGAGATGGAGTATTCTGAGAACTTCTGTAAAAGGTTTCTTGGTTCTTGGAAGAGAGGAAGAAATGGTCCTTCTTTCTTTTCATGTAAGTTTGTGATGACTAGAGAAGCTGTGACCACCTTGGTATCAGCTTGAGGATTAAGTAAGTACATTGCAGAGGCAGCTCCAGGAGAATCCTAAACAGGTGAAATGGAAGCCCTGAGATCCTACATCTGAAGTCTGCTTTCCCACTGGACTTCTAGCCCATGTAATGTAATAAATTCCTTTATGTGTAAGTCAGGTGGAATCAGGTTTTCTCTTATTTGCAGCTGAAAACAGCTCAACACATAAGGTTGCCTTATAGAAATGACACTGGAAAGAAAGATAAAAGGAAACAATATAGTACATTGATAATGATATTCGCGTGTCAATTCTGTGATTTACTAGTTGTATAATCTTAGGCAAATTACTGAATCCCTCTGAGCCTCAGCTTCCTTACTTACAGAATGGAAAGAGGGATACCTGCTTTCCGTGGCTTAATGAGGATTATGAACTAATACTCGTTCAGATGTTAACTCAATGTTAGCATGTTACAAATATTCAATACTGGTGGTAATACTATTGTTATTAAGAAGAGAAAGGAAAAGGACTCACAGCAGTCTGAGCAGTGATGTGTGTGCAGCCCACAATTTTGGCTCCAGCCAAAGGCTTTTCTCCTTGAGCTCTCTTCCTCAAAGCCATCAGTGCAGGCATTTCTGAAAAGGCCCGATACAAACACAGCAATATTAGGAGGGACAAGAGATAAAAGAATAAACAGAAAAACTTACTTTTTTTAGGTTAAGATCTTTCCCTGATCAGATTCTCTGTTAGATTGAGTTTCTCAAGCGATCAAAACGTCAGACCTGAATTTTCTTTTATAAGAGGTTTTCAGAGGCAAATGCTCCAGGGTTGTGACTCTCCATATGCTAGTTCTCCTTATCCAGGGGCTTGTTCTCTACCCACCAGAGTTCACTCCCTCCCCAAAGTGTTTCCTGAGCTCAAATTCTTGGGTGAAAAAAAGTTTTTTTTTGCAGTGCAGGGTTTTGAACTCAGGGCCTTGCACTTGCCAGGCAGGCGCTCTATCACTTGAACCACACCTTCAGTCCATTAGCTCAGATTCTTTTGTTATAAGTATTCTTTAGTGTCACACTGAAATTTCACAAACTATCAGATACCAGGACATACAAAGGGATCATTGCAGACAAAAAGACATAGACAGGAAGAGAAGCAAAAAGTGGTTGTTTTGTTTACCTTGTTCAGCAATTTCAATTTCTCTTCGTCCAAACTCTGCCTGTTTGATGTTCTTGACACAGAAGTCACTGCTTCCTTTAGAGTTCTTTTGCTGCTTGTCCCTGGGGGATGTTTCATCATCAGAGCTATCTGTGTATGAAGCCGCTGGAATGACAGAAGTAAAAAACCCTCAGGGAAAAAATTGATTAAAATTCTAAAATTCCAAACCTTGGAAGAACTGAGGCTTCTCTAGTCTTTTTTTTTTTTTTTTTTTGGTGGGGGGTACTGGAGTTTGAATTCAGGGCTTATACCTTCAGCCACTCCACCAGCCCTTTTCTGTGTGTGTGTGTGTTTTTAAGATACAGTCTTGAAAACTATGTGCCTGGGGCTGGCTTCGAATTGCGATCCTCCAGACTTCTGCCTCCTGAGTAGGTAGGATTACAGACGTGAGTCACCAGTGCCTGGCTTCTCTACTCTTTACTCCATACAAATTAACACTTCTGGGAAGCACCTAAATGGAACCACTGCACTGTCCCAATCATTTCTAGAAAGTCCTATTCACAGGTCGGAAGGGGGAAGCTGCAAGAAGTCGCCAAAGACATTCTTGCCAGACAGCATTAATCTAGGGCTAAGTTTTTATTCAGAACACACAGAAGAACTTGAATATGCAAAAGGACAGAGGGAACACTAAGGTAGCAAGAGATTAAAGTTCCTAATGCAAGCCCATGGTCATTACCTATGAGTTCCTAGGATCCAGTTACCCTTCTCTGCTTTAATGCCTGAAGTAATTTATGTTTTATTATAATAACTGAATAGATGAGACCTAGAAATAAGGAACCCATGGGAAAGTAATTAAGAATCACACAAAAAGTGTTTGTCTGACATAACAGAGCTTTGTTTCTCAGGACTGTCTCTGATGAGACTGAACTATGCCTGCAGACCCAATTAGACACTGACAATAAAGTATTCAATGTGCTCTCCCTTCTTGTTGGCCTCAACGGGTTCCCCACTAGGCATTTTAGATTCTCAAAGCAACAAATAAATCCTCTTCTGGTACAATAAAATGCTTTGATAACTAACCCATTTATCAATATACAGTAGAGGGTGAAAGGTCCAAGACTTTCAACTGTGACCAACAGGCAGCTGGTGATAGCTACTGCTATTGACAGGTTTAGCTGAGGTCTTTTTAGTCTTCATATAATTCTGTAATTGCTAATCATTCGATGGATAATTTGAAACGATTTCCCTCCTTGGTTTAAGTAGCAGAGGATAATATTCCTAATACAGTTTTGGGAGGGGTGGAAAATATAAACAAAACATTTTGTATCTCTCATTGCAACAGAAGTACTGCCATCACTTTTAAGGGAAGAAAGTGGCAAAAGCTCAGAGTTCCTAGCATCTATGGTGCTCTAATCTACTCATATCCAGAGAATTAAGGCATTTCTGAGATTTCTTAGCAGAGAGTCTTTCTCTGGGGGTGCTATAAAAGGCAAGTCTGACCTTGCCCAGTTAATCAGGCATGGTGCTGCACACTGTGGGGTCAGCAGGGGCTTGAGGATCTCTCTTGAACTGGAAAATTGCCTAGGAGCAAAGTCCTACCACGAGGCCACAGGAATGAACATAGGCACCAGGGGAGGTGAAGAAAATAGTAAATCCCCAAAGGGACTTTTGTTCTTGAAAGGAGCTAATCTGTACAAAAAGTTTTTGGTTCCCCCTCCTAGGGTGAGTGAAAGCTCAAAGTACTTTTGGCAATAGAGCTCAAGAAATAGCTTTCTTGGCAGTGATCCACTTGACTAATCAATATTCTGATACAGATTAGGCGAACCATGCTTCTTCTACCTCAGAGAGAGGATAACAGTCTTTCCCAATCTTGATCTAAATTTACAAGAAAGTTGCTTTTGAAGAGTTTACATTCAGAATATCTTTATTTCAAAAAAATTTTTTTCCAGGGCCATGATGATTTTTATTCTCCCAAATGGTCACTGAATATAGTGGTCAGGAGCCATGCATTGTGGCACGTATCTGTAATTCCAGTACTCTGGAGGCAGAGGCCAGTCTGTACTATATAGAGTTCAAGGCTAACCTGAGCTGCCCTGCCTCAAAAAAATCAAGAGCACAGGCTGTGGTTCAGTGGTTGAGCACTTTTCCGGAATGTACAAGGCCCTGGATTCCATCCCCAGCACCACAAACAAAGTGTTCTAGAATCAGGCAGACTTTGGTTGAAGTCACAGTCTCTGTTTCTGGATGTATAAAATGGAGGCAAGATCAGAGCCTATTTAATAGGGTTATTAATATATTCAAGTATTCAGTCATTTGCACTTCCAGTGACTCATTCAACAACTTTTAATTTTGCATCTACTATACACCAGGCCTGGTCTAAGGGGCTGGGAACATACCAGCTGACCTTAGTGAAGTTTTCCTTCTGTAGGTGATCAGACATGGAAGAACTGATTGCTTTTCTTAAAAAATACAGTTGTAATGTGTGCTATGAAACAGAAATTAGCATTACTTAAAAATATATAATAACTTCTCAAGCCTGAGGATGTTTCAATGGTACAGTGCTTGCCTTGCATGCAAAGGCTCTGGGTATGTTCCCCTGTACCTAAAAAAAAAAATGGAGTTAAATTGTAGAGAAGATTATATAAGATACTGTAAAGAAAGCACTTAGTATAATGATTAGCATACAGTAACTAAGCATTTAATAAATGATACCTGATATTATTACTCATTTTTGCTCATATTCTAAACTTAGTATCAGATGTAACATTTTTTAAGATTTTTGAATGGGAAAAGAATGACATTCATACAAAATTACTTAGTTTCTTTTTTTCTTTCTGCCTTAGTCATCTCTTACTAATCTACCTGCTCTACCAAAGCAGCAGGTGGTCGCTGGCAATGATAAACAGGTGGTGACTGAAGTCCTCACTCCCAGAATAGTTTTCCTCTCCTATGCCTCTTTAGCTTCTAAGGATGAGTCAGGAAAAAAAAAAAAAAAAAGAAAAAAAAAATGAAACTAAACAAAAAAAACCTTATTCTTAAGATAAGCACTCCAATTTTTGACTTTGTCTTTTATCCAATTCAAAGAACAAAATTGCTTATACCACTTCTTTATTCTGAAAGCTAGAAAAAAAAGTATATTACTTTCATAATAGAAAGTTACAGTTACAAATGTTTTTCTTGAGCCAAAATGGGTTTTTCAAAGAGTCCTTTAGAAAGAGCTGCTGTCAGGTAAGAACCGAAAGCAGTAGTTGTCTAGATTGCGCTAATATGAGGATGCAACATGGCTGACAGATCCAGACCAAGAGTAGGTGCTATTCCTGAACTACTGTGACATTTATTCATTTATTTTTTTGAACATACTTATTTCTGCCACTATATTTTGAATAGGGTTTCTAAAATACGTAGACTCATCAGCATATTCTGAAGCCCAGGGTCATAATTTCATTAAAATTGAAGAGTCAAAGCTGGCGGAGTGGCTCAAGTGGTAGAGCACCTGCCTAGAAAGCACACGGTCCTGAGTTCAACCCCCAGTACCACTAAAAAGAAAACACAAACAAGTAAACCGACAAAATCATCAATCTAGAAGTGGTGGAGCAGGCCTGTAATCCCAGCTACTTGGGAGGTGGAGGCAGGAAAATCATGCATTTGAGGCCAGTCTAAGCAAAGTTAGCGAGACCTTGTCTCAAAAACAAAGTACAAAATAAAAGGGATAGGGGTGTAGCTCAAGTGGTAGAGTGTTTGGCTGGCATATGCAAGGTTCTAGGTTCAATCCCTGGTATGACAAAACAAGAACCAAAGACAAAAAACAATTGATAAACTAGAACATAGGACCCCACCTCTAGCTTTACCCATAGTTGGTAAAGCTACGGGATCAGTTTTCAATTTATCCAAATGTAAACTGAGGAGTTTTACAGATTTTCTCTCTCCTTATGTTCATAGTTAACTACCAGTAGAAAAGTCTTATAAATAAATAAGATAATCTCCACAGTGGTTCAGTTTCTAGGTAGGAAAGTAATATTTCTAGAACATGCCATACATATGTTCTATGGCTCACACCTCATTTAGTCTTACCTCCTAGTAGCTGTGATTGTATGAGTTACTGCTAGAAGAGCAGTCAGAATTCTCATTCTATTAAATTATTTTGTCAGACAGTTACTCTCAGGTTCAACTTATTTATTTGGTAATGGAAATAACAGTAGGGACCTGTGTATCAGTGTACAGCAGATTTCATTGATGTGTAATACTCAACAAATATGTGAAAAGCTGTACTAGCAACCAAAATACAAGCAAACAAGTAAAACTTTTGTCATTTGGAAAAAATCTGAAGGTATATTGTCTGAGGCAAGCATCCTGGAAAGCCTGTGTGGCTTTGACTTCTAGAACATCAGCTCTCTAGATTTCATATTCACCCTGCTTGCCAGCCACTTGGTTAAAAAGCCAGCATACTGTGGAGTGAGAGGGGAGGGCTGTTAAGTGCTGGGGCTCTCTCTCCTAGAAGACAAGGCAGCTTGATGGAAAGGGGTGTCCCTGCTTCGTAACACTGCCTAGGACATAAATGGCTGCAAAGGGAATTACAGGTTTCTCACAGACCTTAGACCTTAGTCCTCGGTTCCAATGCTAGCCACTGCTCTGAAGGAGAGGGGTGTGTGTGTGTGTGTGGCCACTGCTCTGAAGGAGAGGGTGTGTGTGTGTGTGTGTGTGTGTGTGTGACCAGTTACAGGAGGCTGCAAAAGGCTCAGCCACTGCTTTGATTTACAACTGAAAATGGCTAACAAAACCTTTTAGAAGGAGTTAACACTTATACTCAACCCCCCAAAAGTGGAACCTTGAAAAGCTGGATGGATGAAATTTTAAATAAACCTTCCCATAGCAACAGGTTTTCCTGCTGCTGTCAACAGGGCCCACAGACTTCTGTATTGCAAGACAAGAGCCCTACTACTGAGCTGCATCCTGTAACTAGGAAGTTACAGGAACACCTGCTTTGAAGAAGCCAATACATCTGTATCTTTTTCCCTCTACCCCTGTTAACCTATATTCCTCTTTGTAGACATTGATTTGGCACAGGGTCTTGTTATATGCCCCCTTCCTTCCCAAACACTGATTTGGCAAACCTTTTTCAATAAGCTGTCTTAAACAAATAAACAAAAATCTAAAGGTATCTCAAACTTTATAAGTACCACTCATGAGTAGATGTCATCCCTCCTCATCCTTAAGTAACTAACTCACTGCAGACAGTCTTCTCAGAAATGAATCACTGAGAACAGTCTTGATTTTGAAGAAAAGAATCTTCTGTTCATTTAATTTTATATATATTTTTTTTGCTTAGGGGAGGAATTTTTAGAAGTTTGTTTCATATAAAAGAATGCAGCAGTTTTCAATCCAGGTTCCCTGAGTATTAAGTCATAAAGTCTTGAAGCATCCATTGCACATAATGAATTAACTTCTCTCCTATACATCTAGAAAGGTACTCATTATGTACCATCTCTTGGAGAATTAAGAAAACACATTACCTTCTGGGTTCTGTAATTCAGATGAGGAACCTTGTTTGAGAAGGTTGATAGTAGCTCTTAAATTAAAGCATGGCACTAGGATCCTTAGGAAGAGAGGGCCATTGTTCATTTAAGCCCCCAAGTACCTTCAGCAAAACCAGCACAGTGAACAAGGAGGTAACTCTTTTTGGATAGATCATACACCTTTTGGCTTTTCACATACATAGAGAGTATGTCAGAGACCTCAATAAGAGTACAAAGACTAGTAAGAATGTCTCTGGGCCTGCGGATGCGGCTCAGTGAGAGAGTACTTGCTTAGCATGCATGAGACCCTGGGTCCAGTACCTGGAAGTGTAAGAAATGAAAGAAAAGAGGAGAGGAGAGCAGAGAAGGAGAAGAAAAGAAAAAGAATGTCACTGAACAGCTTTTACCAGTATTTATTTATTGAGTACCTCATCTGTGTCAAACACTGTTCTAAATGCTGGGAATGTAACGGTATAAAATAAACAAAAATTTGTGTTCTCATGGATCTTGCATTCAAGTAGGAGGAGAAAGACAAAAACAAATTAGAAAAATATGTAGTATGCTTTATAAGTGCTATAAAGAAAAATTAAGGAAGAAAATTTGATAGTGTTGGGTGGGGTATTTGTATAATATTTATAATTAATTAATTTTTAATTGACAAAATTATACATACTGTGTTTATTATATATAACATGTTGTTTTGAAATAAGTACACATTGTAGAAGAGCTCAGTAGAACTAATTAACACATGCATCACCCCATATACTGTGGGGGTAATCTAACCAATATACAATATAAGCCTATTTGGAACTGTTGCAATGAATCTCCCCATACAACAAATATATCCTAATAAAAAATAAAGCAAAAAAACCCAAAAAAACAAAAACAAAACCAAAAATACTACTTTCTTAAGAATATAATACATTGTTATAAACTATAGTTATACAGCCATCATGTTATATACGATTTTAAAAGATCAGCCAGGATAGGCCTGAATTCAAAGACAATACTTAGTGCAAAACTGAAGGTAAAATAACCAGCCATGAATGTATTGGGAAATAAACATTCCTGGTGGAGGAAATAAATACAAAGGTCTTGAACAGGGCCATCCTGGCATGTTTCAGAGGAATAGTAGGGAGGCTAGTGAGGCTGGAGTGAACTGAATGGCTGAGGAAGTAGTGACGTGATAAAAAATACAATGGGAGGCTGGCTGGCATAGGGACTTTTAAGCTCGTAAGAATCTTAGCCTTTACTCAGAGTGAGATGGGGAAGTCACTGGAGGTTTTGAGCAGAGAAGTGATATGGTTTGACTCATTTTATACAACTTCATCTTTATTTTACTTACTTTTTTGCAGTGCTGGGGATCAAATCCAAGGCCTTGCACATGCTAGGCAAGCCATCTACTACTGAGCACCTGACCTGACTTTATTTATGCATGTATATATGTATTTATTTATATATTGGTGGGGCTGGAGTTTGAACTCAGGTTCAGGTCTTCACATTTGCAAAGCAGGAGATCTACACTTGAGCCACACCTCTAGTCTATTTTGCTCTAGTTATTTTGGAGACAGGGATCTTGTGAACTATTTATTTGCTGGGGCTGTCCTCTAACTACAATCCTCCCAATCTCAGTTTCCCAAGTGGCTAGGATTACAGGTGTGAGCCACTGGTGTCCGGCTCTGACTTATTTTAAAAGAATGAATGTGGCTGCAGTGTTAAGATTAGACTGAAGATGACATGGGAGGTTTGAGATGAACAGTTGATCTAGTGTGTAGGGAGATTTTGAACAGGAGATAAAAATATGAGAATCAAACACCAATACATGATATTGAAAACCATGAGGAAATAAATTCACTTAGGGAGAGAGTACAAAGAAGGCAGAAGTCCAAGGATCAGTTTTTAGGATTCCCCAATGTTAATTTCTGTAGTCAATTATAATGCATGCTGAAAACAGACCTCAAGTACTTATAGACATGCACCTGCATATCATCTTATGTTTAGAAACCTCTGACTCAATTTTGCAATTCCTGGGTTTTCATTCAATGGGCACAGAGCTCTTCCTGTACCATCTCATTTAACTGCCTGCTCTCCTGGTTTTGAACATGTCAGAGTTTTTTTTAGGTCGAGTATGGTGATTCATGCCTATAATCCCAGCTACTCTGGACACAGAGGCAGGAGGATTATGAGTTTGAGGCCAGCCAGGACAAAAAAAAAAAAAAAGGTAGTGAGACCCTGTCTCAAAAACAAATGAAAAGAAAACAAAAGACTGGGGAGCATAGCCCAAGAAGTAGAGCACTTGCCCAGCATGTGCACCGCAAGAAAAATAAATAAATAAATAAAGTAAATGTTCCCAAAGAGGCCAAGGATATCATATTCACAGGGATGCCAGTTCCAGCATCCAGTGAATCGTTTAAGTTATTCTCCAAATTCAGGATGTTTTGACTTCCTGCTTCTGAATTTAATGTACTTAAATGAATATATTAGGCTGATAACTTTTGACTTCATATAGTTTAATCTAAAAGGCCCAAATATACTGGATGAGACCAGTTAATATCATTTACCAATGACCCATATCAGGCAACTCTGTGCTCCCTTAGAAACCAAGGGCATCACCTACATTCTTCTAGGTACATAGGTTTATTGAAAGTACACTCTGCATGTGGGGTTTGGGCAGGAAACCAGGCATTGTCTTCCTCTGCAGGAACATGCTGCTATGTGGATCTAGTTGTGTAGGGAAGAGACTGAGCTGGAGTTAAAATTTAGCATCATTATTATTTAGTATAATAATAGATAACATGTACAAACCCACATCTAAAATGTCACATATTATTTTACAATTCACATTTTCACATTATAGCTTTCAGAGTTATATTAACTAGTTCATGAATTTTCAACACATTTTATTTCAGTAGCATAAGATAAGTATGACATTCCATATCTTTTTTTTTGGTGGCACTTGGGTCTCATGCTTGCTAGGCAGGTGCTCTTAACATGTGAGCCACTCCGCTAGACCTTTTATTTTGTGATAGGTTTTTTTTTTTTTGAGATAAGGTTTCACAAACTATTTGCATGGGGCTGGCTTCGAACTGCAGTCCTCATGATCTCTGCTTCCTGAGTAGCTAGGATGACAGGTGTGAGCCACCAGCATCCATATCTTTATATAAGAATCAATTGGAATTTATGACATATGCTTTACCTCATTCACAGTAGAATGAGGAGGAAGTAAAGAGAAAGGTAAAAAGTGTGTAAACAGTGGAGCATGTTTATACATGCCTATAATCCCAGGACTCAGGAGGCTAAAGCAGAAGGATTCTGAGTTCTAGGCCAGCTTAAGCTACATACTGAGTTCCAGGCCAGCCTGGGCTATATAATGAGATCCTGTCTCAAAAAAAAAAAAAAAAAGGTGTAAATAAAAACCTACCAAACCTAAAAGTTATAGCTTCCCAAACAACCTTTCATTAACTTTAAGTAACAAATACTACTTTCCATCTTGTGTGAAGAACAAATAAAATTTCAGGACATGAGAAAACTTTCTAATGAATATTACTACTATGTATAATGTGAAGAGGTAACCAGGGCAAACTCTCAGCTCCCTACCACACTCTAACACAAGATCAAAATAAAATAGCCCCTTATCAGATTAGACTCATACTGGGCAATGTTGCATAAACAGCCATTGCCTTCTAGGGGTCCTATGGGGAATAGCTCATCTGACATTAAATGGTAACTCAGGCCGAAGGCACATGTATTTGAATTAATGCTACTGCAAAGCAAGGAAGGAATAACAAGCAATGCAATGTCACAGCTTTGGAGACAAGGCAAATTGCTTGAGTTAACTACAATGTCTTCATTGTTTCTTGAGGCAACAGAGGTTTCTCCCTTATTTTGCAAGTACCAGATAGAGGGATGAGAGCCTCTTTTTATTTTCAAAGGATGGAAAAAATACAAGTCTTTCTATATGCTGTTCAATGAACTAAATGCTCCCATCCTTTTGAGTAGATCAAAGAACTCATTCTTTTCAATCACCTTCTAAATCTGCTGGAAGATGAGGTCTCCATGAAACTCCATTATTAAATTCCCAAGAGAAATCCAAAAGATTCCACCCAAAATTTTGGGTCAAATTTTCACAGGCTTGAATAACTGGTCTTAGATAGATGGATCTGTTGATCATACCTGTTGTTGGCCTTGGCAGGGGGTTTGTGGCAGTTTAGTACTTACCTGAGCTGTAGCTGTCAGTAGATGACTGAGAAATGGAACGAGACAGAGAGCGACGTCCAATTTTGGTGGGACGTTTGTTGAATTCTTGTTTCTGGTCAGCAAATTGGATCTGCTAAGAAAAAGAACCCAAGTTATATAAAGGAAAAGAACCTCCATTTTTAGGAAGCAATTTAGAGTTTGCATTATTATAGGTTCTTATCTTCTTATGCAGTTGATCTGATTGTATCAGATCAACTGCATGAGACTTTTTGAAAAGGGTAAGTTTTCATTCTCCACCTACTATGTTTCTATCAAATTTAATTATTTTTCTTTTTGCAGTGATGGAGATTGAATCCAGGGTCTCACACTTGCTAGGAAAGTGCTCTACCACTTGAGTTATGTATCTAGCCCTTTTATTTTTATTTTGTTTTTGAGACAGAGACTTGCTAACTTTTGCCTGGACCAGCATTGAACCTGAGATCCACCTCTGCCTCTCAAGTAGCTATCACCACCACAGTTGGCTTCAAATTTAAATATTTAATACACTTTCTACCTATACACTTTTTACAATAAAATTGTGATTAAAAAAAGGAGAAAGGAGGGGGCTGGCAGAGTGGTTCAGGCGGCAAGAACACCTGCCTAGGAAGCATGAAGCCTGAGTTCAAACACCAGTGCCACCAAAAAAACCCAAAACCAAAACAAAAAAGAAGCCTGACACCTATAATCTTAGTTATTTGGGAGGATTAGATCAGGAGGACTAAGGTTGGAGGCCAGCCCAGGCAAATAGTTAGAGAGACCCCAGGTCCTAAATAACAAGAGCAAAAATGGACAGGAGGCATGGCTCAAGTGGTAGAGTGCCCGATTTGCAAGCTCAAAGCCCTGAGTTCAAACCACAGTCCCACCCCAAAAAAAAAAAAAAAAAAAAAAAACAAGAAAGAAAGAAAGAAAGAAAGAAGAAAGGGACGTTTTGGTTACAATAAATTTTTAGGAAGTTGAATCATATTAAGAAATCCTTTCTATGGTTTCACTGAAAATTAAAGCTAGAAAGAATCTTGAGACTGTCTGACTATATAACCTTCATATATCTAGATGAGAAATTTTTAAGGTGCAAAAAAGGTAAAATGACTTGCTTTCAGATTTCAAAATTCTCAAGAAATGGTATGATGTATTAATTTTGAAAAAGGCTTTTCATTCCAACAGAACATTCTGGCATTACATTAAAATCTTGCCCATTCTTCTTACTAGCTGTGTGATGTTGGTCAAGATGTATTTGTGAGCCTAGTTTCCCATAAATACCACAGAGATAACGATGAATGAAAACTGTGAAACACAGCAGGAGATTCAATAAATGCACTCACTTCTCCCACCCTGCAGTTCAGTGTTCTTGTAATTCTTGCAGGTAGCCACTTTAATTTGTTAAAGACTTTCTAAAATGTTTTAGTTAGGGACTGGTGGAGTGGCTCAAGTGGTACAGTGTCCGTGCAAGTGTCGGGCCATGAGTATAAAAACGATATAATAAAGTAAAATGTTTGGTATCGTAAAATACCTAAATGTCATAAGCTTGATTATTTAATAACTATAACAGGTACAGCAGGGATGACTGGACTGAATATACACTCATCACACTCTGCAGGTTATGTTTGTACAGTATCAGATCATGACTTTCTTGCAGTTTTAATTCTAACTCCTATAGTTAAAGGTCTCGGCTGATACTTTATAATATTTTACAAATCAAAGCTCATATCATTTATTCAATTAATAACTTTTTCTTTTTTCTAACTGAACGTTGGTATAATTGCTTATTCTTCTGGACCCAGGGTGGCACAGGTTTCCTAAAAAGGATCAAAGATCTGACAACTGATTCTACCTTTAATAATAAAAAGATGGTTCCCTGATGGGCAGAACACAGAAACAGCATTGTAAAATGAAATCAGCAACTGAGGGCTACACTTCCTGTTATAAGAGGTCACTGCAGAGTCATTTGAATATTGAGACAAGGGGACAGAGTGCCAAATTGAATTAGTGTAGCATTCATTGTCTCTAAGGGGGAATTCATAGCATCTCCATCACTACAACAACAAACAAAGCCTGCATAGTGCTTCAAAGTTTGCAAAGCAGTAAGAAAATCCATTGGATTAGAAGCTCATCTCAAAATAAAAAATGACAAGTGATTATCTTGCTAAAATACCAACTTATTCCAAAGGGACTGTACCTCCATGGGATGAACTTGAAATTTTATCTAGCACAGCACTCATGTTGATGTAAGTACCTGTATTCTCTATAAATTACAGGCTCTCTGAAGGCAAGGGCTGGCCTTCTTATTCACCCTTGTATTACCAAACACAAATGCCTGACATATCCTCAATCACATGCTGAAGCAATGAACATGAAGTAGCTTATCCTGTCTTCACTGTCTGTACTTGGCTGAATATTCAGTAAACACAGCAACTATAAGCCAAGTCTAAAGTCAAAATAATTTTAAGGGCAAAAAATGTTGGAAATGGGTGAGAAGCTGGGGAGGTACAGAAGTCAGCCTCAAAACTCATGTCCATTTCACCAACATGGTTCAAGACAGTCATGTCTTCATTCTTTTTAGAAGCCCATCAAGGAAAAAGAACTGGCCATTCTGAGACACTAACTTCAACAGTGCCCCCCCTTAAAAAAAAGAGAAACAAACCTTGCCTCAGATATGTGTTATAACCCCACCCCCACCCCAACCAGACACCTGTGTAACATGCACAGTTGTGTGCACACAGACACAAGTATATACACACCATTAGAGGGGGCCAGTCAAATATGCTGGATTTGAAGGCCTGGGATGAGCACACATCTATTTACTCCACTAACACTAAGCCATATAGATAGATACCTACCTGCATTGCCATGGCAAGTCAGTTTTTGCTAAGCTGAGCTCCTTTCTTTACCATCTTCTCCCTTTGTAGTAATCCCTTCACCTAGGACAGGTTTAAACTCTTTTGGCACTAAAGAATAAGCTGGGCAGGCTTTCTGCATTAGAACATAGGATTCTTGCTAAATGGTTAGACACTGAATCCAGTTTTTTTTTTTAAAGACAAAAGAATGTTAGAGACTAACCATTTATATATAGTAAATTACACAATTTTCCCAAGAAATAAGTACCTTTCACTGATGAAAGAGACACTAACCTGAATTAAGTGGGTCAGTCCTGGTGCCCTCTTCCCTTCAACAGTTAAGCACCATTACATTCTTCACTCAGCAGTCCATTTCCTAACATATGATCTACCCACCCTCAGTGGTGGCACCTTTGTAGAATCTACTCAGAGTCTACTTGACCTTCCTACCTTGCTGGAAACCAGAGTCCTTCCAGGTAACCCTCCTTTTCTATCCTGGAGACCACTGCCTAATTCTAACAGGCACCAAGGGAAGGGAAGAAGGGAAGGGAAGGGAAGGGAAGGGAAGGGAAGGGAAGAGAAGGGAAGAGAAGGGAAGAGAAGGGAAGAGAAGGGAAAGGAAGGAAGAGAAAGAGGCTGTTAAGAGGAGGCCAGCTCCTCTTAACATGAGCCAGAGGGAGGGACAAGAGCAGGACAGTGGGGAAAGGAGAAGTATAAGCAGCTGGCCTTGGGCAGTAATGGCCACAGCAGCAGCAAGACTGGTAAATAAGAGCTTAGCCTCACCTGGGCTTTAATCCCAGCGTTGCCATTGACAATGTATTTCTTCTTGCTGCTCAGCATAGTGACATTACCAGCCCTACAGTCACTTCTTTAGTGCAGAGACCCTTGTATCCAGGCCTTTAAACTTTCCTCATCAGTAATTCTGTTGGCTTTGGTTCCAGCTCTTTTTTTTTTTTTTTTTGAGGCTGGGGGGGGCAACTATCCTTTCTTGGAATCCCTGAAGCAGCTCCAACAACCCTCTCAGCAGTACAGCCCCGATTCAATAAGGCAGTTTCTGTTAGAGGCTCATCAGCCATTCCTAGTTCTAGTGGCTGTTTTGTTTTTATTGTTATTTTTCCTAAATGCGTAATTACGTGGATCCTTTGACCTCTAAACCCCAACAAGTTCCTTGACAAGGCCCGACTTGCATGAGCACAACAATAGCTTATTTATAAAACTGGTGCACTTTTTTGCCTGCTATAATTAACTTGCTAATTAGGTTCCTTTTTAACCTTGCCTCCTCCTTTTCCATGTCAGATGATTTTAGCTAACCTAGTCTCAGAAAAAAATTAGCTACAGGGCCACTAAAACAATGAGAGAATTTATTTAAAAAGAATAAGGAAAAAAACAAAACCAAAAACCTAGTGCCAAGTGCTCTGGCAATCTCTATCCTATACTGTCCTTGGGTTGGCCAGACAGAGACAACAATTTCAGCTCTATCTCCAAGGAAATCAACTTCCTCCTTCCATTTCTTTACTCTTAATTGTGTATCTTTTCCTGTTTTGTTTTTTTGTGGTATTAGGGTTTGAACTCAGGGCCTTGTATTTGCTGGGCAGGTGCTCTACCACCTAAGCCATGCCTCCAGCCCTAATTGTGTATCTTTTATACACAAGTTTTGACCTTTGGTATTTAGTACCATCTCTAAGATTGTCGCTGATTTGGCACTGAGTGACCCAGTTTACTTCTTTTTTCCCTCAAAAAAAGGTGTTTTCTAGAGAATGACAGTTTTTTATCTCAAAATCTTCAAAATCACATGACAAATGAAGATTCAAACAAAAGGGAAAAGAAGCACATTACTCACTTGCTGGTTCTGAAAGGGACCCACTGAAAGCTACACTAGCCTGCCTGCTCCAGATGGGGTAGGAATAAGATTTGAATTCTTCAGAGTGTGAGAATAAGACTGAGAGAAGGGGAAAGAGATTGGGATTCTCTTATTGCACTCTCTTGGGTACAAGAAAGGCACTCTCTTGAGTGTAAGAAAGAACATAAAATGGTAGATTGCTTTTCGAGGATAATCTTTCTTTTGAGAAAAAAATCATATTGTACAACGCTTATTGGCTTTTCTGGAAGAAAGGAGAGAACTACTATGTATTAAGTGCTGATATGCACAGCCCTATATATGTGCTACTGAGTCAGGCAAGAATTAGAGAAAGCTGAGACTCTTAGCATATAGATGACTTGATATTGTATTTCAGGTTGAACATCCCTCTCTTTCTTTGAGCCTTCTTTTCCACTGCAAATGTGTGTAGGTTATTTACATCCTTGTTCAGGTACAACTCCAACCACCCTCATCTGGCCCAGGGACCACTCCTGCCCCTCCCCAATCATCGATTATTGGTGGTAAGGAATCCCCAGGTTCTTCTCTTCCTATAGGTTAGTGTATAAGTTTTTTAAGAGCACCTGGAAAGAGACTTGCACCTGGCTTCCAGCTTCCACCTGGTCCTGATGTGCCCCTTTTGTAATTCTTCTCCCTAACTTTTAATAAACTCCATTACACCTATGTGTCCTGCCATAGATTCTTCCATGTGGGACACAAAGAATTTGGAAATCTTATGATCAGAGACTGCTTAATTGCCGTTAACATTACTCCTATTAATCTGCACAAGAATCTTAAGAAGCAGTCACTATTATCCTCATTTGACAAAAGGGAAAATGCATTTCTAAGAGAACGAATTGTTTGTCTGAGGTCTCACAGCAAGCAAGAGATAGACTAGAATTCAGAAGCTCTTTTCACTGGACCCACTTAGGATATGAATTAGAAGACTAAAGAGCTCCCCCTTCAAAGCCAAGTACCACTAATGCTCCCCACTCCAAAGAACTCTCCTAGCCCTACTCTTAGATGCACTAGCCCCCAACTCATTCCTCTTAATTTATCTTTAAATTTGCTTAATTTAAAATTCCTCTAAATTTATTTTCTTTCCAGATGTCTCAGAAACAACTTTACTCAGATGATCTGGGGGGCCCTGATAAAACTATAACTTGGAAACTAATTATATAAGAATTAGAACCCTAACATTCCTTTAATTGGCAACTTTGCCCAACACCACTACCCCAGAAATGGAAAAAGAAATTCTCCAAACTCAAATATTGATGTTCACCATTACCCATGATAATCTTGATCTCTAATAAGTGAGATAGACTAATATATTTCTGCTTGCTTGATGAATCTGTAAGCTGCTGCTTTTCCACACAAGGATATTCACTCTCATATATGATAAGTTGTTTCCTCACGAAAAGGAACTCCTTGGTCCAATGGCGAAGTCCCTAGACCTGACCCAGAGGTTGCTGCAGATTCATACCAAATACAACCAGGTGAGACTTAAGATGCTATTAGTAACAAAAGTCTTACCACTTAACAAGCTGACCTATCAAAGTAGTTCTCAAACTTGGGTACATCAAAATTACCTGAAGTAGGGCTGGGACATAAGGCCCTGGGTTCATTCTGATAAATAAACACAACTGCAGGGCTTATTATAGCACATTGCTGGGTCCCATCCTTGGAGTATTTGAGTTACTAGATCTGGGTGTGAGGAAGGCTAGAATTAGGGAAAGTTCAGGACTCACAGAAAATACACAACTTAATATTGCATGTGTGTGTAGGTTGCCCATACCTGGCTCAGGGACAGCCCAGATCACTCTCACCTGGCCTGGGGGCACCTTCAACTCCTTGATTAGTGGACTCACGTGGTTCTGCCCTTCCCATAGGTCAGCATAAGTTTTAAAAACACCAGGAGAAGAGAGGCTCACTTTCTGCCTCCAGATCCTACCTGGGCCTACCATGCTCCCTTTTGTATTTCCCTTCCCTAACTTTTAATAAATTCCAATTACACCCATGTGTCCTGCTATGGATTCTTCCACATGGGACACAAGGACTTTGGAAGTCTGATCACAGACTACACCACTGCTGTTAACAGGTGGGGCTTAACTGCTGCTTTTTTAGTAAGTCCCTGAGTTATGCTGATGCAGCTAGTCTGGAGACCATACTTGGGGAAGCACTGCTCTAACACTATCCCCAAGCATGAATAAAGCAGCCCTGATTTTCTTGATTCTCTTTCCACCCAACCATTTTATCTTCTTCATAGCTACAACCATAGGGGCATAGTCACAGGCAGAAAAGAAAGGGTTATTTGAAAGTTCAGAGAATAGAATGTGATCCTTTATACCAACATAGAGCTTAAAGAGAACTGTGTTTAATTCTGGTTTCTGTAACTTCAGGTTTTTAAGAATACAAGGTAAATATGTTAAAGAATAACAGGAGTCATGAAAAGGACAGAAGACCTATCTCTCCCTTCAAGCCAAATGAGCAACCTGAACAAAACTTTTACCTACAAAGAGATTATTTCTAGCCAAAAGAATACCAAGAAAAACAGGGCAGCAAGCTGGCTCAGTGCTCAAGAAAGTCCATCTACCAGATTTCACACGGAAAAATACCTAGCACCACAGAGATTGGGTGAGAGGAGAAAATATTAAAATGTGCAGACATAAAAAAAAAAAAAGGTTACTACTGAGCTCCATGTACATTTTATTTTACTTGACAGAAGAGATTAAAGATTTCTCAAGGAAAATAAAACATATTAATAAAAACAATCTTTAAAAGGATGTGTTCCTCAACTTTTCATCAGAAAACTGCTGGAACAAGGCTAAGAAAATCCTTCACATGAAATCAGCTGAGGAGCCCAGGGCTCAGGCAGAAGTTTTCCAGTGACTAATAGAATATCACCTTAAAGATCTACCTTGTCAATTCTTAAGCTTGGGATCTTCATGATTTGTCCTGGCTTATATTCCTACTGGGAGTCAAAGACTCAAGTGAGTACTGCCAACTGCTGTGTATGGTGTGCAAGTCCCTTTTTGCTGACAATTGCTGGCAATTACCAACAAAGGGGGTGCAGGGAGAGGAGGATGGGCTTGAGTTACACTTTCTGTGCTAGGTGACTGCACCTGAAAGGAGGCTTTAGAGGTCTGTTTCCTTTGGTGGCAGGGGTCGTGTCAGTAGAAGTTCATTACAATAATGTGTAAACTAGAATGTGAGTCAGAGGTTTGTTAAAACTTTCTCGAAATTTTGGCCCAATATGGCAGCTAGCCCCAGAATTTTCTCTTAGGAGATAAAAGGCACTTTAGCAGTTTACAGTTGAGGTCTGAAAATCTACAGGCAGTATGCTGGAGGTGCTTAGTGGGTAACTTTGCTGGCTCAGCAGCTGTCAGGAGCTTTTAAGTCAGGTCAGAAGTTAATGACTTATATAGTATCTCAAAGAAAGCCTCAAAAGTCTTTGACAAAGAAAAGATAACAAACAAGCCAACTGGCATGACTGAAGACAAGTCCTTCCCTATTGCTTCTCATTTCTCAATGTATTTTCCTGGGTTTTAAGAGAGAAGGAACAAGAAATTGCTCAGTGAGGGATATGCCATATTAAAAAGAATAGAGCTGAGCTATGCTTCATTTTGAAATGTTCTCTAAAAACTAAGAAGTGCTATGTTATATCCTTTAAGCAAGTCTTAATTCCTTTTGGGCAGTTTTCCTGTCACATAACAGGAAAGAAGGTAAATGGACAAAAGTTCAGGAGCAGCTCCTTTTGAGAGGGCATGTCACATAGAAGACGGTGAGGACTGTTCCTTACAGAAATGAGCCACTATAAAACTTTTATTGATTCTGAGCTGGCACACTTATACTCAATATAATTCTTCTGCAATATTCCTTTATAAAAACACCAAAGCTGTCCCTCCTTTAAGAAAACCAAATTTATTTCTTCTTTTCCTCTTCAACCCAGAGGCTCAGACATGCTAAGCAAGCCCTCTACCACTTGAGTCATGCTCCAAGCCCCTGACCTTTCTTATTAGTAATAAATGGAGATTCAAAAACAAACATAAAACCAAAACAGCAAAAAAAAAAAAAAAAAACCAAAATTATTAAGTGGATCCTTTCCACTGACCTAAATCACTACATTATTTGAAATAAGCTTGTGGATGAATACAATTTCTTTCCATCAAATGTTTTAAAACTGAGCATGATGTTTTAAAACAACATTAAGAACAATGACAATAACCTCTACAAAAATAATAAACAGTAGCTGTAACAAAGAGTTGAAATGTAGGCTCCACTGGGCCTTTGTTAGGTCTGTTACATATTCAGTTTCATCATCAATAGTTATAGCTTCAAGTCTGTAATTTCATAAGCACTAAAAAGAACTTAGACTATGTTGTAGTTAGTCTAGCCAGTTTACCATAGGGAAATAAACAGACAAGGTGCAAGAAATCAGGCTACATCTAGAAGGAGCCAGTTAGGAACATAAGCACATTTTTAAATTAAGTTGAAACTGGATCCAAAATGTTAGGTTTTTGGTGCTAGTTCTCATCAACAAATAAGTCTTTATTATCACTCTATTAAAACTATTTATTGAGCAAATATGGTATTTCAAAGAGGTACAGTTCCTGCCTTGTAGAAGTACACATATAAAGAGTAGTTGGAGAACTGCGGCATGGCTTAAGTGGCCAAAAAGTAAGGCCCTGAGTTCAATCACCAGTAATGTCCCCATCCCCCAAAAAAGGAACAGTTGGAGAAAGGTTTTTGACTAGAGGTGAAAAAAATGGACAGGAAGGAATGAAAGGTTTAAATCTCTTTAGAGACTTGAAAGAGCATTATTTTTTATAATTTCTGGTTTTGTCTACCCTTCTATTCTTTTTTTATACCCCCTGTGAAAAATGAACTAAGCATAAGCTTGAAAGAGAAATTTGAAGCAATCACAAGATGATCTAATCTTCGCAGTACACCAGCACTGTAACAGCCTCCGCCCACCATGGAGACCGCCAGATAATCCGCCTTCTCTAGCTTCACTGGTAATTAAAAAACATGAGTAACCCAGTACCTAAGAATTAATCTGAACTTCGAGTAATAACTTGTTTTCTCAACTACAGATCTTGACAGGAAGCTTTTATAGGTGCTCCTTGTCACCTGTCACCTGTCTTTCATTATTAAGAAACAGAAGGAAAAACAAAGTGACCAAGAACTCACCATCCACTCTGGCATGTGAAAAGCTGAGGTGCCCTCATTACCGTCCCACTTCTCCATAGTGCAGGCGTGGGTAAGATTATGTCCTGAAGCAAAAGGGAAAGCTGGTTTGGAAATGGCAGGGTTATCTGAAGGTCCCAAAGCAGACCCAAACCTAGTGATTCAGAAGGTCAATCAGTAGGAGAGCTGCATCCCTTTCCACAGGAGCTTTCTGTTCAAATCAAAATTAGCCAACTCCTGATGAATCTCTTACCACCAACCTCAAAGCCTTGTGCTTTTGATTCAAAATCAGAATGGATAGAAAGTTCTGCACCCTGATTCTGAACTTCCTACAGGGCAGTTACTGTTTAATGCTATCCACTCTACCTCACCTCCCCAGTGGGGACTTTCTGCAGCAGCAGGCCAGCTTCCTTATTCCCTGTGTATAAGGCACTGGTTAATTTTCTCCCACCCCTCAGCACACGTCACTGGAAGTGCTGCTACCAAGATCAATAAAGATCGAGGTCAAGAAGGCACTCCCTTTCTCAAGAGCTGCTTGATTTGGATCAGTACAGTAAACAGGCGTTTCCTTGAAATCAGAGTTCCTTATGCTAGCAAGTTCAAGTTCAAGCAGCTAGCAGAAGCTCTCCAACTGCTTCCACCAGGGGTCTGGCACCATGCTCTGGTGTATCTCAAGTTAAATTCTTATTACATGGGAAGTTCAGATAGAGCAAAGGAAGATCTTTTTTGAAAATCAAAACTTAAAAGCTCTGACCACAGCTCCCTCTGCTGGCTCCCTGTGCAATGCACACAAAGGTCTAAGGTAGAAAGCACAGTGCTGACTAAAAGCTGCTTCACTGAGACTACAATCAGGGCCACCAGAGTGCGGGTTTAGAGGAAAGCCAGGGTATCCAGCAAAAACTAGAGCTGCCTCAAAATCCAGTGCTGGATTTTCCTCACAGGTCTGGTTTTAGAAAGAAAGAAGATGCCAACATAGTACCCTTGCACAATCCTCACATTATAAAAGACTGAAGTCTGTTTCCACTTTAAGTTACCATACCATCTCCCTCCTCTCTGCACACTTTGAACGTGTTGAAATAAAATATAACTAGAAAAAACGGTGACTTAACCTTAGCTCATTCCTAGAGTATATTATCCAATAGTCTGGTGACGGTGGCTCATACCTGTTATCCTAGCCACTCAAGAGGTTGAGATCTGAGGGCTCATGGTTGGTGGTTTGGAGGCCAGCCCAGACAAAAAGTTGAGACTCCCATCTCAACATAAAAAGCTGGGTCTGGTGTGTGTGCCTGTCATCCCAGCTACAGTGTGAGGCTGTACATGGGAAGTTTGTGGCCCAGTCCAGTTCAAGCAAAAAGCAAGACTCTACCTCAAAAAAACAACCAGAGCAAAAAGAGCTGGAGGCTTGCCTCAAGCGGTAGAGTGCCTGCTTAGCCAGTGCAAAGTCCTAAGTTCAAACCCCAGTACCACCACCAAAAAGAAAGTACCCTAAGTATCACTGAGGGCTGGGGATGTAACTCAGTGGTAGAGCACTTTGTCTAGTATGTACAAGGCCATGGATGGATCCTCAGCATTACAGTGTTAATTCCCATTGCAGAAAATTCCTCTTGATCTGGGAGTCATAATTATAATTATGATCACAGGTTTGTTCTTCTAGAATGGCGCTTTGAGTGTGGAATGGAGGAGAGGATAGTAATTATCTGCGCAAGAGGTATTGCAAGATGCCAGAGAGGGCAGAATTCAAATGAGTGACCAGAGGCCCAGACCAAAGAGACAGGCAAGAAAAAGCAGAAGGGCTATGCTGGACCAAGTGCGGGCAGAGATGTCAGAATTAGAGATCAAAGGAAGGGTGGGCAGCAGGTGCTGTAAGAAAAGAGAACAGAGGTGGAAGTAAGGAAGCATGGTCACAGAAGACTCTGGAGTGAAGTAATCTGAGTGATGTCCAAATACAGAAGGTTGATGAGATGTGAGGGAGTAAGACCTGCTGGGTCAGGTGTCAAAGAGTCTTAGCTCTAAACAACCTCCAGTTATTGTTCTCTGGTATTCCTTTCAAAACCAGACTTCTTCAGTGAGAGCTCACATCTGTAGCCTCAATTTCCAATGTCATATTTCATCTGTGGTTTATATGTAACATGTCTAAAATCAAAGTTATCCTTCCATTTTTCCTTTCCGTCCACCCTCCAGACGAAACTTTGTTCTCCTCACTTTTCTGTTTGTGTTGATGCTGCTGCTGCTCCCTCAGTCAACCATTTATGAAACTCCAGTCACCTGTGATTTCCCCTTCTCCCAGCCCCCTAATCGGCTGCCAATTATTTCTGGGCTTCCCTCTGTTCACTTTCACTGCCTCCTAAAAATTCTCTTCAAGAACAAAACAAAAAAAAGAAACTGTCTACAAATCCTTTCCAAGATATCTTCCACTACCTACCTCCATACTCTTTATCCTCCAGGCAATCTGTATTACCTGCCATTTCCTCAGTGTGAAGACTACAGTGTGACAACCACGAGCACTGGCTTTGTAGTAAGACAGCTTTGGGTGAAAAACCTCAGGTTTACCTGTGATTTAACGTGTCTGTCCCTCCAGGTTTCTAGTCTGCTCAGTGAAAGTAGCAATAGCCATCTCTTGGGATTGAGGAAAGATTTAAAAAGGGCATATACACTAAGGACTTGATGGTAGATTTTTCGTAATACCATGACTATTATGCTGTGTCCTTTCCCACCTCAATGCCTTTGCTCATGTCATTTTCTCAAATTGAAATGCATTCGTTTCTTCCTTTACTTCACCATCTTCACTTACTTATATTCTCTGGGGTTCAGGTGAAATGATGGTTTTATCATGAAACCTCACCTACAGATAGGAATCTCCCTTTCCCCTAACACTGTTCTTTGACTGTGTCACTGTTCTCACTATTCCTCGTGTTACAGTTACTGTGTATTTGTGTTACCCTCTTTAGATTCTAGGGTCTTCATGGGCTTAACCAACTCCGATTTGCCTGCAGGGCCTTGCTTATAGTAGGAACTTAAGAAATTTTCAAGTAAGTTTAAAATATTTCTTTGCTATATGTATCTCATATAATACTTCTAGGGGCACCTTTCACAAACCAGTGTATTCAATGTTTATGTCCATTTTATAGGATTTGGTACATTATATTTATAGGGGTCAGTTATATTACATAAGTATGACTTTATTTGATGATGAATTCTTAGAAGGGTTTTAATCCTTAGTCATATTATCCCTGCAGGAATATAATCCACTTTCCATTGCTTGATCTGCATCAATTATAATCTAATATGATCTGCATCACAGTGAAGCTTTTACAAACAAATCAAGGTAAAAAATCTGTGTTATTGCTAGAGTGGAGCTGAATCCTTAGAATAATCCATTATTCTAAGTGATTAGCAATAATACTCTTTGCTTATATTCCCTATATAATAATTTATTAAGTAAACTGAAGATGAGTGCCTTCCTGGTAGTGTTAAACCAGGGAAAAAACTAGGATTAGGAATGAAAGAATAAAACAAGTAATATATATCACCTTGGCAGGCTAAACATTGTGATTATGAGTTTTGTTTGGTTTTCTTAGCGTAGGTCTTAACTAAAATAGACTTTATTTGAAAGCTACAATCTTAGCCAGGTGCAGTGGCTCATATCTATAATCTATGCATCTAGAGCTACAGCTTTAATCCTAGCTGCTTCAGAGTCAGAGACTGGAAGGGTTTGAGGTCAAACTGGGCAAAAAGTCATTGAGACTCCATTTAATCAATAAGAAGCTGGGCAAGGTGGGGCAGGCATGCCTGTTGTCCCAGTCACTGGAAGCAGTAAGAGGATCATGGTCCAGGCTGGCTTGGACATAAACATAAGACCCTATCTCAAAAATAAACAAAGCAAAAAAGATTGGGGGGCATTGCTCAAGCGGTACAGTGTCAACCTGGCAAGCCTACAGCCCTGAGTTCAAATCCTGTGTTTGAATCCCAGTACCATAAACACAAAAAAGGAACAACCTTACGGTACATTTCTGTAATGATTAGAAAGTAAAAATAGCAACTAATACAAAAGGGAAAAGGAAAAAGCAGCTATTACACCTGAGAACTGCAGGTCTATTAACTGACCGGGATCATGTAAGGAATAAGGTATAATAAATATTAGTTATAAACTTGCTTCCAATATAATTTCACTTTACTATAATGTGCATTAGAAGATACATCAATAGCCAGAACAGGAGTGAGCTCACTGCACATTACAGAACCTTTAACATTAAGTCAAGAGTTAGTAACTTCAACAAAAAAACTACATAAACTATTTACCAGCTCCACAGACTGTTTTAAAAAAAAAATTGACTGACTGTGTGAACAGCTCAGAGGAAGCTCATTTTAACTCCAAGAACAGCTCTAAGTTCTGTGTACCAGCTGTACTCCTACCAACAGCGACTTGAGAGTGGGATCATCATCACAGAGGATATACCAGATGACCCAAAGTCAGAGTGAGTACATGCTTAGGGCTGAAGGAGAAAGGACAAAAAGCTAGTGTTTCCAGAGGTCAAAGCTAACAAAGAACCAGGCAGTGAAGAAGTTACTACACTGGCAGAACTGTTTTAAACAAAGGTAATGAGTCTGGAATCTAGAGAGTCATAAGGCAGAGAGCAAAGAAAACAAGAATGTGACCCCGTCTTCTGTTCCTATATTGTCTCTTATGGTTTTATTAGACTTTGGCAAGCCACCTGACAACTCTCTTCTTCAGTTTCCTTATTATACACTAAGGGGGGTGGGGGAGCAGAGTGGACTGCAGGTATTTCTAATTCACCTGGTTTCTCTGAGGCCATAAGAAAAAACAGTAACAACTCTTTAGCTACCTCAGTTACAGCTTATTAGAGGCCAGTGTTTCTAGTCACTGAGTTCAAAGCTCAATCTGTTCAGTCATGAGGTCTAGCTGAATTGCCAGGCCTCAGCTCTCCCTTGTCCCTTATTAGGGCTTCGATCTTAAATGTCTCCTAAAGGCCTATGTATGGAAGGCTTGGTCATCAGCCTATGGCACTCTTGGGAAATAGCACAACCTTTAAAAGGTGGGGCCTATTTGAAGAAGTTAAGTCACTGGGGACATGCCCTTCCTCTCTCTCTTCCCAACTACCATGAGGTGAACAAAAGTCACTCCTCCCATGATATTATGCCTTGTCAAAAGCCCAAAGCAATGTGGCCAAGAAACCTTAGACTGAAACCATGAGCCAAAATAAATCTTCCCTACTTATAAGCTATTTGCCTTAAGTATTTTGTCATAGTGACAGATTTGAAATGCCAATGCTAAAACAGCAATAGGACTTGTTAAATCTTCCTTCCTGCCTCACAACCTAAATGATGGTAGACATACTACTTCTTAGTTCCTCAGTAACCTGAATACTCATAACCCACAAGTACTTTAGACTCAACGTGGAGGTACCACCACACTGACCTTACAGTTGGACAGACTGTGGTTTGAACGTTAGCTCCCACATTTTCTTCAGGTAAGTTACATAACTTTTTGAGCCTGCCTTTGTTTCCTTGTCTGTAAAACAGGACATCGGTACTTTCTTCACATTGCTTTATAAAGAAAACCAATTTTTTATATATAAAACATACGTGTGCACGAACGTGTGTGTGTGTGTGTGTGTGTGAGAACACATATATATTACACTAAGCACAATGCCAGGAAGGCATTTGTCTAAAATTAGATGGAGCAGAATAGTACCAGATTGCCTGACCAAAACTTGCCATTTATTGTGTAACCTTGGCTGAATTACTGATTCTTCTTGTGCCTCATTTCTCATCTATAAAATGAGACATTA